GAGAGGACTGGGAAGCAGATATAGGTGAGGGCAAGAGAGTGGTGAGGAGAATACGTGGTAGGGGCTTAAGAAGAGGGATTGGGAGGAGAGTCGAGAGGGGAGGAGGGTAAAGGAGTAGAGAAGAAGGCAAATGACAGGAGAGAGGGGAGGACAGAAGAAGAGAGGACACGAAAAATGTAAATAGGAGAGAAGACAGAGAGGAGAGGAGAAATTAAAAGGGGAGAGAAGACGGAGGAGAGGAGATGAAAGGACAGGAGATGAGAGGAGAGAAGATAAGAGGAGAGATGATGAGAAGGCAGGAGCATGGACAGAAGAAGAGGCAAATGGAGAGCAGTTCAGAGGAGTTCAGGGGTGGACAGAAGGGACGGGAAGAAGTCGACAAGAAGACAGAAGGGATGGGGGAAAGTCGACAAGAAGAACGATCGACAATCACCACTGGTGGGGTTTTTTTTTCCACACAAAGGCCACGCTGGACTTCACAGAGCCCCGTCGACAACCTCAGGGTAACCAGGCGACGAGGCCGCTATCGTATCACGTTTACACTCCGGCAGAGAGAGAGCGAGAAGGAGAAAGAATAAATAAATAACATAAAACAGGCAACCCTGCCCCCCCCCCCACCACACCAATTTTCCAGATCGGATTTCCATCCCAGCAGGAGGCCGACACCTGGCTTGTTGGACACAGCCATGAACAGTGTCGGGTTGGTTTGAAATGTGAAACAAGGTGCTACGCCGAGTTTGAGGCAGGCGACACACGAAGATAAAGATAAAGGTCCCCAATTATAGCCTTGATGGACTTTTGTGGAAAGTGCTGTTAACGAGCGCCTATGAAGGCCGGCACGGCGCACGAAGCCGTGGACGGCAAACACCACAGTCGACTGCCGGTGTCTACCGACTGCTGATGTTATCACATCGCGCCAGGTACTTGCTTTAAGGCTGAGTCGACCTAGTGCAGGCCCAGGGATCGGTTCCGATAATCGTCACCGGTGGTTGGGGACCATGAGCGGGAATCAAACTCGGGTCGCTGGGTTCGTGACGCAGTGCGTTAACCACTGCGCCACCGCTCCCCACAACGCGCACACGCGTACATGTGCACAGAGACGTACATACGCATAGGTGCGCAAACATTCACAGGTTCACACGTGCATGCACGCACTCATAAACACGTGCGCAGGTACAAAGGGAAACCATCACCCACGTGCAGTCAGGCCATGTGGGATAAATTGCCCTGTGACCCCCAGCCACTGCCAACACTACCACTGCTGACGCAACATAGCTCCTTGGGCTGTCACCAGGACTATGACGTCTCAATTAGTAAGTGAGCGGGTGCCTCACGGGATAATAATGACAGTGATCATGGCGATGAGGTTGAAGGAAATTATGATGATTTCGATAATGATGACGATTAAAATGATGACGCTACCATCGTCAGCATCATCATCATCATCATTCCCATCACTGCCATCCTGATCGTTCCTAACCGCCGCTGCCACCGTCATCACCGTCATTGCCATCACATCCCTCGTCAGCATCTCCACCGCACCTGCATCACCGCCAACATCGCCAGAGTCATCACGGAGGGAAAGGGGGGGGGGGGGCTAGGGGGAGCGACGGGACGGTGGGGGGGGGGGCTCCGGAAGTCGTGCGGCCTTGGGCACGGTGCCCCCCCCCTCTCCCCCCCTCCTCCGTTTCCACGGCCCCCCTCCATCCCACCGCTTCCCCTCCACTCCCTCTCATTCTTCAACTCTCAGGGGCCTGAGGAACAAACACGAAGGAATGCCGCCGCCACCGCTGCTGCCCTTCCGCCCCGGTGGGGGGGGGGGGGGGGCGGGTTGTGGCAGCGGTAAAGTTAAGCAAATAAAAATAAATAACCTCGACGCAGAAAACACAAACAAATATTAACGGCGGCGGCGGCGGCGGCGGCGGGGACACGTGACAGTTCCGATGGGACCCGAGCCGCCACGTGCCCGCCGGAGAAAGACCAAAAATGTAAAATAATTTAAATTCTTCCTTGCGTCGCCAAGTCACCCGGCTCAGAAATAAGACGGCCCGCAACAACCTGGGCAGACCCAGCCGGTGAGGCGAGCCGCGTCCACTTGGCATCGCGGGCGTCCCGATTTGCCGGCTTGTCAACGGGGGAAGGGATAAAAAAACTAAAAAGGCGACGGAATTTGCACGGTGACCCCCGGGTTTAGTTTTTTGTTTGTTTATCTATCATCGTCACCGGCCACGGCTAACGTCAGTGGCCGAGTGATATCTCCCGAAAGTGGTCCCCAGCACTTTGCTGGAGCTATCCCGTTCCCGGGTCTGGACATGCCCCAAGTGCATTGGAACAATGCGCGTGCCCACACGGAACAAATTACATGATGCATTTATCCAGGACACCCTCAACTGGTAGTGGAAGCGTGATGGATATGTTGATTTGTTACCAGCGGCGCAGTCGTTAGCGCACTGCATTATGAAACCCCCGCTAATCCAAGTTCGATTCCAGGCCATGGCTACATTTCGCAGCAAGTGATATCTGAAAATGGTTCAGGGCAAGCCTCCCTCACCAACCTGCACCTACTAAAGTGGTGACGTACGGCCAAGATGGACAGATATCGATCGTGCGTTCAACATATCTCCCTTTTACAGTGGCGATCCGATGAATCGTCATATCATGGGGGAGGGGTTCATGATTCGACTCGAGAATCAACGATTTTCCTCCCCACCCCTAACGCTGTGGTAAATGTAGCGGCCTCTAGTGGCTGTACAAGGGTCAGTCAGGCAAACCCACCGCGTAGAACAAATAGGAAATGAACAACATTATTTCGCGTGCGATTCGATGCGTGTTTAGTGAGCCTTTTGCAATAGATGCTAATCTTCAAATCTAGAATAAATGTTAATCTATTAACAGTCGACGAACTCCTACGCTCAACCGCGAGACCGAACGAGATCTCAAGTTCAAAGCTTGGCGATAAATGATAATTACCGAACATTTAAACTCTGGCCCTTCAGGGTAACGAAATCGGCAGAGGAACGGAATGCATGTTTTTGCACTTAAATTGCCCTAAGCTGAAGTTTAACGTCGCTACTTTTTTTACGCGATAATGATGCCGATGGTAATGCTGTGGCCCGTGCAATGCCATTCTGAACACAGCCCGTGGCGCAGAGTAACGTTTCGCGGGGGGATATAACTCACAATTTTAGCTCGAACCCCGCTTGGGACTTATGTTTTGGTGTGAATGTAAATCTCGGCCCGATTGGCTGAGCAGGCCATTGTTGCGTGGTTCTCAAGGCGATGCCAAATCCAACACGCTCGTCGCAGCAGGAGGTGGCAAGTTTGGGCCAATGTAGGCATGTGGTTGAAACCATTGGATCAATGTTGGTCGAATGTTGTATGTATCATACTTGTCAACCCCTTATCAGTGCCCTACCTTATTACAGACCAATTCAGACCTTATTGGTCACCCCGTGCCCTTATAAATCTCAACATTCATTCTACAAAGTCCCATCAAAAGGGAAAAACACAAACAAACAGACAAAAAAATATGTTGCCCGTATTGGAACAGCTGTACGCCGTATGGACCTGAAAACTCAATTTCCCCGTACAAGAATATGGGTAAGCCGTATCGGTTGGCTGTGTCGGGATGGGGACGGGTTTTAACGACACATTTATATATTCACGTGATCTAACCCAAAAAAAAAACCTCTATTACAATGCGTTGATCTTCTTGGTTCTTTGGTAAAGTCACGTAGAAGGGAAATAATAAAATAATAAAAATAAAACATAATAAAATACAATTCTCACGACGTTTCGGCCACAACACAAGTAGCCTTCCTCAGGTGAAGAAACAGAACTGTCGGAAAAAAACAGTGCTCCAAAGAACACTACTAAGCTACACTACACTATATAAAGTAACTGGGTATACACTACACTATATAGTGTATACCCAATTAATTTATGTTAATAGCTCAGCTTATTGGAGAATATATTGAGTACATTGATTATATTGATGTAGTTTATATTTAGTTCTTTCACATCGGTTTATTGTATGATACTTGGGTAGTTGCAGTTATTTAGTGTCAATATACTAAATGCCTCTGTTGATATGTAAGCTCTGACTTTAACATAGCTACTTCTGTGACCAGTTACATGCTAATCCCTCACACTAACATCATGCTAATTTCCCAGTTACATGCTAATTTCTGACTTTAACATCCTGCTAATCTATCACATTAACACAGCTACTTCAATGCTAAATTCTTCTGTTGATATGTAAACTCCTTTGTTAAGGCGCTCTGCTCCTCCCACCCAGCTTAAAATACGCTGCCAAGCTTAGCAGTGTTCATTGGAGCGGTCTTTCCATCAGTTCTGTTTCTTCACCTGAGGAAGGCTACTTGTGTTGTGGCCGAAACGTCGTGAGAATTGTATTTTATTATGTTTTATTTTTATTTTTTCATTATTCCCCTTCTACGTGACTTTACCGAAAGAACCAAGAAGATGAATCCCTGCAGTCACGAAAGCTTTAAATCGAAAATACAATGCGTTGGTTCATTATTTTTTTACAGAGGTCAAGCAGGTGCCTTCCGTAGCCGAGATCTTTGTCTTTGACCGGGTTGACGATGAATGCGGTGATCAATTCAATGGAAGTGGTACAGTTGGAAGTGATGCTAATTCTGGTTTTGGTAACACCAGCGGCAAGAGACGGTGGTAATGGGACATTAAAAGTTCAGCCCCTCACCAAAGCAAACTTGGCCTACTCTTCCACGCTGGCTTAGGCGCCATGGAAGAGGTGGGAGCACCCACACTTTTCCCCCCACCGCACGCGAGCTGCCGATCGATTAACTACGGCGCATCCAATTCGCATCGCCGCCACGGGCCGCAGCATTTCAACCGGACGGCACCGGCGGCGGACTGAGATAGAACCAGCGACCTCTGGATCGCAAAGTCCGCCATGTGAACGATCATCGCGCCACGGCGGGGGGGGGGGGGCGGTAGCAGCGGCGGTGCCGTCCCACCTTCTGGCCCAGCGCCTCCCCGGACACGACGATGACGGTGACGCCGTCGCGCGTGGCCTTGGGGATGTCGGCGGCGCGCAGCTCCTGGTAGGCGGGCTCCACCATCTTGTCACTCGCGCGCAGGTTCACCCACAGCTGCAGGCCGTGCGCTGGCCCCGCGTCGTTCACCGGCATCTCCGAGTGCACGACGCCACGCCCGGCCGTCATCCACTGCGCGGCATCGCACGGCATGGCAGTCACCGACCCGACGAATGAACGCCGGTTAACGGGCACACGGCAACCGGGATCAAATCGGGGTTGTCATTTATTTCGCAGGACAACAGTCGTCACGATAGCAGTTTCCCTGAGCTTCGTGATTGCTTTCTGCTGATTTATTGTGTCGTTTTTTGCACTTTGCCATAATTCCAGTTGGAGTTTTACTTAAAAGTGTATTCAGCTGCAGTGCCCTCAACATAAGCCTGGCATATGTGGTCTAATTATTTCCTATTTACAATCTGTAACGCTTACGACGGACACACTATCCTTTCGAGAATTCTTCATGGAGTAATTAAATTCAATGACTAAAACGACGAGGCGATAAAACACGGTTACCCATGATGCAATCTGTTCGCATCCTACGATGAAAAATTATGCTTAGTTTATGCGAACGTATTTTAACTGTTGAAGGGTTTGTCCATTACTAAATATCTACTGCAGTACAACTGTCTCGTATTCACTGTCCGAGAACGAGGAGCAACTGAGGTCAAAACCGATGAGCACTGGATACCGGGGCATGTCAACCACTTGTGTGTCAGGAAGTTGGGTAATTTCGTTTTTATCGCTGTTCAACGTATTAACTCCAGCCGTCTGTTTTTTGTTTGTCTGTCTGCCCATCTGTCTGTCCATCGGTATATCCATCCGCATGCTAGTTCCAATTGGTCCAGGCTAGTCCCAACAAGTCCCAGATACACTGGGGCGATCATTCCTATTTCTCCAAAGTTTAAGGATTTCTATCGAAGCCCCGGGTCAACTTTCGCTCGGTGGAACGTCGCTAAATCTATGCTTCGCCCCCCGAACGTGGAACTCAGCTTCCCTCGGCTGTACCCACTGTCGGGACTCTTCCTTCAGCCACCCGTGCTGTCGACTCCCTGCCTCTAGTCCAGACTCAATCCCTTCACTGTTCCTCTGCCTACGACTGGCTGCCACTTTCCACAAAGTTAAAAATGTAAATATATCCCGCTGTTTCTGCGCAGCAACTCGTGGAGCGGTCACATTCGAATCCGAAAACAAATTTGAATTCTCTTACTTTCGTACAGTGTCCTACATTTTGAACAGCAAAAACATGTGCATGCATTCATGTATATTCTAAGGGTACAAAAGCTTAATCCAATCCAAAATGAGCCTCTTCGTTGGACGAGACATGGGAGGGCTCAGTCTAGGGAAGACCGGTGGGGTTTTTGCGATCGGGCCTTCAAGGTCGCGCGATGACACCGGGAGAGCGTCGTGCGGGCGTCGAGTCAAAAGAGTCCACGGTTGCAAAACCCGGCCAAGGAAAATGTGGAAGCACTCAAAAGGACGGATAAGAATCGCGTGCTGGAAAAAAAAACGACTGCTGCAAAACATTCGGCGGAAAAAAATGTCAGGACTAAGAAATGGAAGGATGATGGCGGGGCGGGAGCGCAGAGGTACGAGAGTGCGAGTTTTTAGAACTCGCAAATTTACTTGCCGCGCATATTAAGGTAAGTTTATAGCCCACTACCAAATCACTCGGAAAGCGCCCGACCTCCTTCGACCTCGGAAGCTAAGGTGGGTTCAGTCTGGACAGTGCTCGGATGGGTGACCACCGTGTACAAACAAGTTGCTATAGGCGGCTGCGGAGAGGCTGGGCAACGTGGCGGTCGACAGAGGGCAGGTGCAGCAATGTCCATCGTCGTACGGTACACTACTTCTAATCAGCAGCGTCCACGCTCGCCCATTCTCACCAAACCCACACTGACCGGCGTGACCCAGTGTGGTAAAAACAACTCCCAGGACCCGCATGGTGCGGTGAGGCCCTCATCCAGCAGTGGATGGACAAAAGGGCTCTCCAGCGTGGCCATAAACACAGCAAGGCGGCTGTGTGCACAGGGGCTCGGTCTTCGACGACCTTTGGTTTACGCGTAAAACGATTGCGGAACGGACAAACATCTCATTAATCAATAATTATTTTCAAAATATGGCCATTTATCAGCAGGTGTCCCAAGTGCGAGTACACAAGTAATCAGTCAATCCCTTAAAATTGTCATGTAGTTTTGCATCCTTGACTCTAAAGGGTCCCTGACTATAAACATTTGGCGGTCCACGAGCATTGGTTTACGCAAACCTGTCTCTGCTGATGCAACACTGACAGTAAAATCCGGTCCAGAGTTGTTGGCTTGTATAAAACCGATGCTGCCAATAAGATGTACTCCCAAAAGGCCATGTGGCCAGTAGGATTTGTAAACATAAATACTCTATGTTGGAGATACAAATATATTATTTATTTGTAATTCCATTAAAATGTTTTATCCACTCTCCAGGACAGGTCACGTTTCTCAAGGAAGTAACACGCCCCTCACAACTTGCACTTTGGAAAGTGCTTTTTGGATATCGAGTGATAAGTATGTATGAATGTTGAACTTCTTTCGCACCGTACATAGCCAGCCGTGCTAATTGGAGATGCGGGGGAAGGACAACAAACTAAACATAAAAATAAATGAGTTTTCAATCTAGATTTGAAAGTGCATAGCTCCAGTGGCTTCCTAACATCGGAAAGAAGAGCATTCCAGACGGCCGCAAAAGCGCATCTGAAAGCGCGCAATGCAGTGACCGTCTTTGTTCGATAAGTCGACGAGTTATAAGTAGAATGACAATACATTCATATGAGTAATAATGATAATTCCATTTGCTGTCACTGTACAGTGAGGGAAAAAGTATTTGATCCCCTGCTGATTTTGTACGTTTGCCCACTGACAAAGAAATGATCAGTCTATAATTTTAATGGTAGGTTTATTTGAACAGTGAGAGACAGAATAACAACAAAACAATCCAAAATGTTATAAATTGATTTGCATTTTTATGAGGGAAATAAGTATTTGACCCCTCTGCAAAACACGACTTAGTACTTGGTGGCAAAACCCTTGTTGGCAATCACAGAAGTCAGACGTTTCTTGTAGTTGGCCACCAGGTTTGCGCACATCTCAGGAGGGATTTTGTCCCACTCCTCTTTGCAGATCTTCTCCAAGTCATTAAGGTTTCGAGGCTGACGTTTGGCAACTCGAACCTTCAGCTCCCTCCACAGATTTTCTATGGGATTAAGGTCTGGAGACTGGCTAGGCCACTCCAGGACCTTAATGTGCTTCTTCTTGAGCCACTCCTTTGTTGCTTTGGCCATGTGTTTTGGGTCATTGTCATGCTGGAATACCCATCCACGACCCATTTTCAATGCCCTGGCTGAGGGAAGGAGGTTCTCACCCAAGATTTGACGGTACATGGCCCCGTCCATCGTCCCTTTGATGCGGTGAAGTTGTCCTTTCCACTTAGCAGAAAAACACCCCCAAAGCATAATGTTTCCACCTACATTTTTGACGGTGGGGATGGTGTTCTTGGGGTCATAGGCAGCATTCCTCCTCCTCCAAACACGGCGAGTTAAGTTGATGCCAAAGAGCTCCATTTTGGTCTCATCTGACCATAACACTTTCACCCAGTTGTCCTCTGAATCATTCAGATGTTCATTGGCAAACTTCAGACGGGCATGTATATGTGCTTTCTTGAGCAGGGGGACCTTGCGGGCACTGCAGGATTTCAGTCCTTCACGGCGTAGTGTGTCACCAATTGTTTTCTTGGTGACTATGGTCCCAGCTGCCTTGAGATCATTGACAAGATCCTCCCGTGTAGTTCTGGGCTGATCCCTCACCGTTCTCATGATCATTGCAACTCCACGAGGTGAGATCTTGCATGGAGCCCCAGGCCGAGGGAGATTGACAGTTCTTTTGTGTTTCTTCCATTTGCGAATAATCGCATCAACCTTCTCACAAAGCTGCTTGGCAATGGTCTCGTAGCCCATTCCAGCCTTGTGAAGGTCTACAATCTTGTCCCTGACATCCTTGGAGAGCTCTTTGGTCTTGGCCACGGTGGAGAGTTTGGAATCTGATTGATTGATTGCTTCTGTGGACAGGTGTCTTTTATACAGGTAACAAGCTGAGATTAGGAGCACTCCCTTTAAGAGTGTGCTCCTAATCTCAGCTCGTTACCTGTATAAAAGACACCTGGGAGCGAGAAATCTTTCTGATTGAGAGGGGGTCAAATACTTATTTCCCTCATTAAAATGCAAATCAATTTATAAAAATTTTGACATGCGTTTTTCTGGATTTTTTTGTTGTTATTCTGTCTCTCACTGTCTAAATAAACCTACCATTAAAATTATAGACTGATAATTTCTTTGTCAGTGGGCAAACGTACAAAATCAGCAGGGGATCAAATACTTTTTCCCTCACTGTACGTGACTTCAAATTCTTTCTGATCACCCCGAACTTAGTCAGTCCCAATGCGTCCCAGTCATTCCAATTAAGAAATATAACCTTTAATCTGGAGGCCCTTATGATCTGTGACCTGTGGGCCACCACTCCCCCCCCCCCCACTTCGTAACCACGAGCGCCCACCAGCCCCTGAGCGACCTCTGACCTGCAGATCACCGGCGTGCAGCGTGCCCTTGCGGCCGCAGAAATCTTCGTGGGTAAAGGCACCACTGAGCAGGTACGTCACCTGAGAGGCAAAGGGGGAGCGAGGTCAGAACAGAAGGCAGCGATAATGTTGCGACCGAAGAAAAAGACGGCGTGGTTGGCTACGCGCGGTGCGAAAGAAGTTTCAACGCAACAATTTTTGTTTACAAAAAAATTATTCGACGGTTCCATCGCCCACAAAAGGGGAAATTGGCCAATGACATGTGACGTGATGTGTTTTGGGAGCACGGGGATGTGATCAGTGTTGCCACCTCTGAGTTGCACAAAAACCTGGGACACATCTTGGGGAGAAGATCTCATCATTCCGGAAGAGGGGAGAACTACATGTGAACGTGGCCGAGACTTTTTAACGTCATGGGTAGACAACTACTGCCGCCCCCTCAACAAACAGATGATGATCCAGGGAAAACCAGCACAGGCGGCAACTGTAGATATGCTGTCTTTCGAGGTCATCGATGAAACCGACGGATCATCGTCGCACCGTCTCGAAGCCGCGGTGCGGGTGATCGGGAAACCCGGCCGCCGATCCTGGCGTCGTTCGGAACTCGTCCATCATCAGGAATGGGTCCAGGTTGCGCAGCTGACAAAGGGGGCGGGAGGGGGGGTCGTGGAGGCAGTACGTGGAGGAGGGGCAAATACGGAAGCAGAAACGTGAAGCAACGCCCGCGGGCCTGTGAGGATCCGCGCGAACGATTCAGTCACCCACACCCCCGATTGGCATGGTCGGCTACATACGGTGCAAAAAAAGTTCAACATACCGATTGTTACATACATACGTACTATGCCAACATATGTGTTACATACAGGGCCGGATTAAGATTTTGTAGGCCCCTGAGCGACAGGTACTGTGAGCCCCCCCCCCCCCCCCCCCAGTAATATTTTTAAAAGGGAAACAAAGTTAAAGGAAAATACAATTATTTTTTTACAAGGCGAATAACAAATAAAATTCAGCATTCACAAATGAAATAACCTGGCAGAGGCTCCTGGGCTGCAGCCCCTAAAGCCCCGTGCCTTCATCCGGCCCTGCTTACATAAGTTGGCACAGTTGGGGGCACAGCTGGTGCATCTGCCAGTGATCTCAGTCAGTCAACTCATGGCACCACCTGGGTCTGCCCCGTGACCTCCTGTCAGTGAGCCTTCGACACTTTACGTGGCCTCAAAGTGCACCTGGCCTGGCACAGGCGCTGTGGTGACGTCAACACCACTTAGTGGCGAATGGCGGCGGCGGTTGTTGTTGTGTGAATCTATGATGTCAATGAGCAAATGCGAGCATGTGTACCACTGCACAGGAATGTGTGTGCGTCCGTGCATGTGCTTGTGTGTGTGTGCATTTGCACGATTTAAGTGGGGGTACGACTGCGGAAGGGTGCCTGTGTATGACCGTGCAAGAGTGCGTACGCGTACAGCTACATCGGTAATGTGTGCGTGCGTGTGCAGGTGCCCGTGCATCCGTCGTTGTGCGTGTGGGTGTCACTGTGCAGGTGCGTGCGTGCCAACGCCTCCACGCCGACGCGCGTGCACACGCGTGCCTGCCTCTGTGAGCCACGCACGCGTGCGTGTGCGTGCATGTGTGCGTGTGTGTGCATAAGGGCCATGCCAGGTGTTCTTGCTGGTCAACCTTGACATGACCTTCCACGCCACTGCCACAACAGGACGCTGGGGAGCCACCAACCCCTGGTCTCCGCTTACCGGAGGTCCTGGCTACTGGTGGGGGGTAGGGGTGGGGAGGGGAGGTAACGCATCACTCCCCCCACCACACAACCCCCCCGCCCCCCCCCCGCCCCAAAACTTCATCTCGCCCCAGATTCCGGAACTGGATTCGGCATGGCTCATCGAGTCACACTATGGCACGCCAGCTGGTGGAAAGATTGAGCTGGCGCTGCGAAGAAGGAAATTCCTTTGACGGATACTGCACCTTGCCGTGGGGGGTGTGTGTGTGTGTGTTTTTTTTACGGCTACGTAACTCCCTTCTGTGTATTCCCGCTGGATCCCTGTTGCACACGAGATATTTGTTGTCTCAATAGGCTCTCATCGTAGTTGTCATCGGCCACGACCTATATCCCCCGCTGAATGGAGGCTTTCCCAAGCTGTCACAATCTCTGCCCTGATCTCATGATGCCCCACAATCTATCTATGTAGCACCCGTACATCGGCTGACTTCATCATCGTTCCATCGCCACAGGAGATGCGGCGATGGAGTGAGGTCCTTCCTTCCTTTAGCTGCCACTCTTTCGTTAGTCTCGATGACTATCGGCCACTTGTCCCTGGAAGCGACGTGTCCTTCTTAAGTCCACTTATCCTGCTTAACAGTCCATGTGGCGTCATCATCATCATTCCACCTGGACAGACACAATTAAGAGCAGCATTGAATCTAACCCAAAAACCTCTATTATGGATAATATTGGTCGCGAAAGCCTATATGTTAAACTGAGCATAGCATGGGTCTACACATCAAAAATGGTTTGCCCTTTCAAGGTCCTGACCCCTGCCATAAGAATATGTAATTTGCATCACATGGCACAGAGCTGGATATGGAGATGAGTGGTACCTCATGTTCATTGGAACAGAGGACATCTCTGTTATGATAATTGGTTTTTTTACCCTTTTATCTGGCAACAAAACTGACACCTTTTTTACAAGGAGTCATGTTTACATTGACCACAATACCTGCGGTCGGAACGCAAACAAAAAACAACAACTCTGATCATGTATGCACTGTCCTTGAAATTGATTGGTCCACACCCGAGACAGCTTTCTTTAGAGCCTCGTCTCACATGGTGTTGGACCAGAAGACGCCAAAAGGCGCACAACTCAAAGACAATGCACCATCAGAGTATGAGAGCTCGGGGTAAGCATTTACACCAGAAAGCTGTCTCGGGTGTGGACCAATCAATTTCAAGGACAGTGCATACATTATCAGAGTTGTTTTTTGTTTGCGTTCCGACCTCAGGTATTGTGGTCAATGTAAACATGACTCCTTGTAAAAAAGGTGTCAGTTTTGTTGCCAGATAAAAGGGTAAAAAAACAATTATCATATTTTGTTACTGGCAAATGAGGTTTCCAATGGTGACATCTCTGTTACTTGACAGCTTGAATTAAACTGGGTGCCTGATTGTACGTCGGCATTGGTTTGTAACGTTCTATACCGGGATAATATGGGGCAGCCGTCTGAAATCGTCTCAAGATGGCCCGGGCGAGCCTGATATCTCTCACAACTCGAGCTGGTCACAAAAAGTGATTACACATGACCTGACAAATTACCGTACTCGCGTTTCCACGCGAGTCGGGCAGGCCTTTCACAGGAATACTTCCGAGTAAGACTTTCCCAGGAACGCTTGTGAATAAAAGAACAAAATCAATGCCCGGCGGTTAACTGTACAATTAAACATCGGTGCCACCTACGACATTTTTTATTGCAACATTTTTGGTGATACATTTCCAATCGGGCCCAAACGCTTGATGTATGGAACACACAGGCCTGGTCTTTCATTTAAAGTTTGCAGATACTACCCCTTTGCTCTGGTTTATATCTAAGTTTAGGGGAGCAATTTTATACATTTTGGTCGATTTTCTCTAGGCTAAGTTCCCAAAATGCCACGCGATTTCACGCTAAAGTGTTGTTCACAATGGATCACCTTCATGAGAGCTATTGTTTCCCTCCATTATAGACGGAGGGACGGAGACAACGCGTAAACGCTTTCAACCCGAGTTGAAGGTCGTAAAAACTAAATCTAAAGCTCTATCCGAAAATGAGATGTGAAAACGAGCCAAATGTATATATAAATATTTTAACCAACATCGCTGCCCCGAATCGCGACAATCATCAAATCCCTGGGGGAGATTCAATCGTTACACCCCAGCAATTCTAGAAAATTTGTTCAACGACTAAAAAAATAATACGAACCGCTTGAAAACTCAAGAAAGCTCAAATTACCGAACTCAATTAACGAATTGCCGAGCGCCTGCCACCGTGCGAGCTGTGACGGCAGGTGGGGCCTTTGTGTTGTGTGTGGCCCCTTTGATAGAAACTAAATTAAATTAAATAACACTCCGGCCCTCGGAATAAACCACGAGCACAAAACGCCGCCGTGCAGAAATTCCACGAGCAATTGAACTGGCGGGCAGTCAGAACTGGGGGGTGGGGGGGGGGTTTGTCGGCTAGGTAGGAGGAGAGGAAAAAAATGAACCGTGCAAAAACATCTTCTCTTGAAGAACAAAAAACAGCCCGAGCCTTTCTAAACCGGTGTGTTTCGCACGTGTAGGAGTACTTGCGGCCGTGGTGGTAGCGCCGAGCACGCACACGGCTTGCAAAGCGAAGGTTGCCGGCTCTATTCCATCTCGCGACCGCGCCCGATTACATAATTTGTGCAACTTTCTAAAATGCCCCCTCCACCTCTGTCCACCCAGCGGTATGAATAAATGGGTACGTCGATCGGCAGGTCGTGTGTGGTGGGGTGAAACGTGGGTAATTCGACCTCTTCCGCGACGTCCGGTTGGCGTGGAAGAGTAGGCCAAAATGCCCTCTCCAGCGAGGCTCTCCAGAGCCCTCTCAAAGTGCGGAGAGGGCCCTTCCGCCAACAGTGGCATAAGACGGTCATTATACCTCCAACTTTTTCAGGGAGTACGAGACTCCCTGTGAGTTTGAGAGGGGCACTGCGCTGCATTCCATACCGTCCGCAGTAAGATTCCTGGTTGGGATGTGCACCAACAGCGGCAAGTGTTTTCTGACAAGGCCCTTTGGTCAACGCGGACGTTAAACAAGGCCTTCGGTGAAATATGGATTATTAATTCAATAAGTCAATAGTTTTGATACACGTGGGATACTAAATGCATCGTCACAATCCCAGCACGGATGAAAGTGCCTGTTGGTTTGAGCATGTCTAAAGACTCCGTGGTATTTTACGAGCATTTATCCCTTGTAATAAGGAAAGGCGGACCAAATGTTTATTTCAGAATGACAGTCTTAATTGGTTAACATTGTACAAAACCCTAGTAAATGCCACTTCATGATTACACCAGGGATTATTCCAAATCCGGAGCTTTATTTCAGCCGGAGCTGTCTGGGGCTGAGCTCCGTTAAATATTTCCGGGGTCCGGGTAGTTGGGGATTTGGAGGTTGGGGGGATCAGGGGCCCCTCCCGGAAAATATTCCTTGAGAAATTAGGCCCTGGACCACATCCTTTAAAGTGTCCTATACGTACGTCCGGAATTGTGGAACAACTGCCCTCTTGGTGGCATGACACCGGTGGCACAGGTGGAATAAAATACTGAGGTCCGGCCATCAGACACTTCCGAAATGCCGGTCAGGCTATCAGACACCATTCCTAATGTGGAGTTTTTCTCCTGCTTCACGTTGAGAGGGCCCCCACTGGGTAGCGAAAGATTTACAACTCTACTGGCAGAGCGAGCAGTTAAATAAACTTAAGCAGACATTATGCAGTCTCGGCATAGGACTGTTTTAGAGCAAGGCTCTGCTTTGATTTGTTATACGTAAGCCCTCATGACCAATATTATGATGCGTAATTTGTTTCTTTTTTTTGCTGAAAAACCCAATCAATCGGAATGTTTGTCCACGTGACAACTCGATTTGATTGGCTCTGTCGGGTGGTGGAGGGGTATAGTTAAAACAATGACGATATACATACACGGTCTAACCCAAAATAAACCAATTAAGTATCATAGGAATCCATTTGAATGTCATTCGCACCGTTTGCTCGCCAAAACATTTGATATTTGAAAATATATTCAAGGTTATTTCACCGCTTGCTGTATTCCAGTAGAGTCGTACATTTCTTGCTCAACAGTGGGAGCCCTCAAAAGGATGAAACATACAAAATCCATGTTATAAATGGTGTCTGATTGCCTGGCTATAATTTCGGAAATGTCTGACGATCGCTTGACCGGCACTTTGGATGAGGTCTGATTTATAGTTCGACCGGGACTTCGGAAACGATCTGATGATAGCTTTACCGGCATATCAGTAGGGGTCTGATGATAGCTTTACCGGCACTTCGGAAGCGGCTGATGGTAGCATTTTACCGGCACTTCGGAAGGGGTCTGATGATGGCTTTACCTCAGTTGTGAAAGTGTGGAAAAAGAAGAAGCGAGAAAAAAAACCCCGGCTCGTAAAACCGGCACGGCCGTCGTACCCCGTGGCGGCCGATGCCGCGCCGCACGCGAGCCCCCACGCCCTCGTGCTGCTCCACGCTCGCCACGGATTTCACCACGAGGCGCCCCGCCATCGTCGCTCGCGCTCTGCCACCGCAGCGGAGGGAGCGCGGACGTGTGCGGGTTGGCGGTGCGGTGGGAGGTGTAGGTGGGCAGAAACAAGAAACGAGTTATTTGGTCATGCTGCGGGGGTGGTCAGCGGAGCCCAAGCACAAATAACAAAAAATGTCAACACGTTTGTCAATAGCACTGTGGCGTTAACGGGGGGGGCGGGGCGGAATATGTAAATATAGTAGGTGATGATTTTTGGGCATGAGAAATGATGGTGGTGGAGGTGGTAGTGATGGAAATTATGGTGTTAATTGGTGGTGCTAATTAGGTTATATAGTTATGATGGTGGTGGTAGAGATGGTGGTGGTGTGGAGATGAGATGGTGGTGGTGATGGTGGTGATACAGATGATGGTGGAGGTGATAGAAATGGTGGTGATAGAGATGATGGTGTTGATAGAGATGATGGTGATCATGGTGATGAATTCCTGATGACAGTGATTTTAATAATAAGGACGGTTATGGTAGTGATGTTGGTGAGATTAATGATAAAGTTGTTGGTGCAGATGACTGTGGTGGCGATTATGAAGTTCACGGTATCAACAGCTATAATTGTGACAATGGTTATGATGAAGGTGATGATGATGTTAATGGTTATGATAATGGTGATTATGATAACGGTGGCAGTGTTTGAAAGTGATAGTCATGGAAATTATGCCAATAACTACACAGACTACGATAACACATTGAGATAATGACTTTATTTTAAAAAAAACAATACAATCATGTATGTTAACAAAGTCTAAGCCTTTTTAGTACCAATAAATAAGTCACGCAAAATAAGCGTTTACTTAACCCTACACATGATCCTGATCCAAATCTTTGGCCCCTAACCCCAAGTTTGCCTCCACATGTAAACAAAACTAAGCCTTAACCTTGGCATACTGTAGTTCCAGTTCTAAATATAGGCACAGTTGTAACCCCCAACACAGCAGCCCTATCTGTACACGTCACGCAACTATATCACCGCGTGCATACAGACACACGTGGATACAGATACATGCACACATAGACATGCTCACAGACGTACACGTACAAACAAGTGTACGCACGTACGCATCATGTGAGTGCACACAAGTCGATTATAATCTCGCACAAATACCCCAAGCAAAAATATCCATCGTGTAGCCTTAATAAAATCTTGGGCCAAGCGCTGTTAGTGTCCACAAGTAGACACTGCATGTAGACATGCGCGCACACACACAAAGTAGTCTAGACGCATGTAAACACGTGGGTTGTCAGTAATCACACAAACACATCTTACTCACACAGTCTCACACATGTACACAATCGCATACAAAGATAAAGATCACCCGTGTAGCCTGCAACAGACTGTTGGGGCAAGTGCTGTTAGCGAGCACCTATGCACATCACACACACACTCAAGTACACACGCGTGCGATAGACAAACACACACCACGCACACAAGTAGACGCACATCGACAAAGACACACGCACACGTGGACAATCTAACTCTCACACACACAGAACATATCCACGTGGACAAACGCGTGTCTAGACACAGGAGTGCATCTCAAGAAGACGAAGATGACCAACCCCGTGTCGGCTTCGTAGACTTTTGGTGGGCAAGTGCTGTAAGCAAGCACCTTTGAAGGTCGGAAGAGCCAGGTACATGTACGGAACATTTTCATAGCTGTCAAGGGGCCGTCCATAAATGACGTCACGCGATTTTTGACGATTTTTGACCCACCCCCCTCGTCACACGGCGTCACAAAAAGTCAGACCCTCCTCAAATATGACGTCACAAAGCTATGCCCCCCACCCCACAAACCATATTTCCATTTTGAAAATAAAACATGCTTCAAAGCGCTTTAAACTATTGTCATTGTAGTGCGTGTTTAATGTGGCGCTGCCCTCTGATGTTGTATGAGAAAACATTTATTAACAAGTATATTTAATTAAGTAGAACGTGTTGTCTATATTTATTGAAAATTGCGCATTTTTATGTGACGTCACATTTCTCACCCCCCCCCCTCGTCACACATCGTCACAAATGTCTGACCCCCCCCCCCCAGGTGCGTGACGTCATTTATGGACGGGCCCCCAACCCATTTTCAGCAGACCCATTCAGACCTTATTGGTCAACCCCGTACCCTTTATAAATCTCAACGTCCATCCTACAAAGTCCAATCACAAAGTGAGAAACACAAACAGATAAGGCAAATTATTTATTTGCCCGTACGGAAACGGCTGTGCGCCGTATGGACCTGCAAACTCAATATCCCTGCACAAGAATACTGGTGTGTAAACCCTATGGGTTAACAGCTATGCATTATACACACATACAATCGCACACGAGTACACACACACACATGTATAGTTCACACACTACATGCACTTTACATCGTGTGGCAGTGTGTACACTGCACCCTGTATGTATCAACACCACAATATGTACGAAAAACACTCATAAACAGCAACGGCAGACAGTGGACACCGCACACACGTATGTGTGTGTGATACACAGTCACATGTACACTTCCTACTCACCTGTCTGATCAGGCAGCCGTGGCGGTTGAACCCTCGCTATGCAGACTTGTGTCAGTGTGAGTCTGTATGTGTGTGTTAGTGCGAGTCTGTGTGTGTCAGTGTATGTCTGTGTCAGTGTGAGTCTGTGTGAGTCTGTCTATGTGTTAGTGCGAGTCTGTGTGTGTCAGTGTATGTCTGTGTCAGTGTGAGTCTGTGTGAGTCTGTCTGTGTGTTAGTGCGAGTCTGTGTGTGTCAGGGTATGTCTGTGTCAGTGCGAGTCTGTGTGTGTCTGTGTGTTAGCATGAGTCTGTATCTGTGTCAGTATGAGTCTGTGTCAGTGGCGTGTTTGTCTGTGTCAGTGTCTCTGTGTCAGTGTCTCTGTATCAGTGTGCCAATGGCGTGTTTGTCTGTGTCAGTGTCTATGTGTCAGTCTCTGTGTCAGTGTGTCAGTGTCTCTGTGTGTCCGTCAGTGTGAGACAGTGGCGTGTCTGTGAGAAATGCCGAGTCACGATTGATCAGTGGTGGTGGTGGTGGGGGAGCGGTGGGGGAACGGTGGCGTTGTGGTCCGCTCGCGTCCCCTGCGGCCACGAACCCGGCGACCCGAGACTTTCTATTCCCGCTCACGGCCACCGGTCCTGGTGGCCTCCCCCTAGGTCGACTCGGCCTCAGATGAGTCACCCGGTGCGATGTGTCGTAAAAAAACATCGCTACCCGGGGGAGACAAAGGCGGCCGGGTGTGGGTGGTGCTGGCCACCCATCCCCCCTCGTGTGCCACAGTGCCGGCCTTTATAGGTGCTACTCGCTAACAGCACTTGCCCCTACAGTCTGTTACAGGCTACACGGGGGATCTTTGTCTTTGTTGTGTGTCTGTAGGTGCTACTCGCTAACAGCACTTGCCCCTACAGTCTGTTACAGGCTACACGGGGGATCTTTGTCTTTGTTGTGTGTCTGTAGGTGCTCGCTAACAGCACTTGCCCCTACAGTCTGTTACAGGCTACACGGGGGATCTTTGTCTTTGTTGTGTGTCTGTAGGTGCTCGCTAACAGCACTTGCCCCTACAGTCTGTTACAGGCTACACGGGGGATCTTTGTCTTTGTTGTGTGTCTGTAGGTGCTCACTAACAGCACTTGCCCCTACAGTCTGTTACAGGCTACACGGGGGATCTTTGTCTTTGTTGTGTGTCTGTAGGTGCTCGCTAACAGCACTTGCCCCTACAGCCTGTTACAGGCTACACGGGGGATCTTTGTCTTTGTTGTGTCTGTAGGTACTCGCTAACAACACTTGCCCCTACAGTCTGTTACAGGCTACACGGGGGATATTTGTCTTTGTTGTGTCTGTAGGTGCTTGCTAACAGCACTTTCCCCTACAGTCTGTTACAGGCTACACGGGGGATCTTTGTCTTTGTTGTGTCTGTAGGTGCTCGCTAACAGCACTTGCCCCTACAGCCTGTTACAGGCTACACGGGGGATCTTTGTCTTTGTTGTGTGTCTGTAGGTGCTCGCTAACAACACTTGCCCCTACAGTCTGTTACAGGCTACACGGGGGATCTTTGTCTTTGTTGTGTGTCTGTAGGTGCTTGCTAACAGCACTTTCCCCTACAGTCTGTTACAGGCTACACGGGGGATCTTTGTCTTTGTTGTGTGTCTGTAGGTGCTCGCTAACAGCACTTGCCCCTACAGCCTGTTACAGGCTGCACGTGGGGGGGTCTTTGTGTCAGTGTGGAATGCTGAGTCACGATTACTCCATGTTGCCCATCATTATTGGAGGGTCAGGCTGGGGTGACTTTCTCGCCCGGACCGCCTTTGTATCCCCTGGCGCCGATGATGTATCGCACACCGCAGCAGTAGCAGCGGCAAGCTACTTACTTATTTAAAGGCCGTGTTGTACGTTGGCCGGTGTAGCGAGATTGGTTAAACTGGGTCGACAGATCAGCTTCGCCAAAGCCAGACCACACCTATAAAACATACTCGTGTACACACACACACGTATAACACCCATGTACACAAACGTGTAACACATATACACGTGTACAAACAAAGTATTCTAACCATGTACACAACCACGCACGTGTAACACATACACGTGTACACACAAATATACTAACCACGTACACACCCATACACGTGTGTATGGGTGTGTACACGGCTATTACACGTGTGTGTACACGTGCAATAGCCATGTACACACCCACTCACGTGTACACGCACTTCCGATTAGCACGGTAGTCTACGTACGGTGCGAAAGACGTTCAACACACACGTGTAACACATATACACGTGAGCACACACACGCGTACAGCCGTGTACACCCACACACGTGTACACGCACCTCCGATAAGCGCGGTTGGCTATGTGCGGCGCAAAAGAAGTTCAACCCCGCACTCAGCGTCCGAGCTCGGCAGAGCAGAGGGCAGTGATGACATCCAACGCTGCTGTTGTTGCTGCTGCTGATGTCACCGTTTGTTGGAGTGGGGGTGGTGGTGCTTCGATTTGTGGGGTCATGGCGCCCCCTGGCAGTAGAATCGCCAAAGCTGAATCACTCAAACCAAACCTGCTTCATTCATCCAATGAAACAAATATTCATTACCGCTGAGCTACAATAATAATTATAGATCTTGTTCAGAAACGACCTGGCGAGCACAAATTATATATAGCTCAACTAAATGGCTTTTTGTTTGTATCACGTGAACATTCGTAGCAGCCAAATACTCTAAATGCACGTTGATTCTAAATGCGGAGGGAAAAACAAGAGGACCCGGACAAAAATCCACGCGACCAAGGGCAGAGAGACACGCAAACTCTCAAGTATAAAGGCGTAAGGGTCGGGATCGAGCCCACGACCAGCTGCATACCAGGCGAGGGAGTTAACATCTCGCCACCGAGAAGCCAAGTAGGTTTTGAGCCTGGATAGTGGTCAGGTGAGTGACCGTCATGCACAAACAGGTTTCCATCGGGATTTCAGGGCTAGCTTAAAATACGGCAGAGGGCAGTGTAGAAAAATGTTGTACTGTACTTCGATGCGGTCGTCTATGCTCCCTGACGTCCCCAACAGGCACCGACCAGCGTGGTGAAGTATGGTCAAATAACTCCCACGACCCGCATGGTGTGGGGAGGCCCTCATCCAGCAGTGGAATGACAAACGGCTAGACATATATACAGTAACATTGCAACCCAAACTGAGCAAAACTACCAATGTTTTACGCAGATAATTGAGCACCTCCGTCGATGATGCCAACCCAAAACTGGAAGTTCCCCATTACCATGTCGGGAGCAAATGAATGACATTTCACGCGTGACCACAGCATTGCATTTGAAATGAGAAATACCGAATTGGAACAAGAATATACATGCATGGAGCTCGTGAAAATCCGACGGCAGGTTACATGCACGTCACTGGATGGGCCAACAGCCGGGCAGAAGGCGAGATGGTGCAAGTGTCACAGAAGTATTCGGACAGCAGTAGGACAGATGCTGGTCCAGAGATAAGCGCTAGGATTGACGTGGGAAAAGCGGCACTCAGTATGAGAAGGGAGCTTATGATAAGGCGGATAAGCAGAGGGGAATTGAAGGAGAGACTCAAATAGAAGTGGGCACTGCGAAGGAAAGAAATTGAGAGAACGGAAAGGTTTTGAGATATAAATAAGTGCGACGCTAAATGGAGAGAAAAAATCAAGTTGGAATTAACAAAAAAGGAGAATTTTTGAGGCGCTCGAGTGGGGTCAGGAGTAGACGTCTCATTGGAGAAATTCAGAGTAGGCAGAAAAATTTGGAGTGGACATCGCCAGACCTAGTGGCGTTGACAAATGTGTCGAGCTTTTGTTATGTCATAAAGGTCAGTTCTAGAAGGAAAGACGAGTCAAAGTTGAAGCAATATTTCCCTCATATCTCACAAGTCTTGATCCTGTACCTTAACCCCAACTCTGACCTAAAACTGAACCCTCATCTTGACACTACAACACTCGACCACAGCTGTTATGCACAAATATAGTCAAACAACAGCAGGGAACGCATTTTGTATCGCAAAACATTTATTAGTACCAAATACACGGTGCCCGTTGTGCCTGTGCGTGTGTGTGATGAGTGCAATAGCGGTCAATGATTACGGCAGCCTAGGCTCAATGCCAGGCTATGATGAACATCACACTAGGCAGCAATTGATATCCGCTGTCAATCCCTAGGTCAACTCGGCCTAAAACGATTAACCTATATTGGCCGTGACGTCGCACACATTATCATTGGGGAGACAAAGGTGGCCCTGGCTTGCGTGTTGCGCACCCCACCACCGATTCTAACATGGGTGCTGTGCGTCGGCCTTAATAGGTGCTCGCAAACAGCATCCTTGCACTAAGAATCCGGGATGTTGGTCTGTTTGTGTGAAACATACTGCAAGTTCAAGTTCAGTAGCTGACAACAAACATCAAGAACAAAACTGACAGTTACATCGACAAATGTTCACATTGGCAGCATCTCAAATCAAAGCATCTTCATTTAATCTCTTGTTGTCATAACTGAAATGTTAACGCAGCCTAATCACGAACAAAACAAATGCATTTACGTCTAAAATATATTTACACCTGTTTTTAGAAAACAAAACACGCTATTCAGTTTCAGACTTGGTCAATAACTTAACTATATCCTGTTTGTTAAATTACCTACAGTATTCACATTTAATTATAACAATCATAAAAACACTTCTATTAATATCCCAGCTTTTATAAACAAAAAGAGCAGTCAAAGATTTATGAGATGTTGACTACACTTTTTTTGTAAACCACACATTCTAGTCTATCGGCTCAGATCGGATAATTAAATTTTGCCAGTACCACTTTCAGCGATAAAACTTTAGTGAAACTACTGATTATGTATGGCCAGCGTCATCTGCGAGTCGCAGAACGACAAGATATTGAGCAAATAGCAGACAAGGCTCAACAACTATTGTTAAGACAAGACTCGTCCATCCATTGCGGCGAACGGACGACAACCATCAACAGCAGTGCGACCGATGCTCCCTCCGCCATATAAATAACTCCTTAGCACAGACGTTTTGGCAATTCAGGTGGTACAAACTTCCTGGCCGACAAGACTACTCAATACACTTGTGCTATCCATTTCATTGAATAGGCACGTTCACGTTTCACGTTACCACGCTGAGTACGCACGCGCGGTACATGGGGTCCTGTGCGTATCTCTTTATTTCAGTGTTTCAATTCGAAAACATTTTGAGCAGCCCTATCGTGCGTGCGTGTTTTAGGTTCCCACGTTTGGCTGGTGACTAAACACATCTCACCTCGTACACCATCGCATGCCTTTTTAAGCGCGTTCCTCGAGAACCCCAGCGACATCTAAACCTGTGGTCCTTTTGTTTTGTCATTCGAAGAAAATCGTCAAAAGTAAAAAAATCTACACAAAGCGTTGCCTACCGACTGCCAGCCAACCTTCTCAGAATAAGTTTTGGCACTTTCGGAATTGGGATTCGTGTTTGTAATAATACAATAACTGGACGTCACTCGATAAACTTCACTGCTATATTGGAACTCCAAAAACCTCATTCTGCCCTTCCAAGGGAGGGGTGAAGACTTCAGGGTTTAGACCACGATGATGTCACCACGCGTCCACCTCCCACTTTCTAAAGGAAACACGACCAGAAAACACAAATACCTCACTTTCAGGACAAAAAGACGAAGATCCCTCCGTTAGCTTCCGACTGCCAAGACAAACTTTGTGCACTGCAGAGACAAAGGGGGCCAAGAGTGGGTTGCTATCTGGCGAGCATCGCACGTTCGTCAGTCTTACCGGCTTTTATAGGCACTTGCCTCGGTAGCTAATGAAGCAAAGTGGAGGATCTTTATCATTCTTGGGACAGGCACTCAAACACCAACACCCCACAAACACAGCAATGTTGCAAATACATTTTCATTTTTTTGTGTGTAACCGTTCGTTGGAAATCTCTTATCGCAGCAACATGTCCTTTCCGGGCGAAGAGTTTCCGCAAGGGCGCTTCGCGGAGCGCGCCTCGGTGTTTCTGGCGCATCCCACGACGACTTCCATCCTGTACGCGCGATGATGCCAAGGAGTGAGCACCATCGTTCTGTTGTTTAGTTTCTCTGCCTGGGGTCTCGGGGAAGCGGTCGATGTGGTGGGAGGGTCATCGGTTGCAGATGTTTCCACGAGTAGGGCCACCCACCACCTCCAGACACCAACACCGCTGCCGCCACTGCCACCACTACCACCACCGGGGTGGTTAAATGTTGGAAAAATTTCGTTTCATTTTTTTATCCATGTTTTAACAATTATCTATTGCATACAATATCCCATAATGTCGCCCAAATATTGTATTTTTTTTTCTCCTACCCAGATCACCCCTTGCGAAAGCTCTTAATTAAAGAACGCAATTTATTTAAATAACACGACATCGTTTAGGGTATTTTTTCTTTGCTGCGCTGCAATGTGGTTTATACACCTCCAATGGTGTGCAGTGGCGATGTACCTACAATTCCGTGCGAGCCTCGTAGCACAACCATAAATGATGGGGGGGGGGGGTATGGGGGGTGGCCAAACGGTGCTCGCTCTAGGTGCCCCGCGCTAGTCCCTGCCCTACCCCACCACTGGACGCGAACCCAGCTCAGCGGCTCGCTCAACGAACCACGCGGGCTCAGCCTTTCCCCGTGACCATGAAGCCGGGAGCCGGGAGCCGGGAGCAGTGCGGCTCCCGTTCCCCCCCCCCCCCTCAGAGGTTGCAGCAGGAGGTGAAGTAGCTGACGGGTTTCCCGTCGCCGGGGAGGCCTCCAGGGCCGCACGAGTGGGAGCGCGGAGGGCCCGGGGCGTCGCCCAGGGCGGGCTGTCTCGCGTCCAGCGCCAGCCGTCGCGCCAGCTCCACGAAGAGGCGCTCGACGTTCTCCGCCTCCTTGGCTGACGTCTCGAGGTAGCGCAGGCCGTGCAGGCGGGCGAAGGCCTCGGCCTGCTCACGGGTCACTTGCCGCACGTCGGCCAGGTCCAGCTTGTTTCCTGCGTGTCGGGGACAGACGGACGGACGGACGGACGGACGGGAAAGTTGGCTTGGCAGACAGCGGTACGCTATTTTTAGTTGCCCTCATCTGTAAGGTAGCTTCCTGAGGAGGGGGGGGGGGTCACCTCACGTGAGGCGATCTCACAGGAAGTAACTTCGTTATCATTCTGCCACCATCACCAACGGTGAAAGCGGATTGCTACAACAGACACATTTGGCGACAATCGCTCCGAGCCACCTCATGTAAATCGCTACACACCGGGGCCAAGGCAAAGACTCACGTGAATGCACGCATGCTCGGCAGCGGCGTAAGGATTAGTGAGCGGGCAGTCCTAACCTCAATAAGGCACTAGGTGTCGCTAGGTAGACCTAAAAAATCAATTTCACAAGACAATTTAACGAGTATCGTACCAAGCACATTGATACGGCAAGGAGCTTGAATGGCTCCTAAATCTTAAAGCGGAGGTTCTGTCTCTTGTCTTTAGGGGAAAACACAAAACAGCGCTAGATTTAGCGACAAAACCGCCAAGCTGGAAACCGTCGCCACTGATTTTTGGCACTGGGAAACAACCATCGCGACAGGACAACCCGATCACCCCTAACGCCACGCCGCACCACTTTCCGTCGCGTTGCATCGCGTCGCTTTGCACGTCGCGTTACGTCGCCGCCCTCACCGACGAGCACGCGGGGCACGTGGGCGCTGGCGTGCTGCTCCATCTCGCGCAGCCACGCGGGAAGGCAGGCGAACGTCTCCTCGCTGCTGACGTCGTACGTGAGCACCAGCGCGTGCGCGCTGCGGTAGTAGCTCTGCGTGATCGAGCGGAACCGCTCCTGCCCGGCCGTGTCCCAGATCTGCAGCTGTGTCGTGCGACGGGTGGGATGGGTGGCGGGGAAGAGGTTGTTGGGGGGCGGGTGGTTGAGATGGGAGAAGTCAAAGATTAATGTACAGGTCCACCCGTTGAATAAATTGGGGCAACCGGAATGCTTACAAAACGTTTATGAATGAGTCAGAATATGGATTGGGAAGGGAGTCATAGAAGGACAATAATGCCATGACCTATCCACTGCCTGTTGAAGGCTGAGACAGCCACTACTACTCAACTACCCTATACCCCTACTACCACCACCACCACCACTCTCGTCTATTACTACTGTGTACCCCTACTACCACCACCACTCTCGTCTATTACTACTCTATACCCCTACTACCACCACCACTCTCGTCTATTACTACTCTATACCCCTACTAATCGCACTTCCGGGTAGCGCGGTTGGCTAGGTACGGTGTGAAAGAAGTTCAACATGCAAACACACACGTACATACGTACGTACACACACACACACCCCGCCCCGCGACACCATCCCACATTGACCCAACGCGGTGAAGCACGGTCGAACGAGACCTCACACCGACACGGCGAGAGGAGGCCTCCGTCTGGCGGTGGATCGACCGCGGCTGATGACGACGACGACGAATTAAATTCCCACTGAAGTGTAAGCGCGACAGTGGCGAAAGGCGTTGGTGGGATGAGATGGCCTACGGTAGCCCGCGATCGATTGCCCACCCGGCCTTTCCACAAGAAAAAAAATTCTCAACTTCAAACTGTGTGGCCACCAAAGACAAAGATGCCTCCCCCCCCGTATCGCCTTAACAGACTGTTGGGGCAAGTGCTGTTAGCGAGTAGCATCTACGAATTCCGGCATGGCACACGAAGGGGGTGTGCAGCTACCACCGCTGCCACCATCAGGGGATTTTCCTTTATAAGGAGGCGTGTGGGGAATTCAAAAGAGCAGGCGCGTACACGAGAAAAGCGAGACGTGAGAGCGATGAGGGCCTGGGTAAGGGAAACCGTACGGCACGTGGACAGGAGCCAACTGTTGCTGTGGACGGTGGGAGTGAACTTTCTTTTTTTGTCGCGTTAAACAAAACAAAGTTTTACGGGAAAAAGCACCCCGGCCAACTGGGCAAAACATAACCACGCATACGCGAGCATGCACACGAGCACACGTGCTCACGAGCACGCACGTAACACAACAAGAGTAGGTACGTATGTGAGCACGTGCACCAGCACACGTGTTCACGAGCACGCACGTAACACAAAAAGAACAACAGCCGCCATTCGCCACTAATTGGTATTTACGTCACTACGGCGCTTGGGAAAGGCTCGGTGCACTTTGAGGCCATCGCGTGAAGTGTCGAAGGTAGGAGGTCATGGGATAGACCCAGGTGGACTGACTGAGATGACTGGCAGATGCACCACCTGTGCTGCCCACTGTGGCAACACATATACAGATACAAAAAACGCACGCATGTGCATATATATATACAAAAACACAAGCTCCATGCCCGGCTACCTTTTTCTCTCCGGTGTTGATGTTTACATGCCACACCAGGTTCCATTTAAGAGTAAGTCGACCTAGGCGTGGCCCAAGCCTGGTTCAGATCTTCATCACTGATGGTGGCCCGTCAGTGAGAATCGAACGTACACACACACGTACGTGCACCCAAGTGTGCTTGCAAGGCGTCGTCTGTTGCCAGGGTTGTGACAGCGGCATGATCGGCAATTGCCCGTCTGGCCATGAACATTGCAAGGTCACACTGTCGGTAGGGGTAATGCGGCTGCTGTGGGTAGGCAGTTGCTAGTTTAAGGCTGCTGTGGCATCTGTAGACAGTTGCTAGGCTTTAGGATGTAGGCAGGGTGAAACTGTTGGGAAAATAGTTATATTAACATTGGATACAGTGAGGGAAAAAAGTATTTGATCCCCTGCTGATTTTGCACGTTTGCCCACTGACAAAGAAATGATCAGTCTATAATTTTAATAGTAGGTTTATTTGAACAGTGAGAGACAGAATAACAACAAAAATCCAGAAAAACGCACGTCAAAAATGTTAGAAGTTGAATTGCATTTTAATGAGGGAAATAAGTATTTTACCCCCTCTAAATCAGAAAGATTTCTGGCTCCCAAGTGTCTTTTATACAGGTAACGAGCTGAGATTAGGAGCACACTCTTAAAGGGAGTGCTCCTAATCTCAGCTTGTTACCTGTATAAAAGAAACCTGTCCACAGAAGCAATCAATCAATCAGATTCCAAACTCTCCACCATGGCCAAGACCAAAGAACTCTCCAAGGATGTCAGGGACAAGATTGTAGACCTACACAAGGCTGGAATGGGCTATAAGACCATTGCCAAGCAGCTTGGTGAGAAGGTGACAACAGTTGGTGCAATTATTCGCAAATGGAAGAAACACAAAATAACTGTCAATCTCCCTCGGCCTGGGGCTCTATGCAAGATCTCACCTCGTGGAGTTGCAATGATCATGAGAACGGTGAGGAATCAGCCCAGAACTACACGGGAGGATATTGTCAATGATCTCAAGGCAGCTGGGACCATAGTCACCAAGAAAACAATTGGTGACAAACTACGCCGTGAAGGACTGAATTCCTGCAGCGCCCGCTCAAGAAAGCACATATACATGCCCGTCTGAAGTTTGCCAATGAACATCTGAATGATTCAGAGGACAACTGGGTGAAAGTGTTGTGGTTAGATGAGACCAAAATGGAGCTTTTTGGCATCAACTCAACTCGCCGTGTTTGGAGGAGGAATGCTGCCTATGACCCCAAGAACACCATCCCCACCGTCAAACATGGAGGTGGAAACATTATGCTTTGGGGGTGTTTTTCTGCTAAGGGGACAGGACAACTTCACCACATCAAAGGGACGATGGACGGGGCCATATACCATCAAATCTTTGGTGAGAACCTCCTTCCTTCAGCCAGGGCATTGAAAATGGGTCATGGATGGGTATTCCAGCATGACAATGACCCAAAACACACGGCCAAGGCAACAAATGAGTGGCTCAAGAAGAAGCATATTAAGGTCCTGGAGTGGCCTAGCCAGTCTCCAGACCTTTATCCCATAGAAAATCTGTGGAGGGAGCTGAAGGTTCGAGTTTGCCAAACGTCAGCCTCGAAACCTTACTGACTTAGAGAAGATCTCCAAAGAGGAGTGGGACAAAATCCCTCATGAGATGTGTGCAAACCTGGTGGCCAACTACAAGAAACGTCTGACCTCTGTGATTGCCAACAAGGGTTTTGCCACCAAGTACTAAGACATGTTTTGCAGAGGGGTCAAATACTTATTTCCCTCATTAAAATGCAAATCAATTTATAACATTTTTGGCATGCGTTTTTCTGGATTTTGTTGTTGTTATTGTCTCTCACTGTTCAAATAAACCTACCATTAAAATTATAGACTGATCATTTCTTTGTCAGTGGGCAAACGTACAAAATCAGCAGGGGATCAAATACTTTTTTCCCTCACTGTAGATTGCTGATGTTTTGGCTGTTTGGAAAGATTAGGATGCTGGGATTTATAGACTTGGAATGAGCATGTTGTCGGTATGAGTGGGCTGTTGGTATATAAAGGCTGTTGGCATTTATAGGCTGTTGCATGTGTAGGCTGTTGGCATGGGTAGGCTGTTGGCTATTGTGAAAGTTGGTGTAGTTGATGCTGGGCACCTTGATCTTGGTTCCGTCCACCTCCACGGTCTTGATCATGAAGTCCACACCGATGGTGGCTCCCTGACCGGGTGGGAAGAGCCCCTACAAACAAACACCCCACACAACCACAACCACACACGCGCACACAACCGCACAGCCACACGCGTACACGTCCACAGCCCGTTGTCAGTCCACTGCTGGGTGAGGTTTCTCCCCACGCCGGGTGGGTCGTGTGCGTTATTTGACCGCAATTCATTATGCTGGTCAATGAAGGTCGGTGAAGTGGGGGAGCACTGGCTTGTGAACATACAAGTACACTACAACGTCGAGATTGTTCTGCGTTGCCCTCTACTGTCCAGCACGTAGTCCCCCGCAGCCCATCACACCTGGGCTCATTGCCGTTTGGATTCCGAGACCCGCCAAGACCGGGCGCATTGCGGGAGATTTGTCCAAAGGGAAAATTGTTTAAATGTGTAAATGACAAGAATAAGAAGAAAAAACACCAATTACAATTAAATCTTAATTAATCAAACATGGCCCTCCCAACTGAAAATTAATTCTCCAAAGATGTTTGTAAAAACTCGGCGTAATCAAACCATTTTAAAAAAGAATAATCTATGAAACTGATTTCCACTTTGCATGACCGAGAGAAGTGCTGACAATGGGACTGGGACGACCAGAGCGGAATGTTCCATTCCTCTCATTGTCTGTGCAAAAGAGCGTGCCGTTGTCATAAAAACCGTCATGAAGTCATGACCCAACCCCACGACATCTTTGTCATATCAGGGCATCCACGTATTAAATGACGCACACTGCAACACAGCGGCTTTTAGGCACTGTATTCATCTAAATTGCTGCTACTGTTGGATCTTTCAGGGGTCACAGAGCCTTCTCATTCGCCGCATCTGTAATTTGGAATGAGCTGGTGATTATACTAAACGTTGAATCAATTCCATCTTTTCGTCGCTCAAAAGTGTTGCTTCGGGAACATTACTGCCACAGGTGCGAATACAATCCCCGATGATCCAACTGTTCCATCGAGTTATTGAATATGTATTCAATGACTTCTCGAGTCACATGCACATTTTAATTGAAATGGTCTATGCCTCTTTCGTTGCAGATTGTCACGAGTTGCTGCGTTTTAACGACCTTCTTCCTGGATTTTGTCATCTTATTTATTGAAAAGATTTTAATTAATTTCACATACGCGATGTATGGCACATTGCAACAGTAAACATGCGTCATCACGATGTTACAGGTCATGCTGGAACCTTATTTACAGAGCTCAATTGCTGGGATCTCACAGGATTGGCTGAGATTTTCTTTAAATAACCACGCATGGGGCGGAGAAAAGAGATGGGTGAGAGGGCAGAACGTTTTGTCTATTTTTAAAATGTTTTTTGGCCAGTCATATATTATTACTCACTACTTTTGATGGAACCTATCACTTATTGTAATCCCATGCAACGTGCCATCATTATTTATTCATACAGGAGGAATTCGATGAGCTGTCAAGGTCTTTGTCACAGATGTTCAGGAGGGGCAGGTAAGAACGTTACAACAACCAACAATACAAAAACACGACAGTCGTGCAAAGTAGAAGGTGAACAAATCACCAAAAAACTCACGCGAGTAAAACTAAACCATCCCCATCCTGCGAAGCAAAAGCCCACTGAGGTATTAACTTATTTTCATAAGTGACCTGGCCATCACAAATGATAGCTCAACAAAGTGGCCTTTCAAGGGTACGTTGTCCTTGGGTGGAGTTGGGCTTGGGGTCAGAGGTCACGGTTAAGAGTGGTGGGGGGGTGTTGCTCAAACCTGCGTGAACCTCCGCACGAGGCAGGTCTTGCCGACCCCCGCGTTACCGATGAGAACGATCTTGAAGAGTAGGTCACAGTCTTCCATCCTCCTGGGTCATCCCCTGTCAATGGACACAAACACACCACCACCCCCCCCCCCGTGCAGACTCTTATCAAACTGTCGGGTGCACGTGCTGTTAAGCGAGAACCGATTTAAGAGTTATAATCTCTCGGGCGATTCGATGTAAATGGACACAAACCCGGAAATATCTCCTCCGCAGAGCCCGAATCAACACTGTTGGGGCACCTGCCGTTAGCGAGCATTGACTAAAGGCCGACACGGTACAGCGCACAAAATGTTTATGCAATGCACTGGGTACTATTTTATGGCTGGGTCTACCTTGGGGAAGCCCAGGACCGGTTCACAAATTGACCACTGACATGGGCCAGGGTTGGGAATCGAGGGTCACCAGGTTCGGTACACACTGCGCCACAGCACACATACATACATACACATGGACACTGGCACATGCACGCATACACAATCAAAAGACAATGATCCCGTCTAACCTTAACAGACTGTTGCGGCAAGTGTTGTTAGCGAGCATCTATGAAGGCCGGCATGGCACACGAGGGGGGTTGGCGGCCAACACCACACCCGACCGCCTTTGTCTCCCCGGTGGTGATGTTTACACACAGAACCGGGTACTCATTTGAGGCCGAGTCGACCAAGGAGAGCCCCACGACTGACTGGTTCAGGCAATCGTCACTGGCAGCCCAACTAGCACACTCACATGCGCGCATGCGTTATCTCTTAGGCGCGAGGTGATGTCACTGCACGCAATGTGCTCGCTGTGCGGTGATGTATGCGAGCAACTCTGTGACCTTTATTTAAGGGACCGAGTTAACCTGCGGCCGGTCGTTACCGTGTCGAATGGCTCTATGAGACAAACAGCGATGTCCTTCCTTTACCGAGAGCCTCGCAGAGTCTCAAGATTCGTACAGCAGGAGGGTTCCTGCTCCATTGGCGGTGATGTTTTGCCAATTGCATGGTTAAGGCGTTTGCGTGGCGTCGTGTGCCGGCAAACCGGAGAACACGGAGAACACCCAGCAGTCATGCGAGGGTGGTGACGACGCTCAAAAGCTCCACACGCATCGATTGATGAATCAATTTCTGTTCTGCCATCTCCTGTCCAAGCCTACAATACATGTTGTTCCCAAGCAGTCTGCCATTCAAGTACTAGCCAGGATCAAACCTGCTTAGCCTCGAATACCTGACGAGATCTGGCATATTCAGAGCTCATTTGGTCGTGAAAATATTTCAGTTGAGGGGTGATGGGGGGAGAGAGGGGGGGAAAAAAGGGGGAGGGGGTTTGACTCTCAGCACATCATCATCCGTCCAGGAACAATAAAACTACTACCACTTTGTGGGAAGCTAACCGTGTATGGAGAGAGGTTGTTATCTGCAATGCGATTGTGAAATGGTCATCACCGGCTCACAGCAGCACAATGAGAATAGCACTTTGCCCCAACGCTGGTTTTAAATGGCGAGACACACATTTCTGTACTCGGGATTAATAATTGAGCTAATTACACAGTGTTCTCAACGCTCCGTTGTAATGCGATTGGGGGCAGTAGGTGTGAAGTTTGGTAAATGTTCGCGTGGTATTTTTGTAAGCTTGCTGCAAAACGAACATGCGGTTGCTTTTTTAATGTATCGTCTCTCTCTCTCTGTCTCTGCGTGTCCGTGCGAAATGAGTCGAATTGCCGAGGATTCTTGAGGATTTGAGCAAAGGGAGAGCCGAGCTGCGTGGAATCTCCGCTCTGGATGTCCCATGACGTCACCCTATACACGGGGAGTCCTCACGAGCGAGGTGAACACACACACACAGAGAGAGACACACACGAAGACTTTGGGAGACACCATCCCTGTCAACCCACACGGTTTACACACCAGTATTCTTGTACAAGGGACATTGAGTTTTCAGGTCCATACGGCGTACAGCCGTTTCAGTACGGGCAACAATAAAAATACTGTCCCTGTGGTTATGTATGTCCCTGTGGTTATGTATAACCACAGGGACATTGCCTATTTTGTTTGTGTTTCTCCCTTGCGATGGTGACTTTGTAGGATGAACGTTGAGATTTACAAGGGGCACGGGGGTGACCAGTAAGGTCTGAATTGGTTTGTAATAAGATAAGGGGTTGTTGACTGAGACTCGGAGACGATGGCGAAGACCAGACATAGAGACAGACAAGAACGCAGAATTGGTGAGACAATGACACGGCATAGACGACAACATTTAAGAGACATACGAACACAGAAACAGAGTTATACATAACCATTTTTCATTTGGTTTCATTTATTTGGTATAGCCCTGTGAGCCATTCGGCTCTTGAATGAACATGTAGGGAGAGAGAGAGAATCAGAGACAAACAATGAGAAACAGACAACACAAATACACGGAAGCAGACTTCGCTAAAAACAGAGACATGGGAGATCCAGACACACCGAGACACGCAGAACGGATGGGTCCAGAGAGATACAAATAGACACTGAGAAAGAGACAAAGTGAGATGCAGATGATAACAGCATTACAGACACGAAGCCGTGGATAGCAAAAACATTAGAGACGCATGCAGATGCGGTGAGACACGGTTAACTTAAACAGAGATGTTCATCGAGACCCAGAGACGTGGAAGAAGTGAGACAGAGAATGGAAGGCAGAAGACATACACACAGGCAACACAGTCACACAGACTTCCAGTGAGAGTGTGCACACACATTCACAAAAACACAATGATCCCCCGTGTAACCTTAACAGACTGTAGGGGCAAGTGCTGTTAGCGAGTAGCACCTATGAAGGCCGGAACGGCACACGAGGGGGTGAGTGGCCAGCACCACGCCCGACCGCCTTTGTCTCCCCAGTGGCGATGTTTACACACCGCACCAGGTACTCATTTGAGGTTGAGTCGACCTAGGGGAGGCCCAGGACCGGTTCGGATAATCGTCACCGGTGTTGGCCGTGAGCGGGAAACGAACCCGGGTCGCCAGGTTCGTAGCGCAGCGCGCTAACCGCTACACTACCACTCCCCATTCACACACACACACAGACACACACACAGACACACTCACACACGCACACAGTCACACACACAGACACACTCACACACACAGACACACTCACACACACAGACACACTCACACACAGTCACACACGCACAGACACACACACACTCAAACACACACACACAGACACTCACAGACACACTCACACACTCACACACAGGCACACAGACACACACACACAGTCACACACACAGACACACAAACATAGACTCACACACAGACACACAAACATAGACTCACACACACACTCACAAACATAGACTCACACACACACGCAAACATAGACTCACACACAGTCACACACAGACACACTCACACACACAGACACGCAAACATAGACTCACACACACTCACACAGAGACACACTCACACACACAGACACGCAAACATAGACTCACACACACAGACACGCAAACATAGACTCACACACACAGACACGCAAACATAGACTCACACGCACACACACACAGACACACGCACACACACACAGACACACGCACACACACACAGACACACGCACACACACACAGACAGACTCGCACACACAGACAGACTCGCACACACAGACAGACTCACACACACAGACAGACTCACACACACAGACAGACTCACACACACACACAGACTCACACACACAGACACACTCACACACACAGACACACACACACTCGTATACTTGTGAACAGCAGCCGCCATCCGCCACGAAGTGACGGGTGATGTCATCACAGCGCTTGTGCCAGGCTAGGTGCACTTTGAAGTCGTCACGCGAAATGTCACATACACATGCACACACACATTACAAGTACTGTATAATTCACATTCATACTTCCATAATACACCAATACATATAGACTGGCACATACATTAAACACACGCGCATATACGCATAGGCAAATACACTTACCACAGGCACCCACATATACACACAATGGCACAAACACACACGCACCCATACGCAAACTCTCATAATTATGCGTACACAACCATCCACACACGCACATGCGCGCACACATATACACACCCATTACATACATATACACAATGATACACATGATTGCCCAATAGCACACACACCTATACCGTTCGTACAAACCCACAAACACACACCCACACATAAAGGACATATTCCAAACATACATGCACTGACACTCATACATAAAGGCACACACATAAACCCCATACATACACACCCATACAAAGACAAACGCATTCACACTCATACACACACACCCCACATCCATACACACACCCCACACCCATACACAAACACACGGCACACCCATACACATACACCCCACACCCATACACACACACACCCCCGCACATACACACACACCCACACACATACACACCCCACACCCATACACACCCAACACCCATACACACACCCACATACACACACACACAAACCCCACACACACCTACATACACACACACAAACCCCACACACACCGACATACACCCCCACACACACACACCCCATAGACCCGACACTTACTGAACCACATTCGAGCATTTAAAAAAAAAACCGTGACAAGTGAAAGCAAACAACGTGTTCTTGACCGACCGTTCTCCCCATGCATTTGCTCGTGTAAGTAGAAAGAAGAAGAAAAAACACAACTTGCAAAAATTTTACGCAACGGACAATGACACAATCAACACGCACATTGGACACGCACACACAGAGACACAATTATCTTACCTCCCCCCCGTGTTGTAAGCGCCCACCAACTCCGTTACAACATCACAGATGGGAGAACACGAGGTGACGTAATGCTCTAGCGTGGCCACGCCCGCTTCCGGAGGTGGGGCCGGAAACAATGCCGGGGGGTGGGGTAGGGGGCTATTGTCCCCCGGCGGGTGGGGTGGGTAGGGGGGGGGAGGCAGACGGGGCTGGCCAATAGGAAGCAGGCGGGAGCCCGATTGTAAATCCTAATTTGCTTAAGCAAGGGGGGGGGGGGAGCATTGTTTGACCCACGTGTATGGTCGATTGAATATGGCAGCTCGCTTAAGAGCGGGCCCCATTGTGCGAAATTAGCATTGGTTATAACCATAATAATTACGTTGAACACGGGGCGCTGATTCCCGATAGCATAGCTGTTAAACCCACACGGTGTATCCGTATTCTTGCACAGGGAAATTGAGTTTTCAGGTCCATACGGCGTACAGCCGTTTCAATACGTGAAAATGTTTGTCTATTTGTTTATCCGTAGTGATGGGACTTCGTAGGATGAACGTTGAGATTTATAAGGACACGGGGTGACCAATAAGGTCTGAATTGGTCTGTAATAGGGTAGGCACTGAGAAGGCGTTGACAGGCATGCGACAGCATGTTCTCTGGCCCCGTTATATATTTTTCTCTCCGGGTCCTCCGGTTTACCCCTCGACATCTATAAACGTGCATTTAGATCATTTTGCTGCATTAAATTCCACATAAGCCACTTCTCGTTGAGCTATCATTTGTGGCCAGGTCGCTTCTGAAAAAGCTCATAGCTCGTTACTTGGTAAGTAAAAAAAACGTGTTTAGTTAAAATTGGTTTGTTTTTAAGTGATTTGTTTACATTTCATATACTCTGCACTCCGATCGTGTTTGTATTGTTGCTCCTCCTGGACATGTGGAAAGAGCTTTATAACTTATCAGATTCCTCCAGTATATTCTGATTTGCAAATGTGATTTGTAACGGATCCTTACCGCTGTATCTATAGTTCAATGTTAATGTGCCATTTTATTGGACTTGTTTTCTTGGTGTGGTGAGGGACAGTTTTTGTTTGTTTTTGCTGCCTTACCTTAAGCTTGATGAATCGGACTTAGTGTTTGCATCGTTTGCTGTATTAACTTTCCAACCCGCTCAAATTGGACGTGAAAAAGAGCTTCGGAGCTCATCCGATTCCTCCAAACTAAATAAAGATGCTTTATAGGTATTACTCGCTTACCGCACTCGCCCCAACAATGAGGCTATACAAAAAATCTTTGACTTCGTGTTGCATGAATCCCACGATGCATTGGTGACGGCGTATGTATGCTACCCAACAGGGGCGCCGTGGTGTCAAGATGTTATCTCCCTCGCCTGATATGCAGGAGGTCGTGGATTCGATCCCGACACTGCCCCCTGTAAATTGAGTTTGCACGTTCCCACCGTGGTCGCGTGGATTTTTTTCTCGGTTCCTCCGGTGTTTCCCTCCCCATTTATAATCAACATGCGTTCAAAGTATATGGCTGCTGTAAATTATCACGAGCATTTGTGACCCGGTCGCTTCTGAAAAACAGCTAAATAGCTCAGTGGGCCTTACCTGGTGAAATAAAAATAGTAAATAGCTTCCCAGACCGGACAAGGACGCTCCGGATGGTTTGGTCACATCGGCAGAGCCGGTCTCTGCGTGCACATTTCATAACGAGCAGCAGCTTCCTTCTCCCTCCTTGGACCCCTCCACTCGAATACACTTCCCTTGTACATTAAAGCAGTACCCCTAAACCTCCTTCCGTTTCTCTCTGAATGCTCACCTCTTCTCCATTGCCCATTTTCTTTCATCTTCCCTCCACTCCTTCCCCGACTATTTTATGATCCCCGCCCGAGTACGCTCTTGTCATGTCACTCATTCCACAATTCTCTTACGTCCCATGCCAACGAAATAATTGTTAGCGTTTTGTAAGCTATGTAAAGCGCCCTTAAAATTAAAGTTGCCAAAAGTCATGGTTTGACCAGGAAAGTACCTGCGAATTGAGTTTTAAACGCAGTGAAGTTTGTGAAAACCTGGATTTTGTCCTCTGGTTAAAATGTTATGGCCTCATGCTCAATTCACGGATGTTGCCACAATTCTTCATTTGCTTCTGCTAGATCCCAGATGTTTGTGCCAAGTCAGCGCCCCACCGCCAAGGTCAGCTCCCACGGTACCCTACCATCTGGCTTTAGGAATTCCCCTCCATTGCAATCTCTATAGGTGCATAATACCACCGTAATGACAAACAAATGGAGTCATAAACTCAACTCTATTGCAAGAAAAAAGTGTTACACAAGAACATGCATTGTGTACATATCAACAATATATCTGCGCGTTTGTGGAGTTTTTTTTTTATACGGTGGTGATTAGTTCACTGCGTTGATATCTGAACATGGCCAAAACCCACCCCAGGTCGACTAGCCCTGAAATTGGCAGCGTCTGGTGCCGATTTTCAATTAACCAATGGGGAGACAAAGGAGGCCAGGCATGAATGACGCTCGCCCAACGCCACTACTAGACAATATAAATCAGTCCGTGAAAAATTCAGCAAACAATTCAAGCATTGGAAACACGAGTTTCAACATTCGATCAGCAACTCAAATAAACAAAGTGAACCACCCAAGTCCAATTGAGATAATATGGCTTCACACAAAAGATAACCGTTCCACTCATAAGTTGCCGTTACTGTTCACAAAAGTTACTAAGTTGTGAGCAAGCCACCTGTTGTCGATTGGTTTGGCGATTCACATTGGCTATATAACCTCTCCATTTAAACTGCATCAGCACCTGGGATTGTATCGTGCATTATCTGCTTTCACCCGGGTGTGTTGTTGGATCCAGCTTAATAAAGGGAGGCGAGCGGTAGTATGTTCACACAAGCAAAGTACAGCGTCACAAACGTATAAATTTATGTATAGCACACATCTACAATTTTTGCAATGTCCGACTGCAGCACAACGCGTGTAAATATTTCATTTCTCTTACAATGTGTACACAGGTATGCATTTTAACATTTAGACATTATCGTGGAACTTTGTCAAGAAAAAAATAAGGGTGTGCATTGCTACAACCACATTATTCACAAACCACTTATATAAAGCATTGAAACAAAAACAGTTTGCAGGAACTGATGCTGCCAAGGTAGTAATCTACAGTATGTATATGTATGCACGCTGTTATGAAAACTTGCAAGAAAATGAATAAATAAGTAAAATAAAAAACATTTACTCTTCTATGCAGCAAGTGTGCTGTTTTTTTTTTCCTTTAAACAAAACACACATTTGAAATGTGATTTTGGTCGCAAACTACTGAGGTTGAGCGCCGTTTAAATCGCGGATCATTTCATAACGTCTAAAAAAAAGTTGCACAAGCTTAACTAATATTAACAACTCCCGACCCACACCGGCAACACATCCGCTCTTCCCAACTGTGGCTGCAGAACGTGGGGTGGGGGGGGGAAGGGATGCTAAATTAAAAAATGACAGGATGTGAAGACACAATGTAGCAGCTATCCAAACAGGAAAGGATGTGTTGTTGGTGGGAAAACAATTTCCATCTAAATTCAACAGCCTGTTCTGCAAAAAAAATGCACAAAAATGTTTCTGCTAACTAGAGGTGTAACGTTTAAACTGCCCAAGGGAAATGATGAATTGTTGAGAATCGTCACTCTTTAATTCAGGAGTATATATTTTTTACATTGGTGAATATTGTGGGCACTAGTTTGAATATGAATAGAAAAACGTTGATTCTTGCACATGCGATTGGATGTGTAAATCACAAGCTATTAAGTATTGATATTAGTCAATGAAAATATGATCAAATATCCCAGGTTCATCCATGTCAGGTCTCATAAGCTAAGCAGGGTGAACATGGATAATGCTTAGATGGTTGACCAACATGCACAATTAAAAGGTTGTCATAGGGCTTGTGAGGTTACGTGGTGAGCAGCAGAGGGCAGTGCAGAAAAATAAGTTGTATTTTGATGCTTCCACATCTGTGCTCCCCACCTCCACTCACTTGCACTGATCAGTGTGGTGAAGTATGGCCAAATAACAACGTGCACAAGGAGTGCGGAGGCCCTCATCAAGCAGAGGACTGAAAAAAGGACCGGACATGTCATATTAATCCATGAACCTACACATCGTTACACCTCTATCACAAACGCATGAGCGAGGCTGGCAGAGTAGTGATTTTAACACGTAGGTTTTCGCGACCAATATTATTCATAATAAAGGTTTTTAGGTTATATCGCGTAAGTAAAAATGTGTCATAACCCTCCACCAACCGACACAGCCAGTAACATTTACAATTTGGGTAATTGAAAATGTTGTGGATTTACTCTCCAACACACCGGTGGGCTTAAGTAGCAACTGATTGGCACGCTTTGTTTACATGACAAACCTTACTACCCAAAAACCTTTATTCAGAGTAGTGATGCGGTGCAGAGAATGGCGGGCGAAGGAGCGAGTGATACGAGCGGTCGGGCTGCGCGACGCGACGTTAGGACAGGATGTCCACGTCGCTGGGGTCGTCTTCTTCGGTGACGCTGAGCGACAGGACCTCCTCCTTGGTGAAAAGGCCACTTCGCTCCTCTTTGCGCGCCTGCCGCTGCCCCTTCAGCTGCTGCTGACGCGCCGCCTTCTGCTGCAGCTTGCGCTCGCGGGATCGCTTCTGTGAGAACGGACGACAAAAACAAAAAAGGGAAATGTCGAATTTACACACACGCACGCAAACATCGCGATCAATGTGCTAGTGCCCCACCTCTCACGTCACACACCCACACTATTATGGCCTCATTCACCACATATCTTGCACATCATCGTTTGTAATTCAAATAGCACCTTGTTCAAGCACAGAAGGCCTCTAGGCACTAATACGGCTACCCTCCCCACCCCGCTCCAACAATTTTGCTCAAATATGCACACCCATTCACCTTGTCAAGCACTCCTCTCCCCTGTAGGGTTCTGAACAAAGCCATTCACTAGTGGAAATGCTTGTTTAGCCATGGTATCGTATGTACTGTAAATTGTTATTTTTTCAAGCAAATGTCATGGAGGCTAAACGGAGGTGCACATTGTTGCTCAGACTAGCAGAATAGCATTACAATACACAGGCGGGTGAATCAGAGATGCTACCAGAATTTTTTTGTCTCTGTTGATGCTTCCATCTCCAGCCCGATGGAAATAATACACGAGGACAACTGTAAGGCAATTGTGGCAAGGACAAAGCATGACCTATGTGCAACTGTAAGAACATTGTCTGGCAATGATATAGAAAATTGAAACTGAATAACGATTTTTTTCAAATAGCACATTGCTACACAGCGCATAGTCATGTGACCTCTGACTGGATGCTGCCATGCTTGTTTCCCCTCAGAGGTTAGCAGCGATTCGGGGATCGCTGTGTTTAGAGGCTATCAGCAATAAACAGTATTGCCAGGTCAAAAAAGTATCTCCTAGTACCCAATTAATGCAGCTGAAGTGATTGCGGTGATTATTGTTTGTGAGCTATGTCAAAATGGTAGGCCTCACGGGGTCATGGGCAGTATGAAATGAAGTCGCGGGCCTCACACGGCCCGTGGGTCATATGTTCACCCACCCATCATGGCCTTCGTGGGATACCACCAGCCTGCACCTCTTAAAAAACACCGGGGCCTCTCCACCACTCCTCACTCACCTTGGAGTCACGTATCCTTTCTGCGGCCGACACCGACAGGTTCCCGTCGCTGTGGCTGCGGCTCAAGCCGCTGCTGCCCCCCACTCCACTGCTGCCGCCACCGCCAGAGCTGCTGCAGCCAGCACTGCTTCCGCCCGTCCAGCAGCCGGCGCCGCTGACGCTGCTCCCGCTGCTCGTGCTGCTGGCGCTGCCATGGCATGCACTTGCACCGCCCCCCTCCAGGAGCCCCTTCCGCCAGCGCGGCCGGCGCAGGCTCGCCGGCGCCCCGCACCGTTGGTGGATGTAGTTGCGCACCTGCGGCAAAGCGAAAGATCAGTTGTATCCTCGTATGGGGTGGGTTTTATCATGGGATCCCAAATGTGATTTTATGCAGAGGTGTGTTGTTTTCCCACTGATGAATGAAGGCCACCCCACAGCGTGTCGGGCATGGGGGTTGTCTGAAGGAAGTGCATCTGCATTGGTCAGCGTGGCTTCATCAAGGGGGGACGCAAGGACCAGTTCAGATTTCACTCGTCACAAATGTTAGCCGTGGACAGGAATTTGACTCGGATAGCCAGGTTCATAGCGAATACCAGAACTCCTCACAAATTAAATATTACTTCAAAATAGAATTGGCCAAATATCAGGAAGACAGGACACTCTTGAAAGGGTCTGATGACCAGTTAAGGCTTCCCTGGATGAATCATTAATCTTATTAAAAAAATGGGACATGGCCGGATGGCTTTTAAAGGTGGCATCAGAGCATTAACCCAGCACAGGCATGAGCCTAAGTTCACAATCAGCTTCCATCCTTCTGAGATTAATGCAGGTTCTTAAATATAGCGAGATGTCTCAACTTGGACAACCCATCAGAAAAAAAAAACTGGATTTTAATTTCTTTAGACATGCCTAATCCATTAAACAAAAAAAATACATCATTCGGCATTACTTTCGATGCAATATAGTTTGGATTTAAATGAAATTATAAATTCGACTGTACCTCAAAACTCAGTACAAATGAGAGTGGAAGTGCACTGTGGTTATACGAAGGGACAATTTTTGGGGAATGGACAGAAGAGTGGAAGTTCCACTGTGCAGGAACAGAAAGAGGCAATTGAAAACAATTCTTAGTCAGAGTTGGTAATGGGCAGAGATAACGAGGAAGATCTTGACCCCTTAAACAGAGGGGAAAAGTCTTGAGAGTGAGGACAAAGATAGTTCTCCAGACAACACAGACAGCTACAGAGGACAGACTTCCCATTGAGTGAAGGCTGACCTGGTGTTGAGTGTTGGAATGGAGGGCATGTGGAGGTGAGTAGATCGAGGAGAGGTAGGCAGCGATGGTTCATGGAGGATCTTTACGACAATTAGTGCAATCTTGACATTGACCTGGGATTGGATTGGCAGCCAGTGGAGGGGCAGGGACTACAGCCCTGGGGTGTGTTTCTCTGTTTCCGCTGCATTAGCCAGATTCATGTGTGGACATAAAAAGCAGCCACACATCTCATTTCCCCCATTGTTGTTGATATACATCGAGATGTTTGTCTAAAATTTTTTTTATGAAAACAAACCCTTTAATTGGGTTCATGTCCATGGGGAGCCGTAAGTTGTGCAACGCAATACTTTGTGCATGCGGGCGAACATACTTCCTGCAGCTTGACGTCCGTCAGGCAATTCAGCTCAATGATAAACTCATTGTCCGTCGGCGACACCTGGGCTCCGGGATCGATGATGCGAATGATGTCGAGCTGCTCGCGAAGGCCCATCTCTGCACTCACGCGCCGGCTCAAGTACTCGATGTACTCCACCTGCGGTAGAAAAAATAAAAACAAAAACACTCAAACGAGTGATGGAATGGCGATATCCCTCAGCCTTGATTGACTAATTTCAGTCAACTGCAGATGAGCATAGGATAAGTGTCGTCCTGTGACCGTGTGCGAGGGCATGCCTGTTCGTCGTTGGTCATGGCGCTCCAGGGAAGTTCCTCCAGGTTGCGTTGGTGTCTACCCCTGCCCCTCCGAGCGCGACCGCCCCTGCCACGTCCACTGGGACGGGGAGAGCCGGGGATGCTGGGAACGACGTCCGACATGGCATCGCTGCCGCTCGCGATGTCACTCCCACATGGAAACTGCAGGTCAAAGAGCAACACGGCAACAAAAACTGTGAATGCGAAAATGGCGTAACGGGCGTTACAGGCACCCACTTTGATGTTGTTGTCTTTTACCCAAAGAGTATCTAGATTTTTCCAATTGGTGTCAAATCACTAACACGAGGAATCCATTCGTAACTCTGGCAGAGCAGTGCAACCCTCTGTGTTACGGGAACGGTCATGGCAATGGATACCACAGAGTACCACAGAGCTACTTCTGAGAACCTTAAAATGAGCTCTGGTTAAGGCAGCTGGGAGAAGCACTTCCGCTTGATACGATGTCATGAATAAGAAACTGGGATTCCATTCCAAAACAGATGCTTTTGGCATCTCATTTCGATTATGCATAATTGTTTCTCTCGCCTTTCTGATTCTGTTCGCACCATGAGCGTAAAAGCAAAATTAACATAGAGCTTATGTGGGGTGCACATACACCGACTCCAGAGGGAGCGACATCATGTAAAACCTGCTCACACAACTACCACCTTCCAGCCGTGATCTGTGATATCTGCAGGCAAGAAGTTTCTTCACCAAATTAGGTTAGCCTTGCACTGAGGCCACAAAGCACACCACGAATCTTCACTGAAGTCATCCTCAAGGTGATGTACAATCAATAAATATACTATGTACAGTGGTCGAAATTAGATATTTCACAGTATGCCATCCTGGCACTTCTCACAACACGAAGCACATGCACTGGAACTTTTCAACAGTTAATATTCCGAAACTACGGTGTTTCCACAAAGGGGGAACAGCAATTAACATGAGCTGCAGACCAAATAGGTATCATACTGGGATGTGTTCATTATCATTAAGATCACTGACAATTTACAAAAATTATAAATAATGAAATGCATCACGAAGATAAGAACCAATTTTTATTGAAACAACGCATCGTTACATGCCTCCTGATAACTTCGGCGTGATCCACCAACACTTCTGTACTCACAGGCAAGCTCCAGCATCGGCACGCAACATGGTTACACGGCACCGTCGCCGACTCACCTGCCAGTCGATCTCGCTGTCGGACCAGTCGAAGAAGGATGAGACATCGCTGCAAACGCTGCCCTCGCCGAACAGGTCAAAGGTCATTCCCTGCAGGTCGTCGGGCAGCATTAGGCCGTCGTCGGGCTCCTGGTCACCCGCGGAGACGGAGGAGAGCAGCTCCTCACTGCACTCTGAGCTGGCAACACTCGTGTCGCACGACGCTGCGTGCCACCCACTAAACGCGCACATCGCGCACGCACACACCAGCAGGTACTATTAACGAGTGCCATACAATGCTCGCGCGCACACACTGTCACACATACAACAGCCGCCACTATCCAGTAAGCATTGGTGGCATAACCAAAGCGCTCGTGCCAATTTAGGCACTTTGAGGCTAACTGAAGTATCGAAGGCGCTCTGGCAAAAGACCACAGGACCTCTCACCTGTGCTCTACATTATACTAACACACATACATCACACAAAGACACACACAACATGCGCCATACACCACTAATTAGTGGTGACATCACCACAACGACAGGAATATTTTGAGCTGATGTGAAATATCGAAGGCTTAATCTAAAACATGTGGGACAGACCCGTGTAATAGTTAACATATCACGTACACACACACAACCATACACACGCACGCATCCACATGCATGCACACACAATATTGGGCATGTTAGCAGGAATGCATGAGCACGAATCTTAATTCGCTCTTGAATTAAATAAGTTTATTTGTATATGTAGACCTTCAAAGGGTGTAATTGATAATTAAAGTTCTCGAAGAAAATATTTAATAGCCTTGGTGGACTTAAGAGTTGTAGTGTACAATTTTAAAGGAAATGCATGTAAATGTCTGTACTTTTAATGAAACACTTTTCGTTTTACAGTGTTTGCTATATATATATAGCATAAAAGTTACTTTACATGTTCATTGAATGTTATGTAGTGAATAACAAATTGCACAACTTTTTGTCCCAAGGCACTTCACAATATAAAAATATACAATTGTACAACTAAACTGTTAATTGCCAAGCGATAGTACGTTCGCCACTTGTTGCAGAGGTTCACGGTTCCAATCCCACTGGCCACTGGTTATCACTACGGGTGTACTAACCTTAAAGATCCTGGGACGTTATTCACAGGAGTAATCCATTTTGTGCCCCAAGCCATGGATAAAATTTGTTAAATTACCCGCAAATGAGAAATTCAGATTATACGTAACAATCTTTGCCCCTCTCCCCACCGGACCGAGAAAACTGGGCAGGACCCTCCTTAAAAAGAGCCATGAGATTCAGCGAGGTAAACAAGCGCAATAATGATTTGTAAAATAAGACGGCTGACAGCAGGGATACACTTTCACTCGCCACGCAAGTTTGTTGTGGCCAGGAAGTTCTACCATTAATGTCGCTGCATGGTTTTCTTTGGCTATTGGGTTAATACATTCCAGCAGAACATACTTAAAAGCTGCGATTAAAATAAAACTGCCAGATCACGTGCAAAATTATTTGGCTCGACAACCGACTGAGACTGAAAGAGCGAGTCAATGAATGAGCGGGAAAGTGAGTGGTTGAGTGAGTGAGATAATGAATAAGTGTGTGAGCAGGTGAGTGAAATGAACAAGTGGATGTGGGGATAGGTGGGCGAGTGCAATGAGTGAATGAGCGAGTAAATGGATGAGTGGGTGAGTGGTTGCATGGACACGCGAGTTGGTGAGTGAGCGAGTGGATGACCTTATGAATGAGTGGTAGGTACACTGGTCACGTGAGTCAGTGACTGAGTAGGTGAGTGATTGAGTGAGTGGCCTTGTGAGTGAGCTACTTAGTGGGTGGCTGAATGACAGAGTGAGCGATCAACAAAGAGAGTGACTTTAGTGAAAGAGTGAGCGTACAAGTCAGTATGTGGATGAACAAATGAACAAGCACACGCCAACCGCCCATGTTGCTCAACTAACACACCGCTGTGATGATATGGAAAAGTGGGGGGAGGAGGGACAGTTAGAAACCAGACCTGCAGTGCTGCAGGGCGAGCGATCCGCGGTGGCGCACAGGTGGAGGTTCCCGCCCGGTCGAGTACGACGACACGGTAGAGGCGCCGTCGAACGGGGCGGCATCGGATGTGGCACCTGTGGGAGCCGCCGAGCCCAGGTGCCGGTCCGATACGAGAAACTGCCAGTACAGGCCTTCATGTCTCCCATTGCCGCCGCCGCCACCACCGCTGCAACGGCCACTGGGATAGGTATAAATTACCCAAAATTAAGTTGGCACATCAGCATGGTCCACACCTCCGATTAGCAGGGTTGGCTACATCGGGTGCGAAAGAAGTTCAAGATAATACGTCGGAGACGATAAACTGCCCATAGTTCCTCGCACTAACCAGAGGGGATTGATCATTAGACCTCCTTTGCCAGAACTAAAATGTAATAATAGGGTTTTTCCCCTTTTTTCTGGCAACAAAACTGAAACCTTTTTTACTAGGATTCATGTCTGCATTAACCACAATACCTGCAGTCAAAATGCAAACAAAAAAACATATGATAAAAAAACATATGATAATATATGCATTGTCCTTGAAACTGATTGGTCCACACCAAGGGACGGCTTTCTTTTGAGCCTCGACCCAATTGGTGCTCGACCAGATGACGCCAATTGGGTCGAGGCTCAAAAGAAAGCTGTCCCTTGGTGTGGACCAATCAGTTTCAAGGACAATGCATATATTATCATAGTATGTTTTTTGTTTGCATTTTGACTGCAGGTAGTGGTTACTGCAGACATGAATCCTTGTAAAAAAGGTTTCAGTTTTGTTGCCAAAAAAAGGGGAAAAACCCTATTAGAGAGGATTGATGTTAGCTTTGGCCACAAATGGAACTAAAGTTCAGTGCAGTATGATAAACACTGCACCACTGTTACCCACTAAGCCTATTATAGCCTACTAAATATAACGCAGTGGTAATGACGCACTGCAGGTGGTGAGTATTTGTTCTTTGTTGCCGCATTAGGCTGGCAATGCAGTCTCTTAATTGTAATATATACTGTACTGTTCTTACACACATCAGAGCAGAAATAATTCAGCATGCAATGATTCATTCATCGTAATCAATTATTAAAACAAATATGTTGCACGTTGAATTATGTAAGCGTTAATTTCCAATGTATGGATATTTGTATGCAAATTATATGGTAACGCTATTTTTTGGATGAAGCAATGAGTGTTAAATTTTGGGGGTTTTTCTGTTTATGATATGTGGGTGCCATGTACAGGGACTGAAGATAATATATTCAAATTATTATTATTTTGGCACTATGATGGGAGCACCTGATTATAATTGTAAAGTTCCCCATTCACAAAACTTAAAACTCGTGCCCTATGACCCAGGACAAAATCTCAGTGCGCAGGTTTCCCTCGCTTTATGCATTCCAACAAAACGGCGAAACCACATGAGACAGCTGCCTTCTGAGTAGCGCATACAAAAAGACAAACATCCCCCATATAGCCTAAACAGACTGTTGGGGCAAGTGCTGTTAAGTGAGCACCTACGAAGACTGGCACGGCACACGAGGGGGTGGGTGGCCAGCACCACGCCTGGCTGCCTTTGCCTGCCCAGTGGCGATGTTTACACACCGCACCAGGTATTCATTTGAGGCTGAGTCCATCTAGGGGAGATCCAGGACTGGTACAGATAATCGCCACTGGCGTTGGCCGTTAGCGGAAATCGAACTCGGGCCGCCGGGTTCGTAGCGCAGCGCACTAACCGCTACACTCCACACATTGTTCCATGTCTGACCGTATAGCCGTGTACAAGTGAATTCAAACCACATACAGCACACTTTGGATAGAAATAGGTCTGCCAAATATAAGAAAAATCCCACAAGCTGAACCTGTACAAGAACTGTTTTTGGGGTATTCCTTTAATGCTGTGTACTCGTGCAGCTCTTTTGCCAATCCACTGCTGGATGGGAGCCTCCTTATGCCTAGCAGGTCATTTCAGTTGTGGCCACACTTAACCACCCTGGCCAGTATGAGTTGGTCCAGGCAGGCGGCAAAAACGTGGGTAGCAGAGTAAAGTACAGAAGATTTATATGTACTGTCCTCTGCTGCCCACAACTTTATCGTAAGTAGTGTCCCACACCTCTGATTAGCACGGTTGGCTATGTATGGTGCGAAAGAAGTTAAACATACATACATAATAGTAGCTGAGAAAAACATTCTATATCCACACTCAGCACCCGATAGTGCAGGTAAATTTACATCCCTGTAAAACGCGGGGTCTAAAAACTGAAACTTGCCTGAATCCAAAATATTGACAAATAAATCAGAGTGAATGGCTGAAGAGGAACGTACCTCCACATGTCATCAGAGCCCAGGTCTGAGAGGGAGCATTCGCTTGTCTGCAAGTGAGAGAGAACAAATGTAAAACAACGTAAATGTAGGCTCGCTCTATCTTGATATTCACGTTCCCCACACGTGAGATTTCGTAAACAAAGACGTTACATAACTACTGCCTGAAGCTTTTCAATTACACTTGCATTCTGCACAGTATTATGCCCAAGAGCAGGGTTTCAACAAACTCCAGTCTTCTCCACCCTCCGTGGTCTGAATTTCAACATTTACCAATGATCTTTGTTTACATATCAATTAATTTGTGCTTTGTTGAAATACAAATGAAGTTGTCACAGGCTAAAGACATCTGATGAATGGTAAACAGAAGACATTAGATATTAACTATCTTGTTTTGCATTTAATTAGCTATTGCCCTCTTTGACTACGTTGAGTTCAAATTTCATCGCAGCAGCCCTCTGACTGCATGTGTGCAGGCACAAGATGGATTGTTACATTACAAGACCGTGAGAAAGGGTGATGGGCTTGGGGAAAGCATTAATCCAGCTGAAGACTGATAATGGCAGACAATGATTGATTGATGAATATTAATCGGCGCTGTCGACATCACACGGGATACACACGTAATCTATCTTAATGTGATCAGCATATCCCTGTCACGTGGAACATGTTTACGTGTCATCGGGTACGTGAAGTAGGTAATGACTTAATGTGATGCTTATAAATTGTTCAATGTGGCCACGACGTAGTTTAAAGCCAATAATCATGTTACATTTACAAACACATTATATATACGTGCCAATGTATTGATCAAACTCTGACCAGTAAAGTTCCTGGCTGAAGAATTTTCACGACTGAATTTAACATCAACGTAAGACGTTTCGCTCAAATTGATTTGAGCTTCCATCAGTGTATTCGTAAATCTTATCGGGCGCTGGAGGGTTATTGACAAGAACATTAGCATATAACTACTACGTGACCAAACACAAAAAAAACAAATATGGACCAATGTGCTGGCTATAAAAAATTTTTTACGTCCAATTAATATCTATTTGAACATAGAAGATTGGAAGACTTGGAAAAGCAGACCATTGGGGATCAAACGGACTGGAGTTTCTGAAATCCTGCATCAGTGCGTTTACACCAGCACAATGCAGAAATCCCTCCAAGACAACATATCAATAGGTAACAACGATTCAATGCCACTTGTCATTATCACTACAATCCCCTCAAATGGCTAGTACTCATGGAGAAAACATATGGCCACGGACTTTTAAGTCTTTTTTCTCACAATAACAGTATTACTTTACAAAATGTTGAGCTAAGGTGAATAATCAAGGCTTTTTAGGAGTCCTGCTGTGGCGTTTGGCCAATGCATGCTTGTGGGTGAAATAAAAAAAACATTTACCTCGGAAGAAAAAGCCCCACCCATAAAAATGAAGTGCACTCAAGTTACATAAATCTACTTTGTTATACTGGCCCATACAAGCAGAGCATCGCCCTGCCACTGTCTGCCTCCGCATGTTTCTCAAACACTGCCTCAAAAACAAAGGATCGTAGGCAAACATCGATGGCACCTCGACCACGCATGGCTAACCCTTAACAATTTATACAATCGGCACACCACTTTGGGGAAGTCATTACCGACTGTCCTATGGCTAGACTGGCTTCTGCTATAGAACCATGCAATTTACACCAAAGTTGTCCACGGAATTGAACACAACTCCAAGACGTGTTCGAGAATAATAGCAACTCTGATCAGCACGGCTGGCTACGTACAGTGCGAAAGAAATTCAACATACATTCTGCCAATTTTTGCCAAGATATTACCAACTTTGGCATGTTTTGTAATTACAACTGTTTAACATTTGTCTTTACAAGATTGCAAGGTAGGCCATCAACCCCCCCGACACCCCCCAAACAAATTCAGCTGCCGTTTTACAGTAAATACCATCAACCTGTGCTGGGTGGTGTGAGGCTGTCGAGGGTGGGAGGGTTGCGGGCAGCGTGCGGAGGACACTTAATCTCCTCGCAGCCTTTCCCATTAAGCGCCCCATTACAATACAGTTTGGATTAGCCTTCTCAAATCCCTCGCGTGGACACAAAGCACGTGTCTCTCTTGCGGGAGACATGAGGGTCAATAAGGCAGATGCGCTGCGTTTTAAAGAGAGGTCCAGCCACTGGAGCAACTGCCTCTGGGTCACATGGTGGGAGGTCATAAGAGACATTATGCCAAAAAAATCTGTTAACCAACCAGTGACGCAGGGCACCTGTCTAAAAATCACTTTTTTCACGTATTACACTGTGGAACAAAACAATTATCCCTGGGTAGTAAGTGTTATTTTCTAATTGCTTATGCCTCAAAAGTACAGAAAATGGCCATTATTCCCAACAAACCTTGCTTTTTTGACCAGGACACAAAAGCAAAGTTAATTATCCACTCCATTAATAACAGTGTAAAAATTTGTTCCTGGGTAGTAAGTGTTATTTCCTAATTGCTTATGCCTCAAAAGTACAGAAAATGGGTATTATTCTCCAAAAACTTTGCTTTTGTGACCAGGACAGTGATATTTAGAAATTTAAATATTTTCAATGAGAAAACGTGGTGTGCATTTGTGTCATTCCTTCATGTAAAGTCCTGGTCACAAAAGCAAAGTTTGTGGGGAATAATAGCCATTTTCTATACTTTTTAGGCATAAACAATAAAAATAACACTTAGTACCCAGGGACAAAAATCGTGTAACATAGTGTTATTATTATTGGACTTGCTTGTCTCCATCTTGCATGCACCTTGATGTCCGATGAGTTTCTCAACTTTTACAATAATTTTTAAGTGTAAGAATTGGTTTATTATACCTGTGCCCACCGGGATCAGGGAGGTCTTGCCAACATAAAGCCCCCCCAAGGCACAAAGGCAGCAGTGATGCATATAGACTGTACTGATGATTACCAACAATAATGCAACCACACTAGCAGGCAGATTAACCCTTCTGCTGTCTAAATTATGACCACAATGTTTGCTCTTTTGAGTTGGGAGGTCTAGAGCAAGGCTGGGTGGGCAAAATAGACATAATATGGTGACGTTATGCGACATCTAATGCATGATGGAATAACTGACCCTATGGTCACAAATGTCCCGTATAACATCAGCTCAGATCACACTGTCCGATGTAATATGAATGTGAAATTCCCACAACTTGCCAAGGAGATAGGTCCCAAAGCTTGTTTATGCATGGAAATACTTCGAATTGGCATAACGTAAGAACGATTGCCATGTCAGCCTCCATATTTTTGTTGTATTAAGGCAGTGCTAATGACGAATGGGGTGAATTAACATTTATAGGCATGAATTATTTTATAAATTACAGAGCTTAATCCGCTGCAGGATGGAGGACTCCCCACACGCCATGTCGGTTAAGAGTGATGTTTGACCACACTTCTCCATCCTGGGTTAGTGGTAGAAATGCCATATTCCCACAGTGGAGGTATATTCACTGTGGATACAGGTCATTACTTTAATCCATGGGGCACTGCCCCTAATCACAAAGGTTCTGGGTCAGGCACAAATTACGTCAAGGCACCCTCTCAGGCAAGGTTTCGGTTTTGTTATTGCTTATATACGTGTCCCTTAAGACTGCAGGAAACTGTGGCAGTGAGTCGCCACTAAATATCAACATACCTTAGGATGCATAACGAATACAGAAAGTAAGTTAATTGTACACTGAATACCAAAACAGTTAAATAAGTCAACATCTAATAAAGTACATGTTGTTTACAGAATACAATTTAACCTATACCATACATTAGATACACTGTGCTACGAACCGAACTACCAGAGTCTAATAGCCGGCCATGGATAACATAAGCGGCGAGTGATATCCGAAACGATCTTGGCGCCCCCCTTCACCAAGCCTCAACTTAATTTTTTTCATTTTACCAGGTAGGGTCCACTGAGCTATATCGCTGTTTGTCAGAAGCGACCTGGCTATCACAATTTATAGCTGAAGTTTGTGGCGGCATATTATGTGGACATTTATTTCAGCCAAATAATCTAAAGGCATGTTTCTCTAATGCGGAGGGGAAAACCAGGAGGAGAAAAACCCGGAGGACCCGGAGAAAAATCCACGCTTACACGGGGAGAACTTGCACACTCCAAATATACAGCAGGCGTCAGCGTTGGGATCAAACCCACGACTTCCTGCATACCAGGCGAGGTAGTTCATATCTCGCCACTGTACACATTATTCGGTAAGTGTTGGCAGATGGTGCGGCATTGGCAATGGCATGCAATTGTGCTATGACGAAGGGCCACTGCCCGAAACGTCGCCTTTTATATATTTTTCCTTTCAAGGACCAGCGTGATAAAGCACTGTTTGGTTAAACTAGCCCATCCGTGGCCGATACGGCATGGGCGACGGGTGGATTATTATTGTTTACGCGAGACCTGGACATACCCAGCAGAAATAGTATTCTCCATCTAATTTTACTCACCCGAAACAGTACCCAGCCTTAGCCGGCGGTGGAAAAATCCACTGTCATGCCAATAGATGCTTCCCAAACAGGGATACGCAACACCAAACACAAAAACAGCTATGGGTTAATACGATAATAGCAATATTGTTTCGACTACAGTAACGTAGCGTAAACAAATCCGATTGATTTAACACGCAGGCTTTCGCGAACAATACTATCCATAAGAGGCTTTTTTGGGTTAAATCGCGTAAATGTGTCGGAGAAAACCACCACCATCCGACACGGTCGATCAGTAAGGTTTGTCACGTAAACAAAACATGGCAATTCGTTACCAGGACAGCACACCGGTGGTGTGTTGGAGAGTAAAACCCACATTTACAAATAGTATTGAGACGTCACGTCCTAAGTCGGGTACCATCATCACGCCACTTCTGACCGAAACTTTACTTTCAATTCCTCCTTGATTTGAGGCTTTCGTGACTGCAGGAATCCATACTCTTTGGTTCATTCGTAGAGTTCACGACTCGTATAAGCCAAGGTGTGATATCCAATACAGGTACAGTATTTGTGTTAACCGCGCTGCTGGAAGAAGGCCTATCAACACCATGCGAGTCGTGGTGGTTATTTGACCATACCCCACAACGTTGTACAGTGTGTGTTAAGGCGGGGGGAAAACGTATACATGGATTCACAGTTGCTAGTACACAGCAACACATTCGTATATGGTATTGTACTATCATGTAAAGCTGCAAGAGATTATTACACCACACGGTCCTTTGAATGCTTACAATCACACACGCGAGTGCAATACTGTACAATTTACGCCGATATATTGTCGATCGCTAACCCCCTTTGTTAAAACCACACGAGTCTTTTAAACGCACGCAAAACCGTGTGAGAAAGGAGCTTCGAAAGGACCCCCCACCCCCCCATCGCCTCGCTCCAGGATGCCACTTAGGGAGTCGTCTTGGCGGGCGGCGCCGCCAGGCAATTTACGGTCCGCCTCGAGGCTTCAATCTCTATCTAGGCCCAACCAGGTGGCGATGCGTTCGCGGTCTAAACACCCCGCCCCCCCAAAAAAAAACCGTGCACAAACTAACAACAAACCCTAACCTGTCTCGAGCTCGTTCATTGCAAGTTGTCGTTAAGTCGCCATTGTAATCGTTGCGAGACATCTGCTGTTAAAGTCGCGAGCACTTACCAAGTCCATAGAGCGCCCAAGCTCATCCTTTAGATTCGCCATTTTGTCCGGCAGCGGGAGAGGCGGTGACGGGAAGGGGGTGGAGCCGCGCGCTGTCAATCACGCAGCGCGAAGTAATCCCATTGGTCCGTCCGTTCAGTTGGGCGGTCACTATACCCCCTTTGCTTTGACGAAGGATCATTGCCCGGGACGTCGTTTGTTTACTATACACTGTACTGTATATTATTACGTCCTTTTAAAAGAAGTGGCGTTTTTTTGCTGTTTTGGGATACCAACTTGCCAACGCAGGATCAACCAGATAACACGTTCAATGTAACACATGTATGCTTATGTACGTGCAAATGTAACTATTTAGAGCACACGCAGTGGTTAAGGTTGAACTATTTATAAAGCGATTACGCGTCTAAGCCGCGGGCTCATTGGTCGTAAATCCAACAAGGGGCGGGCCGGGGCGGGCCGGGGGGCGGGGCGGGGGCGGGGGCGGGGGCGGGGCCTCTGTGTTCTCGGTGCAGTGGGCGGTGCGCTCAACAACAAACAGCGCGGGAAAAAAGAAGAGAGGGGCCGGCGCGCTTGGCCGCCACGTGGCGCCACCGCGTGGCGGCGTCAACATTTCGCGCCCCGTTCCTTTCTTTCCGGCGGGGTTTTGGCGAATTGTTCGGCGGCGGCGCTTACGCGAGGCCCCCGCTCGTGTTAGAATTTCGCGCGCGAACCGCGCAATAGTGAATGCATCACCAACAACAATAAAATCACATTGATGTACATTTTTGACACCGTTCATAATTTTAAAATGATTGTACCTATGGTGATATTATTTAGGATAGATGATCCGTATGTGGACGTGATCCCTGGTGGTCTAGTGGTTAGGATTCGGCGCTCTCACCGCCGCGGCCCGGGTTCGATTCCCGGTCAGGGAACACTGTTTTTGGAAAATTTTTAAACACTGACCATGTTTTCTCTTTTGTTGTTTGCTGGTATAGCCAACTAAAGTAGATTTTTTTCTGGTATATTCCATAATTCTACTCTCATGGGCCACAATATTTTATTTGGTCTCTGTATGTATTCTGACTCATCCTGCGTGTAGTACTATCTTGTACGTAAAAGGTACGGTGATTTGAACAAATGGTGGTGGAACATCCAAAATAACTGGGCGAGGTTGTATCCTATGACTTGAAAAGTAACGATAACAAACAACTAAATAATTCCATTTTATCCAGGAAATTCTCAGTGAGTTACAATAACCTTTTTTTTAAAGTAGGGTCTTGCATTGTAATGTTCGATCGCATCTAAGAACGAGAATGTTCATCTACTTGTTAGATTAAACTGGAGAAATACCATGGAAACTCACGATTCCGAGAGGTTAACATTTAAAAGCCCTTTGGTTCTATTCGGTAAAGTCACGTAGGTAAAAAATAAAACAACAAAAATCACGATGTTTCGGACAGCGAGACAGTCTGCTCCCTTCACCTGATGAAGGCCGCTTGTGTTGTGGCCGAAACGTCGTGATTTTTGTTGTTTTATTTTTTACCTACGTGATTTTACCGAATAGATCCAAAGAGTATGGATCCTTGCAGTCACGAAAGCTTTAAATCTAGAATTTAAAAGCCCCCCCCCAGTCGTGGATTGCCATCCACACCCACTTACTGCCATCTCCTGGCCAACTCCTAGCGATGCACAGAAGTTTGTGTGACCCACGCCTCCGAAGTTACGGATTTATTAACAGGCGCGTTGTCGCGCGACACCCAACCACAATAAATTACACTAGTAAAAAAAGAAAAGATATGTACTTTAGAAGTATCCAAAGGTCGAACAACCTCCGATCTCGAACGAACGAACAAGTTGGGTTTATCCATAATACAGTTTTTTTTTGGGTTAGATCGCGTAAATATTTAAATGTTGTGTCGTTAAACCCGCCGCCACCCGACACAGCCAATTAGTAAAGTTCTGTTTACGAAAACCCTTACTAATCGGCTGTGTCGGGTGGTGGCGGGTTTAACGACGCATTTATGTTTATGCGATTTAAAAAGAAAACCTGTATTATTGATATTGGCCGCGACAGCCTACTGCGTGTTAAACTGAAGTTGAGTTTATCCCCGTTGTGAATACTGCACAGTACTGCATAGTAGTCTCTCGATTATCCGCGTGAGATGTTGACACAAATTAATAGCTCATGAATTTTCCCTGAAGCCCACATGAATTATTCTCGGACATTTTTTTAAAATTACAAATCACACGGTGCTTAAACCGAACAAATATGTTGCTCCGGTTGATCCGAAATCCACGTGATCGTCCCTACACTACAGTGGTTGCATATCTTTACAACAGTGGGGCGAAGTTAGATTTTTATTGTCATGGCTTTGCTAACATCCACTTGGTAGTGGACGAACTCTTCAGCGCTGACAAATGCGGTTTTTGGCAGGGAGATCCGCAGAAAATTTATTTTTTCGATTATCCGTTATTATCAATCATCCACGGCCGTCCTCCCCGTCATTTGCGCGGATAATCGATCGTCTTCCTGTACTTAGATTGGAGACTGGCCAAGCCTCTGGGGGCTTGGGATATGATGCGGCCTGTAACGGGTGGCAGCACAACGATGGGTGGGCTGGTTAGCCCTGGCTTTTTTGCGATCCTCCCGAAGGCAAACACTTAATAATGGAAATGGACAAACAATCTAACGAATAACCCTCCTGAAGAGTTGTTAAACTAGGTTAAATATTCCTGAGTAAAGGGCATTTTATTATTAAGGAGTTAGACGATTCCATTATCAGCCATGCACTATCCACTGCTGGATAGCCGTTATCATCTCCTTGATACGAGCTGATTACATCGTTCCATCTGCATGTTGGTGGTGCTCTTGGGCATGCATCCGCCATTTGGATGCCACTCCGTGGTTAATCTCGCCATTCATCCCTAATAATGACATGCCCTGTACAAGACCACGTACTTCTCTGAGCAGTCAATAATGATGGCAAGTTAGATACAATATCTATTGTATTGTTTCCTGTTGTAACGTTCTGACCGACACCCACTGGACGTCTATGAAAGAGCTTCATAGCTCATCGATTTTCTCCAGGATAAGGAAAGATTTTGTTCTGAAATAAATATTCTCTGCAAGAGCACAAATTGTGTGGAAGAAGGCGAAGAGAAGGATAGATCAGGATGTACGACATAAAACACTTGGTTTCCTTCAGGAAGTAGGATAAATAATTTAGGTTATTCGAGTCAAAAATCGTATAATTTTGACCATTTTCCAAAATATTGTGTTTCACTGTAGCAGACACTACTGGTGCCATGTGCTGTGATTTACGCGTTGTTTTCTTTATCCGGTGGCGTCCCAATTTTAACTGTGATTGAATGGAATTATTGACATGTGGCTCATTTCTACTTGAATCTCCTTCAACTGCATCCGAAATGCGTGTAATTCCGCAAAATATACACTGTACAAAACCCAGACGTGTGTTTTTTCCTGTTTGTGAGCAGGATGGATTTTTTTTAAAGCACATATTCATTCTCATCTTTCCTTTAAAACATTTCCAGACAATCTTTTTAAAATGCGGAAAAGTAATTTTGTAAACTCGGTGAAATGTTATGGGAGAGCAGCAACAGCGCAGGAAGCACACAATCACACATCTTACCTTGGCACCAATGATTAAACTCGACACATAGTTGCCAAGCAGTGGGAGGGCCTGGCAACTTGTCTAGCAGCAACATTAACTCAGATCGACCACCTGGGGTAAGGCACACACACACTACCATGACTACTATATAGGGAGAGCTCACAGGGCTGCATCTGCAGAAGGGCATACTTACTATATTGGGCTGTGGGGGGGGGGGGGGCACATAAAACCAAGTGGGGGTACGCAGGGCCACATGGCAAAGCAGGCCACGCTGGCAGAGGCCACCTGGGTTTCATTATGAGCTCTTCTTATTCTCTGCAAAAACTCACCACCTCAAGCAGCCTGCGAAATGTGTTGTTGCTGTTGGACCACATTTTACTCTCGTTTGACCTCAGCGGGCGCTTGGTTTCCGTTTATTTATGCTCCCAAGGTGGCCTGGCTTTGGTCACACGTGCCGCACATTTATGGGCACGAGCGGACAATTGTAAAGCAAATTAATGAAACGTCTTCATTCTCGGCTGCGTGAGAGCACAACGAGACACGATACATTACTTTCTTGATCTATCTAAAAGCCTCCCAATTGCCGCTGGATGCCAATGGAGGTTGTTTACCGTGCTTCGTCAGGAGGGGTTGATGAAGGGTTGACCCAGGACAGGTTCATGACGCATATCACCTCCCGTTGATGTTTAATGTGGCCAGGAAAATCTGGGCAGGCATATAATATCTCCAGATGTCGAATTCTAAGCAGGGTTAAGCTCAGCACTTTCATGGAAGACTGCCTGAGAATACCAGGTATTGTGGTGGTTGGCTTGCAACGTGGCCGTAATGAAAATGTTAATCTATCTGTACGTAACTTTTAAAGATACCTCTCTGGTATGTGCGCCTTTTCTCCAGGTTCTCAAAGTTCCTCACGCAAGCCAAACACCCCATTAATGGAAATGTACAAACATCCCAATACAGTATGAAAAATAAGAATAGGTCTTTACCCTTTCTGGCAATAAAACAGGTGTTGAGAAGATGTTCAAACACCCAAAAGAAACCTTTTGCAAGGAATTAAGTCGACATTAACCACACCTACTTGTGGTGAACATTCTCTGATAAGATTTGCAATGTCTTTGAAACTGATTGACCTACACCAGAGACAGCTTTCTTGAGGGCCCAGTCTCACCAGTGTCAGACCAGAGAACGCCAAAAGGCGAACTGTACAGTATTATTATTTTTTCATAATTTTATACTGGCAAATAGGTCCCAATTCGTATCCCAATACAGGACTGTCCTGAATAATATAACTGAGATTCCATCCTAAATAAAAGGCAGTATTCGGTAATTTTACCTTATACATTACATGAGTATGTTATGAAAGTAACTGTTGTACATAGTGTAGTACTTTATGTACTTTATAAACATTTGTATAGAAGCTTCCGAACCTGTACAGTATGTGCAACATTTGAACATTCCCCCATACACATTTAAAATTGATTTCCTCTGAACCCTGCTCCTTTCTACCACGTGCAAGCAATTTACAAATAATGGGCCAAACATCAGAACACAGCAACCCTTCTAAACATGGGTCTTGGCTTTGCTCGGTATACGAATAGCAATAATGGTAATTTGCAACCAAAACTGTGCTCGTTACTGTTGCGACTGGGCAAGGAATCAGGCTGGCGTTGGTTGGCATTTGAGCCACGGTTCGTTTGATTCCAGAAAGAAATAAAAAAATAGTATTCAATAAAATAAAATACTTTGTGTTTTGAGCACCGAGCAAAGCTAAAAGCCCTGCAAGAGTCCATTGGGCGCTAAACTGTGCAGTTATTTTTTTGTGCGTTTGTGGCTACCCTTTCCAGAATGAGCTCAGGCCGCTGCGTTTTAATCCCGCGAGAGGGTGAAAAGGGGAGTTTGGGTGGAGGCCAGGGAAAGGGCTTGGTTTGGAATTGATTCTTTTTGGCTGCCGCTGACTTGGTGCGCGTGTGTGTGTTGGGGAAAAAAAAAGAATGAAGGCGGGGACACGGCGGGGAGTAGGGCTGTAAGTGTGGTGTGTAGCGAACGCGTGTATAAAAGGGAATTGATCTCGTGACGGCTTGGCCTTGACTATACACAAATCCAGGCGGTGGCGCCCAGACTGAAGGGAAGCCATCTGAGGGTTAATGCTCTCAGTGAAGGTAAGTCCACATTGGATGCTGCCCATACACATTCTGCTCGAAATTATAATCGTAAAATACGTCAGTGGGAAATGTCAGCAATTATTTACACTGTGTTGACTATACCCGAGTTGCGGTATTGAGAAGATGAGTTTTAATCCTGGCCATGATCATTTCAGTGTAAGATCATCCTCATCATTCTAAGATCAGTAAAAAAATAAGTACCAATTGGTGGGGCCGCACCTCTTGGTGGTAAGCCAAGAGCGGAGTGGAGATTAAGACTTGTCCCCTCCACAGGAATGTGGATTTTCCACCACTGGCTCAGCAACGGAAATGAGCACGGCTCAGCGTTCATTTGAGCATGGGAACACTTCGACTTTTGTCTTACTAAATGTTTCTAAATACGTTAATTCTGTAACCGAATGTATAAATGTACAAATATATATACTTCCACATGCAATAAAGTTCCATTTAAGTACATCAGTATATGGGCTTTCCAAACCAAATGTTTTCCAGTTGCATTTGTTTAATCAGGCAAACTCTGGAACGACTTTCACTCTCAGCAGTAGGGTGCGGCCTATCAAACAAATATTATCGCGTTACCAGATGCTGCAGGCAAGTTTAAGGTTTATAAGGTACGTTTTTAAAGTTGTCAAAAGGATTTCATTGCTTGGCTCGCTGTGCTGTTGGTCTGCTTTGGAAATCGCATAAGCTCCCCCCATCATCTTCCTGTTACGGATGACATTTTTCAGTGTGGTTCTATTGGAAAATTTTCACTTGGGGATTTCTATTTTTGTCATGAAGCAAATGGAGTAGCAAATGTTGCTAAAATATCAATACACGGGGAGGTTGTTGGGTCGCCCAAAGATCTGGGATGCTGAGATCCTGGGTTCGAATTTGGGCAGCTGCACATGATTACTCTGGATTCTCAAGTGTAGTGAATTGACGGTTTCTAGTTTGTCACCAATGATTGCACACACAAAAAAAGTCCCCACGAATATTAAATTTGCTTTTGTACTTAATATGGCTAAATTCCAGCTCTGAGAATTAAAAATATCGGCTTGACTGTCAGGCGATAAATCCTTTGTCTCTCTAGCGAGGCGGTTAGGAAAATGCTGCTGCCCAGTATGAGGCAACTTGAAAATATTTAATAAGTAGTTCTGTGAAATTATCTTCCACGGGCCATTCTGTTATATTTCCAAATGTATTAGTTTTCTCATGATACGATGCCTATCGCACTTGGCGGGGAAAGGCAATAAATAATGATTTATCAAGATCCAATTATCATGATGTTTTATTTATTATTTAAACAGTTAATTACGTGTTCCTGGTTATACATACTCAGCAGTGGTGCAGTGGTTTGCATACTGAGTCATGAACACAGAAACTCGAGTTCCATTTCTGGTCATGGTTAACATCAGTGGCGAGTGATATCTGAACTGTTCTTGAGCATGCCCTGACGGCAACCCGCACTAATCGGCATGGTGAAGTATAGTCAAACAACGCCTCATAAGATAGAGTGGAGAGAGTCTTCATTCAGCAGTAAATTTAAAAAATGTTGTAAGTCGTGATTGGTTTATTATATTCAACAAAAAAGTTAGTCATGGCGGCTAATGACTTAAATCCAGCACCTTTGCAAGCAATAGTTAGTGGATGACACAGATACTGTATTCGTGGATTTCCCAAAGCTGTCCGGCTGTGACGTTCCCAGTAGCTGAGACTACAACAAGCGGGTTTATGAACTAATTATATTGGTGACGCTGCATTAGCAATGATGCAGGAGCGCCACTGCTCATTTATTGATGATCCATACGGACGGCTGAATGTCGTCCTCTGTGGCATGCGAGGTGAGTTTTCTCAGGGTCCTCTGGCTTCCACCCAGACAAAATAAAACCCCCAATTTAAACTTGAAATTGACCAAAACATCTCAACAAGGCAAGATCCTTCTAAAATAATCTTATTAAAATTCAGTGTGGCTTTTATTGCTAAATAAGTTATTATCATCATCATCATCAAGGCATCATTCATGAATATTTTATGGTCATTTAAAGCAGGGTGTAAAGTTAGGACACTGTGACATATCTTCTTGGTTCTTTCGGTAAAGTCACGTAGAATGGCATAAGTGATCTACAACGTGGATTTCCCAGAACCCGTGTCTAGGTTGGCCGAACTTTTCACGATTACTTGGCAGAAGATTGGCCAACACCTTCACATTTTGGATGTAGGAGGAAGCTACAGTGGTTGAATAAAGCCAACTCATACAAGGGGATTTCACACACGAAAATAACAATACACATTAAGCAGCAACCCACTTGCAACTGTCATCTACTTAGCAATCTCGTAGCCCAGAAGTTTGTGTATATCGTTCACACGATGTTCTTTGCATGATCAACCAACACAATTTTATTACAGATGTGGTTACTTAGACAGTGATCATGGGAAAAAACACGTTATAAATGAACAGTTATGTAATTGCTCACTTTAGGAAAGCCTCACTCCAGCAAACATTCGGCTAACGTTGGCATGTGGTTGGAGGTGTTCGACCAAAGATTAGCCCAGAGTTTGCCCCAATGTTTCATGTTCACTGCGACTGAGTCTCAAGTATCTTTCCCACGACTGTCCTGGTACAATGGGGGTGGGTGATGTTTGGCCAAATCCATGAATGGGCATTTGTCTTTCACGTGGGAAGAAACCAGCAAACTTGGGAGAAAATACACCACACATACGAAGGGGCAGCACGCAAGCTCCACACAGATAGAATCAATAATCCATTTCTGCACTGCCATCTCCTGGTCGCGTCACAGCACGAGCCTATAGCACCTGGTATTCCCAGGCAGTCTCCCATAATCCAAGTGTTCAATAACAGGGCTATCTCCATATATATAAAAAGGCAAAGTTGTGATTATGTGTCTGTTCAACATGTTTAGCGTACTTCCCGACATGCAACAAACTTGAAATTTGCCATGTGGGTACTTTCCAGACTATACACCATGCAAACATTATAAAAATACACTTTTGGTTTTTTTTTTGGGGGGGGGGGCTCAATAATGCATTTATTTTTTGCACGGCAAGTGAGCTGTGACGACAAATCTGTCACGTGACCCTCGCACGTGGGAAGCGTAACGCATTGCAGTGTAGCGGTTAGCGCTACGCTGCGCTACGAACCCGGCGACCCGAGTTCGATTCCCGCTCACGGCCACCACCGGTGACGATTATTTTAACCGGTCCTGGGCCTCCCCTAGGTCGACTCAGCCTCAAACGAGTAACCGGTGTGTGTGGTGTTGTGAACATCGCTACTGGGGGGACAAAGGCGGCCGGGCGTGGTGAATCCAAGTCCCGGGCGAAGCCGGGTAGTCAAGTTAATAAACAACCCTTTAAGTTGCATAGAAAAATAATAGTAAAACCCATTAATAACGGGAAAAAATAAACGCCAACAAAAAAAATGTCAACATCAAGCCATCTGGTTCACTTTGAATGTACTGTACTGCATTTCGACTTCATTACCCCATAGCAACACAAAAAAACATAACACAGCCAGCGGTCACACGTGTTTGTAAAGTAGGGGGTGGCGGGGAGACAGCTTCAAATGACGACATAAAAACACTGAGAAGAAACACGTAAAAAAAGTACGCAACTGTAAAAATATGCACTCGTGTTGTTATTATGCGGGTTCTGATGGCAACAAGCTTTGGGTCCAATTGGTTCAGGTCAATTTACTACAAATTGCGTTTATCTTTATATTAGAATAAACACAACTCTTCCGACTAGTTGTTTCCACTCTCTCACTATGTACAATTGTCTATGTTTAATGAGTAACGTGTTATAACGCGATGGTGGCGCTTTTAAGGGGTGGCAGTTTTGTGCCAGAATGGGCCCACGTTTTTAAAGCAAAAAAAAGAAAATTTTGACATGCCTTGGCAAAAAGTGTTAAATTCTAAGAGAAATGAGCGTCAAAATAATGATTATGATTAATAATCAGTGTGTTAAGTTAAATAATTGTGCTAAGCAATTAGGCACATTAACATATCCGTCAACCCATACGGTTTAACCCGTATTCTTGTACAGGGAAATTGAGTTTTCAGGTCCACGCGGCAGCCAGCCGTTTCAATACGGGCACAAAAATAATGTTTTATCTACTTGTTTGTGTTTCTCCCTTGTGATGGGACTTTGTAGAATGAACGTTGAGATTTATAAGGGGCACGGGGGTGACCAATAATGTCTGAATTGGTCTGTAATAAGGTAGGGCACCGATAAGGGGTTGACAGGTATGCATTAATGGTATAAACAAAATGCGTTAATCATCGTAACGTGCACATCCCAATTTAACGTTGCGGTAATGCAAATGTTTCTCTAGCGTCCCCCTGTGGCTCTAAAGCGGATTACAAAACCACAAAGTTCTAATTCCACCGCGCAAACCAACCAGGCGTTCGAAGTTAACAATTTGGTCTTTTACGGTACGTTCGGTAAATTGTCAGCGCATTCGATGGCCTCATGGCGCAAGGCTCGCCACCGCGAAGTAAGGCGCTGCTGTGTTTCACCGAAGCAAATCTGCGGTGGTTTCTCAGCAACGGGGTTTTTTTTTTACATCATGGGACCTTCTTCCATTGTCAGTATCAAAATATAAGAATAAAATGATCAGCACGAGACTAAAAGAACATCAGAGAAATATTCAATACTCCCAAATATACAACTGTCAGCAATAGCAGAACACGCGTGTCAACAAGGACACTCAATTTATTTTGATAATTTTGAAGTTCTGTGCAAAACCAGCTACTGCTGGCCAAGACTAATTAGAGAATCTGTCGAAATTGAAAGAAATAAAAAATAATTTTATCCGTTCAGATAGCTACCGCCTTAGTGCTGCGTGGAAGCGAATCATCAAATAATAAATTGTTTAAATGCCTTTAAACAATGTTCACATTTTGGCGTCCTCTGGTCTAACACCGTTTGAGACTACGCTCTAAAGAATGCTGTCTCCGGTGTGGACCAATCCGTTTCAAAGACAATGCATATAACTATCATAGAGCATGTTTTTTTTGCATGGTCACCACAAGTATAAGCGGTTACTGCAGACAAGATTCCTTGCAAAAAGTTTCAGTTTGGTGATTTAACATCTTAACACAACTGTTTTATTGCTAGAAAGGGTAACACCTTTTCTTATATAACGGGGTTTTTGTTTTGTTTACAAATATTTCTACAACTTTTATTATTCTGTCGGTGCTACTGCAAAGTGTTCCTGCTGCTAACAATGACGACAGCTAGTTGATAATCGATTATCCATCCGGCTGCTTCCAACATTATCCGGCTGCCATCCCGGGCCGATACGGCGAAACCGCTCCAAAGTCCAGTCCGGCTATCGGCACCGCGTGCGTGACAAAAAAAAGTGGCTACGCTTGATTTCAGTGTTAAATATTATATGCAGTACATTATACACTACATACAACTTAAACAATGAAAATGCTGCACTATACTTTATACATCAACCCATGATGCAGTCTTCTAGTTTGGAGCGGTAAGCATGGTGCAGTAGATACTGCAACTTTTCTACAGTGATATTTAAAACAAATCGATTTGTATGTTTATTTATGCCAATTTTACATAGTAAACAAATTTAAAACACAAAAAACATACAACAATACCCAAAAACCTAACGTCATACAAGAATGTGCAAAATAAGTAATTTATAACAACGGTGTAGTGATTATTTAGCGTGTTTTAAAGATCCGGCGCCCACCGAATAATCGATGATCCACTGTCGACCACGTGCACCGCTTTTACACGTGGCCTCATCTCCCCCCCCCACCCGTGCCGCACGTCTCGCCGTACCCACGCAGATGCATTCACTGGAGCTCCTCCTCCTGTGCCTCGTCGCCTTCACCTCGCCGGAGGCCGCGGGTTCCCCGCAGTCTCCCGACGGCTCCCGGGTCTCGTCGACCCTCTGCAAGGGTCGCAAGATGCCCACCGCGGGTGCGTGCAACAGCGAGATGCTCCTGTCCGGAGAGCTGGGCGGAGAAAACCTGCGAGCCGTCTCTCCGAGCCTCCCCGGTCACTACTGGGAGGGCGAAGGCTGCCGTGTCCTGTGCTTCTGCGGGGCTGGGGAGTTGATGTGCTGCCCCAGGTAAGGATGATTTAGATTGCGTACAAGTGGCGGAGGGGGAGGCGGGGTGGTGCTTGGGTTTCAGGTGTGCAGGGGGTGCAACTGCACCCGGGGGAGTCTCACTTTGAATCGACGTCACAGGTGACCGAGGGAGCAGGGGGGCGGGTCTTGGTGGGGGTTTCCCGCCTTCAAAAGGCAGTATGTGGAGGCATCCACCATTCTTTCAAAGGGCTCAAAGTACATTGGTCACTCGGTTTACGATGCTATCGATTCACGATATTCCGATTCATGATCCGCCTTCCACATGGTCCAATCGTTTCTATTAACGAGAAATGTTTGATTAACGATGCGTTTGCAATATCACGCGGCCGCTAATTTCCGCCAATCGAAGCGCTTCTAAGTGAACTCGGAAGACCTCAGCCAACCAGCGACGTCCTTTTAATCGACCATGAATAAAATACAGTAGTTGAATTCGTTTTAGTTAATTAATCTACATACTTGACTAATCCTCCCCGGCTGTAGATCTGGCAGGCAGCGATGGCGAGGAATGGTGCAATCACTCGTACCGGCCGTGATGACCTCCTGACCTCGTGCCACCATCCAGCATTAAATTAATTCCACTCCATACGACTCTCCAACGCAGTGACCAGCAATTCCGTAATCGATTGTTTGGGAGATGAGGTTGGTGGATCATGCAAGGATCGATTATATGAACGAGACTCCGACACAGTTGAAGACAGTACAAGTAGGCTACTAATTGTTTTTTTTACCCTTTTATCTGGCAACAAAACTGACACCTTTTTTTACAAGGAGTCATGTTTGCATTGACCACAATACCCGCGGTCGGAACGCAAACAAAAAACATAACTCTGATAATGTATGCACTGTCCTTGAAATTGATTGGTCCACATCCGAGACAGCTTTCCTTAGAGCCTAGTCTCACATGGTGTTGGACCAGATGATGCCAAAAAGCGCACTAAAAAAAGGTGTCAGTTTTGTTACCAGATAAAAGGGTAAAAAAAACAATGATCATATTTTGCTACTGCCAAAGGAGGTTCCAATGGGGGAACAAGTAGGCTGTTGACTTATATGTACAGATGTTTTGAATTGTATCATTTCACAAGTGTGCGTTTTCTCAGCGTACTCTGGTATTCTCTCAAACACAAACTACTCATTCGACAAACATGTTGCAGAACTTTTTTGACATAGAGCTTCGAGGCTCAGTGAAGCTTTCTTGGCAAACAAGACTTGTTTCTGTATATGTATTGGAATAACAATGACAATCATTGGGCCATGGGGCCCAATTGGCCAAATGTTAATTGGATGGGGTGGTGAGGCGACCAGCTGGGTCAAAGGTCAGAACTCTGAGCTGAAATGTGAGTGAGGTGCTGGACTCGATTCCAGGCAGCTTCTTGTAATCAAATCAGGTTCTCAAGTGCAGTGAGTGGATGGTATAGGCCTGGTCACCAATGACTGCACAAAAAATACCAACACGTTACATTTGGTTCTGCACTTAATTCGCCGAAAAATCCAGCTCGGAGAATTAACAAAAGAATCGGATTGACTTGTCATGCAACGGATCTCACTCTCCTATGCAGGGCAAGTAAAGGGTGGTGCCCTCTGTGTGTGGATTACATGTCACTTGAAAACAATCTCAGAGGTAGCTCTGTGATATCCACTTCTGTGAGCCATTCTCCAACACGCACTGCAGTGTTTTGGCACGAGGTCCGATTGGATATTTCGTGTCACGACATGATGTCAAGTGCACAATCGGGTTAACACTGGCGAAGAAATTATGGAAAAAAGTTAATGGGGTGGCAATCGGTATCTGGATGCCCCTACTGATTGTAATTTAATCATTGCTACCATCCTACCCGTAGGGAGGTGTTCTTCGATCCGACGGTGCTACCTTTCATCCCGTGCGACTCCCCCATCAAAACCAAAGATTAAAACTCAGAGGATGGATGCTGGGCAAGCCGCAGTCAAACTTCGAAGAAGCATGAACTCATTCACCTAAATGCACCAGTCACTCATCAAGTAAGTTCACTCGACTTCCTTAGAAACTCATTAACTTCAAATAGGAACTCACTCGATCGACAAGCAACTCGCTTAATCTCTGATATATTCACTGCACCAGTCACTCAACAGTTGAACTAGCATGTCACTCAGCATACTAAGCAACTCAGGTAGGAACTCATTCAACAATAAACTCACTTCATTAAGTGAACAGATCACTCAGCAAGCCAATGAACTTGCTTCGCAACTCACCCCATACACTCATTCACTTAACTAATGTATCAACTCCCTCATTCAAATAATCGACTCAACACCTCACTTCACCGATTCAGCAACTCATTTGTGAACTTACTCGCCACTCGGTTTCCATTCATCTAGCATCTCCTCAAAATGCCTCATCAACCGATGGAGCAACTCCCTGATTTTTATGGACTCCCTCAGTCCACTTCATCTCACTATTTTGGAAGAGGAAGGTTAATGCGTATTATATTCATTTTGCTATTATTTTGAGGCAATGACTAAATTAATTCCGCTGAATTAAAGCGACACATTTTTTACTATTTCCAGTAAAATATAAATGGCACAAGTGACAAGTTGTCAATTAAAGATGATTAAGGGAGACAATATTACCTTCGGCTATGCAGGTACAATTAATGTGGCATTAATGTAACGCTTATAATGATTAAGGTTAGGCAACTGTTGTTGTAATATATTATCTCTGAGTAGCACAGAAAACAAGACATTGTGTAAACTATAACTTTGGTTCACAATTAGTGTATTCATTAGAATAACTTATTCCAATATATATTTTTAAGAAAAGGATGGATGAAAAACATACCTCCTTACATTTTTTTCCCCAGTCAAAACAATAACAAAATATGTTCATCTTTTGTTTTTCAAAGAGGTATACAAATTATGGAAACTTTGTTTTAATCCATGTAAGTAGAGGAATGTTTCATCAGAATCAGAATCTGTTTTTAAACTGATACTCTATTTCTTGCTCAATTCGAAACCCAGGACGATGTCTACTCTGCCGAAGCTTTAATCCTCCTGGGTTATCACGCAGTTCCCATCGATCCTGTCATTCGTAACATATTCAATCGAGCACAGGTGGTGGTGCCTTATGTATAGGGTTATTAATCACAACATACCTGTGTGACTGCTTCAGTGTGCCTAACAATGTCTAACTAATAGCATGGAAATTCATCAGCTGTTAAAAACAGGTGCGCGTTTCACAATCCACGCAATATTTTGTTAGTTTACCTTCAATCCCTTGCATATTCGTTTACCATACTTTAACTGCAGTGACTATATTGGTATGTAACGTAAGTTGCACTCTGTGATTGAGTCTGTGTGTAGTTTGTTGTCCTTTCCCTGCACCTCCGATTAGCACTGTTGGCTATGTACGGTGCGAAAGAAGCTCAACATACATACATATACGATACGTTTTAAGAGATTGAGGAGATGAATACAGTGGGATTCTTTTACCCAGCAGTGGGAAGTAAAAGGCTAAGAGAGCACTTTGTAATGCAACGTATTAAACATTTGTAAGTTCCATTGCGTTGCGTTTACATTTCCTTAGATATACAGTATATCGATTTCAAGTTATCCTTTTTTTCTGTTGACCACGCCGCCACCACTGCACGTGGTTTTTATTTGTCGGCCGAGTTGATCAGGGGAGAAGGCTTGCTCTGTGTTCAAACACCGTTTGCAAATTATTTTAATAGTTGGTCAAAAATTAAATCCCAGGTCACCAGAATCAAAGTGCAGTCTGAACTACGTACAGATGCCATCCCATCAGTTTTTTGGTTTGTTCAAATCAAAGCACATCGCTCACTCCTCTCATCTGCAATGTGCACAGCTGCCTCACTGCAGAATATTTTTTGTTATTCCAATTCCTCCCAGAGCTCAGCTTTAATACATCTTTCGAACTTCAACTAAGTTTATTGATTTCAAAACATTTAATCAACTCTCACGTAGTCTTCTTACTCAAGCCATGTTATTGGACACTTTAATAAAAATACATACATGAAAGCGATTTAAAACTTGTCTTTATTTTGTAGTTGGGAAGCAAATGTACACGTCATTTTTTTTCAATAAAAGCTTTGGTGAACACGTAAAAAAAAAAATCTGTGGTTAAGTGACGACTCTCGATGGCTCTGCAAACGTGATGCTGGCCAACGAGAGCGGTCAAGGCGCAAACCGCAAATTAAATATGGGTCAAATGCACGTAACGTTCATATAAAGCTCGACACTTACACTTTACATCTGCGAAAGTTTTTTTTCCTGTTTACCTTGCTTTTTCTTACTAAATTAATTTATTACATTTTCTCTTTCATCACGTAAAAAAAACTAAAAAAAAATTAATGTCGCTTTTTTTTTTATAACCCTACACTTCAATTACATTTGTATCCAGTAAAGGCTTTCAGTTTGGCAGTTAAAAACCACACGAAACCTGTCGACCTCTTCATCTCCAGTGCTTGTGTTTTTGGTGGACGAGCAGAAAAACGTACGGCTCGGACAGCCCACCTGTTATTTCCGTCCGCCAACAATAGCACCCAGAAACACAGCAAAACGCATCCTGGCAGCGTGTTGTCTTTCAGCCTTCGCACGCGACAAACGGCGAGGAGGATTTTCGGTGACGCCGAGATACACCATAAAACGCCACCACACCGCAGGAACATGGAATTTATACCACTTGACTAAATATACGAGCTTTTAAAATGAGATGACCACCCCCCCCCAATGGTCAAAAGAGCAGGGAGGGGGGTCGGGTCATTAACAGGCCCGAGAAAGAGCCACATCCTTTTAAACCGGGCGTAAAAAAAAACAGGAAATGTTTAAAATCTTAAAAGAGTATGATATTACTCGGTCATCGAGGCCTTGTGATTGGTGGAAAAAGTGAGTTTGCTCTTTAAGCCCGTGCATACGCAGGCTCTCTCTCGTGTCAGTGTCTTGACTAGTTCTCACGCAAAGATGCATTTTTCGGAACTCGCCAATCGGCAAGCTTCATGAGCAAATGCGATAAATCCTACGGCACAATACACGTTAAGCTCCTCAATCTTAATTTGTTGGGAGCCAAACGCAGACTTTGCTGGGATTCGTATTTTTGCTGCCAGGATGCATTTTTCCAAAGCCTTCACTGGGGGTCGGCATTCATTTATTTTCGCATCTCTGAATGTGGCCAACACTGACAACCGTTGGTGCCAGATTGCCAAAAGGGACGCCTAGAAGCGCCAAGTGCCGAGTAGGAAAGCGCTCAACTCGGACCGGCGAGTCAACAACGTGCTGGGGCCAATCCCAACCAAGGCATCCTCGTGCCTCAGCGTCTTTGCCGACTGCACGCCGAGTGCAAGGGATTGGAGAGACTTAAAAAAGTAACAACCACGTTTCGTCAACCCGCTGACAGCTTAAGGTGTCTTACGTTCACAAAAAAAACTGATCAATGGGAAACGATGGGAGCAGCAAACTCGGCACATGAGAGATACTGTACATGGCCTCAACATGCACCATGTTCAGCCGAGTCCCTGATCGCCCCCCACCCCAATCTCCAATAAAAAAAAATGACCTCTCCATTAATTGGCGATCTCAGTATGAGCACTGGCCACACTTATGGCGTTGCCAACGCCGCGTGAGTCATTGGTGGAGGTTGACTCCACGTTCACGGAGCAATAAGCGGGAACCCACGTGCGTGACCTCCGCACTCATGGCACTCGTGGCACTCGCAACCCCCGTGGTGTGAAGTAGGAAAATGGAAGGAGAGTACACAGGGCTGCAGTTGCCTCGTGTTTCCGTGCGGTCGGTCGGTGCGTGTGCGCGAGGCTCGGTGTATGTGCGTGTGGGCGAGCGGACTCGGGGTTCGGGTGGGACTACCCTTTGATGGGGGCGGAGAGAGGGGACCTCTATCCGGTGACCGTTTCCGGCTTCTGGTCCAGCTTGCTCTTGTTGTTCTTGACCATATAAATGAAGTAGGTGAGCGTGTCCTTCTCGCTCACAGGTATGGTCCGGAAGTGGCGGCTGATTGTCTGCAACATAGCAAACGCAAATCGGCACCGTCAACTCGATAATTTAAGCAGTGGTAGTGAAGCCCAACTCTCAATAATATGAATCGTGACATAATTGTTAAGTAAAAATAATTATTTTCTTAAAACAGAAAAGCATCACGGTTTCATGAAAGTGTGTTATTTTTCAGAAGGGTTCTGCTGCAGACGTTTGGCCAATTTCTTATATCAGTATTTTAAACAGACGGGATGACACCAAAGTGCTTATATAAAACCCAGGACTGCCTGCAAGAAGGAGAACACTGAAAATGCTACGCAGGTAGGTCAACAACCAACTTGCTGTGCTGTCTTCTGCATGCAAACTCTTCAGGGCAGATGAGTGACATGCACGCATTCTCTCTCCGAGATCTACCAAAGCCCCTTCAATTCGATGGATTACAGCCATGCGGTGACACCAACTATACCCGGCTAAATTTGGTGCCTTGCGAGTCTTAATTTTAATCTTCAACATCCCATCTGTTGAACAGCACGCTCGAGTCGTAAACATCGCCGCCACCCTTTGCTGGAAAAGGCGTCACGTTTTCTTTGCCGCATAAGGCAGAGACGTAGCCTATTTATCCGTCCCCTGGTAAGACCAACCCCGCCCGGCTGCCTCCGTCTGCCCTTCAAAACGGATGCGCGATCTCATTACCGCTCAACGTGTGCACGTTGCTAATGCGTATCAAGTCCCCCGCTCGCTTGAACGATGATGGGCCACGTCTGGAAAACCGGGCGAGACCGGCTTGCAAAAATGACGTATTGTCTTCATCAACACCGAGCGGCTCACGCTCAATTCAAAGCCGTGCCATTTTTATTTAAAGCAAAGAGGGAAAGATTTTTGCATACAATAAACACTACTACACTGTATAAAAAAAATGCATTTTACACGGACTTCTGTCCTCCTCTCCCTGCCTTTGATTCCCCAGTGGAATGGTACACAAAATAGCACGACTGGATTACGCATCAAAGACTGCAGAATGGCACAGCCAATAATGTTTTAAGCCGCAAATTGTACGCCCATGTGCACATGCCGCAACAATAAATGGAGAATACCCGCCAATGGCGATCCCGACTCGCCGAAGGAGGACCTAATAACGCATGACAATGAGCTTGTGGGCGTGCACGCACACAATTGTATGCGTCCGTATGCAGCACTGCCCACTTCCATCCATCACAGGCACGGGAGAGTAAAGCCGCAGTCTCCGCTTCCTCCCGCAGCCGCCAGAATGTGTCACAGCGACCTGCAAATCCCTTGAAATCCATTGGCTAACCGCCCCTGCCCATCCTCCATGTGCCACTCGTGTGCATCCATTACCTAATTCCTTCACAATACACCGACGCCTCCTTTCAAACTGCTTTTCATCCTCTCTCGCCGTTGCCCGCACGCCGATTGATATTTTCTCGCCCGCATCACGGATTGCTATGAAGCGGGTGCCATATTACTCCGATTTACGTGGCATTGTTCCAGAATGAGAATTAAGGTGGTGTCTTCTGCACAGCACTCACCCAGTATGACACCGCATCTCCCCCATTGTGCCTTTCTTGCTTCTCTATGCGAACAAGACAGCTTGCCAGAAATACGGAGGCACTCTGCCCTCTGCTAGAAAAAAAAAAAACTTATGGCAACCGTTACTATGAATCCTGCTCAGATTGTGCGAAACGGCTGTAAAAACCCTAAACGTGTATCGTGTTCCCTTTATGAAGCAGTGACCCCCATTCACGCCGCCTTGTCTGGTCATGACCCGGCACTCCATTGCGCACACCCCCTCAGTTAAAGCTGCACCCAGCTTTAGCCGAGATGGGTGCTGTGTACTTGCAGTCTGTGTATGCGGACAGCGTTGTTGCGCCCGGTATGAATTTTGTGCATGCGTGTGCATGTGCGAGTGCACCTAGTGCATACCGAGGAGCGGTGGCACAGCAGTTAGCGTACTGCACGACGAAAACAGCAATCGGAGTTCGATTCTCGCTCACGGTCAACACCAGTGACGATTATCTGAACCGGTCCTAGGCTCCCCTAGGTCGACCTCAGCCTCAAATGAGAACCTGCTGCGGTGTTTAAACATCGCCACTCGGGAGATATAGGCGGCCAGGCGTGGTGCTGGCCACCTACACCCTCATGTGCTGTGCCGGCCTTAATAGGCGCTTGCTAAGATCACTTGCCCCAAAAGTATGTTAGCCATACAGGGGACCTTTGCTGTTGCACATAGCCCAGCACAAACACTGTGGTGACATCACTGCGAAATGCAGCAGCTACTGCTGCTGTTGTTATGTGCATGTGGGGAGCAGTGGCCCATTGGTTTGTGTGTTGCACTTTAACCGAGATGACCTGGGTTTGAACTCCATCCAAGGAAAAACACCCAAGGCAATGAATGAGCTTCTGAACCTGTCGTAGGCCTTACATAGGTCAACTGAATACCTGGGTGCAAGGTGCAAGGTGCAAAACATCAGCAATGGGGGGGGGGGGGGGGGGAGACAAAAATGGCCAAGCAAGATGTGGATCTCGCCAACCATCTCGCGTGCAGCGCCGGACGTTAAGAGATGTCTGTTTACAGTACTTGTCTCTACACAAAAAGGTACGGGTGTGCCAGTCCTGATATTTCTTGCTCGTGCCATTTCCTGGAGAAAGGGGCTTCCCAGGAGAGGGAGCTCTCGAGGATCCTTCTCTACCACGCTGGCCAGATGTCTTGGAAGCGGCAACACCCACACACACACCTTAATCATCCCCCCGCGCGTGACCTGCTCATCGACTAATTGTGGTGAACCCATTAATGCTGCTGGGTGGGCAGAGGTGGGGAGATAAAAAAAAAATCACATTGTTCCAGCTGCTGTGGGGGAGAGTTAACCAGAGCCCTCTGGACTGCAAGTCCATGTGCTCGATATTACACCATAGCAGCAGTCTATGGCTATATACTACTGCATATGGATAAATGGGGGATCTTTGTGTATACATCTTCAGCTTGTACAGTCAATAACTGTATAGAGGCATAAAAGGTGATCTGCAGTGTATGTGTGTATAGAGGGGTATTTGGTGATGAATAGTGTGTTTAGAGAAGTACTAGGTGATGAGCAGTGTGTGTATAGAGGGGTAATGTGTTGCCAAGTCCTGAGTACTTGCCGAGTGCATCGAAAAACTGATGGTTCTTGTGCATGCTACATGTGTGTGTGTTTGTAGAGGGGAATTTCAGGTTCCTCTGTAGTCTATTGTGGATCCCGTGTGTCTGGCGGGTACAAAGAGCTGCTTCTGATTCCATTGCACTCAACGTGCGTAGTGCTTCACCTCCGCGAGCTGTGCCTTGTTGAGGCCTGGCCTTGTCTGCAGTTTGTAGTGCCGCTTGTACCGCCTCAGAGTGTTCACCTGCAGCTGAAACAAATCCACCTGGCACAGACACGAGGCACACACATCATTCAATATGCCATCAATAGGACTGTCACACTCGTGATGGACCAATTGCTCAGGAGCTCACATCATGCCATTACTAAAGAAAGTAAAAAAAAACAGGATTAAAATTTGGTTTGTTAACTTCATTCAGCGTATTTCATTTCCGCCAATTAAAACTGTCGGTTTTATTTGCATCACACGTGCCGAAACACTGTGCCCGGAGAGTTGATAAAGAAGCGACTTCAGTAGTTGTAAAATCAACGTTTGTGGCCAGTATCTAATCGTTGCAAGTGAAACATTGTCTCATTACAGAAAACTGCAACAGCACAACTACAATATAACAACTGATTAAACACAGAATAATGCATATTCTTGGGTCTTTCGGTAAAGTCACGTAGATAGGTTCAAAGAAAATAATCTTCCTGAAGACGACCGCGTGCGTTGCGATCGAAACGTCGTAGTTTTCTGTTATTTTTTTTATTATTTTCTTTGAACCTATCTACGTGACTTTACCGAAAGACCCAAGAATATGAATTCCTGCAGTCACGAAAGCTCTAAGTCAAGACAGAATAATGCACTAATATGGTCGACGTTTTATCACGAAGAGTGCACTATACGGACAAATTAGTCAACCAAATAGGAATTTCAGAAAGTATGAAGAGCCATGTGGACTAAAATTAAATAAATTATCGTGGAGACAAAGCCCAAGAAAATACCCATTCTGTGTGGACTAGGCATGGAATTCTAGATTTAAAGCTTTCGTGACTGCTAGGATCCATAATAGAACCAAAGAGTATAGGCATGGAATGATGCAGCAATAAATAACGTCAATTAAAATATGAATTCTTAAAGTAAAAAATACACCATCGAATTACACGACTAAGAACAACTATTTTGTAAAGCGTGCATCGGGTGTTGTACGCATTGAGTTCACAGCACCACGCAAGGCACTGGAAGAAGCAGGGGGTGGACAAACCAAAATAACAAGAGCCAATTTTTTCGAATTCTGTAAAAAAAAAACCCCCCGCAATATTTCAAGATCTGCAATGCGTGTGAATTTCGAAGCAGTCCTGCGGCTCCAGAGCCGCAGGTTGCCGACCCCTGCACGAGAGGCCCTACCATAACAGGGCGGTGGTGGCGCGTGCCTGTTAATCCGGCACGGTGAAAGCGAGGGTTGGTGAATCACACACATCTTGCGAAACTCCCTTCCCATGGGCGAGAAAGGTGCCATGCCCTGACTTGGCGGGGGAATGCGGTGTAGCGAAGTGCAGACTAATATCATCCTGTCCCTTCGTCGCGCGCATGATGTTTAAGAGGAATCAACTGCAACTCTGAAACATGACATTTCATCAAATTGCAGGAGGTGGGTGGGGAGATGGGGTTTGGACCCCTCGGAATGCAAGGAATATTCTGTGCATACCCACCCCCCTAACAAACTTAGCGTTTGTCACAGTGGTCTCCACAACTGAAAAAAAAGTTGGGTGGAAGGCACAAAAGAGTGTGCCATCAGATGAAAAAAAAGAGGCACTTCGAAGGAAGGCATCTTGAAAAAAAAAACAACCAAGTGAAAAGCCAAAAAAACTAAGAGCACAGTGAAAAACAAGTAAAACCAGGATCCCAGCATCTCCATATATTTTTTTAATCGTGTCGTTTGTTGCCGGTCACTTGGCAAACTGGGCCTCAGGGTCTGCGTTCAGCAACCGTGACATCATGCTATCACAAGCTCATAATACATTCCAAAAAAAGTTCTGGCTGGCCTTCTGCATGGATTCCTGTCTGCCTGGCTGATGCGCAAATGCGTTTGTGCGGCAGTGACGTCACCGTGTGAACGCCACCCGCATCCCATAGCGCTGCGCTGGGTTCGTGCGTAGCTTTGACACCACGCCTCCCTCCCTTACCCACCATCCACCCCGGTCATGGATCCCGCACAATTGCACAGGCAGTGTTAGTTTATATATACATGTAAAAAAACAATCCACATGAAGGAGAATTATTCATGAAGTCAGCTGCCTACTCAGTGTAACCGGTCCGCCCTATCCCTCTCCTTCCGTGATCGTTACGAGGGGACAGGCCGGTTAATAAGTAATAACAACATTAGTAGATGAGTTCAGAGGTGATGAGTGGATACTCTAAGTAGTGTTCTGCCCTCCTGAGAATCGGATGACTCCACCACCAAGGGACACCAGAGGGTTGTGTAACTGCAACTCTTTATTTCAAAGTGTTCTTCTGTAATTATGACCAGATGCACACCAATTAACCCCACCTCACTGCTCAACCCGTGCTGTACAGTGTCCACCCGAATCTGAATAGGTGCCCTGTACCCTGAATTGATTACTCTACTGGTGGGCGTAGCCTACTGTGCACTCGCGTGACTGTGGGTCCAATCCATGGTCATTATTACTTTCATTCACAAATACTTGTAGTTCATTTACATTAAGCCCATACCGGCTACATCAGCATGGTAACGATTATTCTTGACAAAAATACGATGAATTGTCACAATTCATGGTTGCAATATGACTCAAGAAACGAATAATCGTTTTGGCTCATTTTCACCATTTTGTTTGTGTTGTGCATTGCTTTATCTAGCCAGTTTGTACATTAATATTTTCTCCATTAGTCTAAATATGAAATTACCATATATGTTGGGCATTTTATATTGTATTAATTGTAAATGAATTCTTTCACACGTGATTCAATGCATGCAATGTGAATGTAAGAATGTAATTTAAATTGACGACTCGATGTATTGTTACATGCCCACTGTCTACCCTCCAACCACAAAAGCAGAGCAGAGCAGGGACGGGTAAATAAAAATCACAAAATCCATCACCATTGAGATTAATGCTACATTTTAACAGCTAAAAACATAGCAAGCTGAAATGTATTGCTGCTATTTATGTTTCTGTTATGAGGCAGCGAGTTTTAATTAATTTAAATTCGGGTTGTGCACCACTGATAACAATTCCTTTAAGTCTATACTGGTGGCGCACATTGGTATTCTAGCCACTTTGGAGGGCAAGGGTTGGTGACTCGTGGAGAGATTGGTGGAAACTTCCAAAGCCGATGGGTTGCACAGTGACCAGAAGGCAGTACACACCAATTGGGAGCATTATCTCCTCGGTATGCGTGAGTTTTTGCTGGTTACTCTGAAGCCTCGCGAACACTTGGATGAACGACTGCCTGAGAATACCAGGTGTTGTAGGCTTGAGCTGCTAGGTGACAGTGAAACAATGGACTCTCGAGCCTATCCAGTAGGTGCGTGGTTTTGTGTGTACTTCGGTTTCCTCCCGCACGAAGCAAAAGACTCATTTTAAAAAGGCACTGGCCAAACATCACAATGCAGAGTTTTTCTGATTAAGGGAGTCAACAATCACGGAGGCTTCCCCGCATAAAAAAATGACACTGTCCTTATTGGTAACATTAAATGGTAAAAAATTAGCTGTGCTGCACGAAAGTATAAGCCCCCACCTTGCCTCCCGTACGATCCTCCCCGATCTCCCCCAGGAACAAGTTCTTTCACTTCCTACCGCCCTGGTGACTAAACCCACTCCATCACCACTCCCCGCCGTGGATCACCACCTCTGCTCACCTCGGGTGACTCCAGATCATGGTCGGGCGAGTCTCCTCCTTCGTCATCACTGCCTTTGCGCTTCCTCTTGTTGCGCACGCTCTGGATGAAGTTCTTGTGGAAGTCGCAGATGTACAAGTGCCGCACCTTGTCCAGCAAGGCAAAAAAAGTGAAAAAATATAAGAACGTGAAATGAATTGGTTATAGGGGCACTCATCGCTCGCAAGTTATTGTGCGTCATTGCCGAATGTGGTTGCCGTTTTTGGTAACGTTTCAGCACCTGAAAGCATTGGTAGAAAATTTATATTATAATTATTCATCCTCGTTACCTAGGATTAACACGGTTGGCTACATGCGGTACAAAAGAAGTTCAAAATACAGACGCGGAAATGTCTGAGGCTTGTGACTCTTTTCATCATCATCATCCTGCCAAGTTTTCGCAGGAGGGGGGGCAATGATTGCTACGTATATTCCAATTACATAATTGGTGGGGGGGTTATTGTTTAAATTTTTCAAATTTATCCAAATTTTCAAATTTGGATATCGACAAATGTGTTACAGAATTTCACAAACGCTCAGCAACAAAAACAGGCAGGGCAAGAACAACTGGGACTGAATGCCATTAATCTCTGGCATACAACAACCACCGTCACTGCAAGATAGAAGAGGATATTTCAGAGACATGAAGCTAAGAGTGACGACCTTCCCCGGCCTCTGCAACCGGTCACGGACATTAACGAAGCACACAAGCGGTCGAAATGAGAGCTCTTAAAACAACCTCTCATGGCACAACACAAATATAAAGATCCACCGTATAGCACTGACAGACTGTTGGGGACAAGTGCTATTAGCGAGCACCTACGAAGGTCAACAAGGGACTCGGGGGGGGGGGGGGGTGGTTAGCCAGCACCAAACCCGACCGTCTTTGTCTCCCCAGTGCTGATGTTTACACACTACACCAAGTACTCACATATGTAAGTCTGAGTCGACCTACGGGAGGTCCAGAACCGGTTCAGATATTCATTACCGATGTTGGCCGTGGTGTGGGAATCTGACTGGGGAGCGGGGGGGGTCGCCGGGTTCGTAGCACAGTGCGCTAACCGCTGCACCACCGCCTCCTCACACGACATGGCCCCAAGTGACTGTGACCCATCCGGTTTGGCAAAGCCGGAGAACAAAAATAAATCGGTAAACATAACGCACGGGAGTACAGTACAAAGACAAAGATTCGCCATATAGCCTTAACAGACTGTTGAGGCAAGTGTTGTCAGTGAGCACTTATGAAGCCCGGAACAGCACACGAGGGGGTGGGTGGCCAGCACCACGTCCGGCCGCCTGTCTCCCTAGTGGCGATGTTTACACATCACACCAGGTACTCACTTGAGGCTGAGTCGACCTAGGGGAGGCCCAGGACCGGTTCAGATAATCTCGTCACTGGTGTTGGTGGCCCTGAGCAGGAATGGAACTCGGGTCGCCGGGATCGTAGCACAGCGCGCTAACCGCTCCACCACAGCTGGAAACCTACTAAAGCCATGGACGATGGCAGCCCTGCATGCAAAGGCGTGCAAAGACAAAGACCCCCACATAGCCTTAACAGACTGTTGGGCCAAGTGCTGTTAGCGAGTACAGTAGCACCTACTAAGGCCGACACGACACACGTGGGTGGCCAGCATCACGCCCGGCCGCCTTTGTCTCCCGAGCGGCGATGTTAAACAGTGCACACACACACACGTGCACCACCGCAACACTCTGTCGTGACCGCATTGCAAGTGGGCTGTGCTGCTGCAGCAGCAGCTAGCTGGGTCATGACACGGTCGGTACACAATGGCTCAGGCTCTCGGGTAAAAGAAGGCACGCGAACTTGATCTCGGGTTGCCATGGTGGGCCCAGCAGGAATGTAACCGCCCACAGTTTTTTTTTGGTGGCGAGGCCTGCCTGCCTGCCTACAACTACACACACACATCCCATCCCCCGGTATGGGCCCTATACCCTTTGGCGCGCACACTCGCACACAGAGGCGGCGATTGTGCTTAGTGGCGCCATTCGCTCGCTGTGTAAAAAAAAGTGCGTAGCCTGGTGTGCGGGGTATTCTTTTTTTTGTTCCCCCTGCCCTTTGTTAAAACTTTTTGTTGTTGCTGCTGCTGCTGTTGTTACGATGGATTTTCTCGTCATTTTGCAGATTTCCATTTCCGTTGGAAAGCGAGTTGAGTTCCACCGCAAACGGAGGGCCCGGCATTTAACGCAGTACATGGGGCAGCGGTAATGGAACATGATTTGAGCTTTGACGCGCAAGCCGTTGCATTTTTTTAAGCAAAGCACAAATCGGTGGATGCCGGCAGATAAGATGCTGCACGGGCAGCAGGATACACCGGCACAGGCAGTATAGATTAATGCAGGAACCAAGGTTCCCATTACCACTAACAGCGTCAACTAAGTGCCCTATTTTTGTTTATTGGCTGGGCTATAAGGAGCGCAACGTGAAATGGGTAATCTTTTATATTGGCAACAGCATCGATGTTTTACGGCAGTGAGCTCCATTTGCAGTCTGTTAGTGCCAGAATATTTTCCACTGTACATACATAGCTTGATACAAGTTATTATTTTGATGACTAAAACTACATGCATAAGCTCTCAAGTCCTAATGAAAACAGTCCAGTTTGATCAGCATATTATCAATAGCCCTGACAACAACAGTCCGGTTTGATCAGCTTATTAGGAAGAACAAATTGATTTGTCGAAACCACTATAATAATAAAGCCCACATTTAATAGCTGATACACCCAAGACAACATCCGAGAAGATGGAGTGATTAAATAAACTCGTGTGCCGGTGCTAGGTGGAGTATATAGGTGCTCACTAACAGCACTTGCCCCAACATCTGTTAAGGCTATAGGGTGGGGGCTCTTCGTCTTTCTATCACAGCATTGAGATGATGGTTGCTTAGGGAAGCTTTCATCCAGCAGCGATGAAGGAGAATTAAATGCAGTCCACAAATAAAGTCTGACTGTATGACAGACAATATCCAAGAAGCACTGGGTTGTGATGTCTGGGTTGGTGGGGATGATACAAAAGGCATGGCCAGCTAAAACACGAACCTTGCTGATGTGCAAGACTCCCACCTGCTGGGCAATATGATGCCTATACCAGTTAGCAAGTCAAATAGTTTTTTTTTTCCAAAAGCTTCCAGCGTTCTCTAATAATGTGCGTGTTTTTTTTCTTTCTACAGGCACTCAGAATTCTGTCGGAATCTCAATCCCTTAAACATATATTTTTTAAAGATCTATCATTTTGCCTTGAACAACAATACCGCCACACGATGACTGACATTTCTTTCTGTGCAAATCCACCCAGCAGGCAAGCCAGCCGCAACCACAGGGCGGTTGGTTGTGCTTGTAATAGCCCTTATGACAATTGCTGCCACATCAGCTCTTTTCTTCGAGTTCCTTTAACCTTGATAAATCGAATAAAAGTATGAACTCTTATCTATTACACCTTCACCTGTGCAGGTTGTTGCTGGCTGCTTGGCATTTTTGGGGGTTTGCCTTTGAGCCTGTGCTCGGCAAGTGATAACAAAAAAATCCACTGCTGGATGAGGGCCGGTCCCATGCCATTTAGGTTGTGGGTGTTATCTGACCATATTTCACACCATGCTGGTTCATGTGGGTGGCGTGAAAGCAGAGAGCATAGACGTGGTGAGGGAGATATTGCAAAGACACTATAACGACCAAAGATATTAAACATCACGCTTGCGTTATTTATATAATAACGTACCCAGGAATACATGTCTGGCCACGTACGGCGCAAAATAAGTTAACACACACTGTACATACGTTACACGTTTTTAGCTAATGGGAAGAAACCGAACAACACGGAGCAAACCCATGCAGAACAGGAGGAAACATTAAAAAAATACGCCATGCAGAAAGGTGTGCGAAACAGGAGTTAAACCCAGGTGATTCCTGTTCTGAGGCACAAGCGGTGATTACTGCACCACCCCTGCAATGTCTAACAATGGAAGCCCCCCTGGGTTGCACGATACTAGAGGGGAAAGTCCAGACCACCAGCCAAGTTGTGTGCTGCAACGCGGCCCCATTGTGTAAGAAACGGGGCAAACACAGTGAGAGTGTTCTTTCTGGCTGTAAGTGCAGTAACCTGTACGGTGAGACAATCGGAACACTGCACGGCTGACAGGCAGTTGCCGATAGGCCCAATAACGTAGCCGAGACCCGAAGCAAGCCCGTGTTCGACAGAAAAGGTGATGTCAAAAGCGAATTCAGTATGCAGACAGTGCAGCCGACGGTGCATGCAATATTCCATGCACGGCTATCATGCAATGCACCGGCAGAGATTAAGACCAACCTGCAATACACAACACAGCCTGTGCACACAAAACATCTGCAGTATACCACAAGGACTTAAAATGGCACGCACATCTTCAATACTGGAAACACAGCACATATACAAAAGGCCAAATTAAATGCAATGCAGACGATCTACAACATTGTCAGATTTAAACTACATTTATAATAAACGGCCCTTTGTTAATCCACTGCTGGATCAAAGCCTCCCGATGTCAAACATGTAATGATAGGGGGGGTGTTTGACTGACCATACTTCACCACACTGGTCAGTGCAGGTTGGTGAAGCGGGGGGGGGGTCCATGCACGGGGTGGCCTTAATGCGTAAGCATAAATACACAATTTAACCAGATAGTAAAGCAGTTAACCAGCGGAACGTTCATTTGGCTATACTCTAAAATACTTTTAACAATATAACAATATAACGACACAATGGTACTAACCCGATGAAACTACAGGTGCCCCCAAGACGTCCCTGCTGAAGTGATAATGAATCTTAGTGGGCCCTCATGAGTTAAATAAAAGGATGCCGATTTGTTTTCATATTCAGTACTAGTTCATAAAGCCTATCTTCCCCAGGCAAACGTTTTCAATAAATAAAATACTTAACCTGATATTATTGTTTACAATTTTTATCTACAATCAGACAACCACTCCAAAAATTTATATTTTTCCGCAAAAAACACTAAAATTGTTGACGACTTGATCCAACTTATTATATTTAAAGACGTTCCCATCGGAAAATTCTCAATTTAAAGATACCGTTATCTTTTATTAGAAAAGAACAAACATTAACGAACTTAATACTCTGTGAGGGGAAGATCCTATCTTTTAACGTTTTCGAATAATTAAGATTTGAACATCATAAAATGCGTATTTTTTCGTTCAAACCTGCTTTAATCCGAAATTTCTAAAAAGATAGAATAGTTCTTGGTTTATGGGGCACTTCAAATCGAGATTTGAGGACCTTAAAATGAAAAAAATCGGATTTTCAGATGTTTCCTGTTCTTTTTGTGTCCTAAAAGCTACCCAAGTACCAAATTTCAGCTTTCTACTTTGTCCGGAAGTACCCCAGATGGTTTGAGGAATACATACAGATTAAGGTTTCTATTTAAAGATGTGCAAAATCGTTGCACCTCAACACAACTGTTTTTGATGAACATTATAGTCAATGAATTTAATGTGGTGATTATGCCGCTTTTTAAATCATTTTGGGGAAAAATAAAGTCACTGCATTTCTTCAAAGTACGCCGTTATTCAGTTTAGAAATATTTTAAACAAATATTTTTTATAATAGGTTTTTCCCCTTTTTTACAGCAACACAACAGGTGTTAAGATGTTAAGACACCAAACTGAAACATCTTACAAGGAATCATGTCTGCATTAACCACAATGCTTGTGGTCACAATGCTTGTGGTCAGAATGCAAACAAAAAACACTGACAATATATGCATTGTCCTTGAAACTGATTGGTTCACACCAGAGACAGCTTTCTTTGAGCCTCGTCTCAAACGGTGTTAGACCAGAGAAGACCAAAAGGTGAACGAACAGAACAAAGACAATGCATCAAAAGGCAAGGGAGGTCCCCATGATGTAGCTGCTTTTTGATTTATATTTGCACCTCAGAATAACTGTGGATCTTTGATAAGATTATACGTCTATCATTTTACAATTTAAAGTAGTTGGTTAATTTTATAGCGTGATGTACAATTTTGCATCCTTGTATTGTAAACTAATCTTGCAATATTTTCCAAGCAATTTAAAAAAGTTTAATACATCCCTCTACACTATCCCAATTGTTTGTTTTTACTTTGTGCTCTCCATCCAGATGTCTCTTGCAGCACAGAGCCTTGTGTTCACAATGCTCCCACCTATTCATTGCACATCCCATGAAGGGGATTATTCCCTTCTGGACTTAGGATGAACAGAATGATTTAATAAAGGATGAATGTTCTGTACATTTGCTTTTATTGAAGGTAGGGGCCCCAATGAGGTTGTTGCTATTTAAGTGGGAGACATTTGCGATAAGTGGTGGCCTGATTTATTGACCAACAAATTCTAAGGCAAATGACCAGAGTGGTTTATTGAATGGCTCAATTATTTGAAGGAATGCTTAATTCACGGAATAACTGGACTATGGAATGACTAATGCATTAAATAATGTCACGACACGTTGACTGCTATATGCAATTACTGAATTAATTATGGATTGAATGATTTGTGGAATAGTTGATAGGATGAAGTTATAAAACGCCTGATATATGGCGTGTCTCATGGCTTGACGGATTTGTGCAACGACTGATTTATGAAATAGCTGACTAATTTGACTCGCCGAGATATTTTGGCCTACATGACCCATGGGCACTGATTGAACCGACTCAATGAATGAATGAATTTGCACGCACACACACACAAAGGCCCCAAGATATTCTCTCTCGCTGCCCGCCTTGTCGGGGGGGGGGGGGGGGTCCGCCTTTGCACGTACAAGACTTACGCTGCGGTCAATGTCCAGCTTGAGCTTCTTTTGCGAGATGCTCTTCTGGATCCTCTTGCTGAAGCTCGCGTTGCCCGCCGGTCGCCCGCACCGCTCTCCGTCGTCGATGAGGCAACATGTCTGGCCCAAGGGCCCGTCGCGGCTGTCCTCCTCCGTGCTGAAGCCGTTCATCGCCCCACGGCCTCGCGTGTCCACCTGCAGCTCGCCGCCTGCGTAGGTTCCGTTCAGTCCAGCTGAAGTTCCCGTCCGTCGTCCTGTTCACATCGTTCAACTTTTTTTTTAATTATACGGACCAACCTGCACCGCATGCCTGTCAAACCCGTACGGTTTACCCCATATTGTTGTACAGGGAAATTGTTCAGGTCCATACGGCATACAGCCGTTTCAATAAGGGCAAACAAAACATGTTTTGTTTATTTTTGTTTCTCCCTTGTGATAGGACTTGTAGGATCAATGTTGAGATTTATTAAGGGCACGGGGTGACCAATAAGGTCTGTGTACTGGTCTCTAATAAGGTAGGCACTGAGGGGTTAACAGGTATGTAATGGTGAGTGTACTCGTGGTGAGTGGACTATTGGTGAGTGGACTAGTGGTGAGTGTACTAGTGGTGAGTGGACTAGTTAGTGGTGGTTGTCGACTTGTTTGTATTTCTCCTTTGTGGTGGGACTTTGTAGGATGAACTTTGAGATTTATAAAAGGCACGGGGTTACCAATAATGTCTGAATTGGTCTCTAATAAGGTAGGGCACTGATAATGGGGTGACAGGTATGCAGTACCTCTGCTCGCGTGTTTGTTCACCTGTACGATTCACCTAACGCGTCCACGTGTTTGTACTCAACTCTTGCCCACCTCGATTTGTCTACCCACCTGTACGCGAGTGCAACTCTTTGTCCGGCCCTCTCCCCAGTGCTGCCCTCCCCCCTGGTCTCTACGTCCACGGGCATCTTCACCGCGTGTCTACCAGCCGGTCTACTACCCACCCCCCAACCCAACCACCACCACCACAAGTCGCCCGTACGACCGACCTACTTACTGGGTTGTCTTGTCCAGTCGCCCAGTAATGTATGTCCCCGGCCTGCCCCACACAGCCCCGTCACCCTACCTCGACAGCAGCCAAGATATTATAGACTCGGGACTAATTCGCATCGCCTACTTACCGACGGCAGACCCAATGCTCTTGCGAATCGACTACCGCTCCACTCTATAGGGGTTGCTTCTCAAAAGCACGTGGTGGGAGAACGGCAGTCTCTCTCTCTCTATAGGACCAACCCGGTAGGCTATAGACAGCCGACGACTGTTTCACGACAACAGCGCGACACGGCCGACACTACCGGGGTGCTTTTAGTAAGTTAGTAAGCTTTCAGTCCACCCACTTGCTCGTAGATTATGTTTTTGTTGTACCTTGACGCCCTGGAAGCTTCGGGAGGGACCGCCGTTGCGCTATGGTTGTTGCAGCACGCTGTCGGGATGCCTGCAAACAGTGCCTTGCTTGCTTGGCCCTATGTTAGTCTCCCTTTACCTTCCGGGCTGCAGCTTTCAAATTGCCTCTTATTACTACTATATACTGCCCGTAAGGAGGCCGTCGCCTGCTGATTTTGTGTTTGCTGTACGTGTCGCTTACCGACCACAGTCAGTCAATCCGCCGCCGCAGGCTTGAGACGGCTCTGTAAGAAGCCCCGCCGACTTCGACGACGTTTGTCGCTTGCTCCTCGACTTTCTCCGTTCGTCCTGCTTCTGCTTCTCTTGCTCGTGAGCCGTCCGTAGAGTTTGTCGCCTCGCAAATCTTCTTCTCGACCACCTGGTTAGCTTCTTACACTCGCCCCGTACGTCGCCTGCTGTTTTAAATGACCGCCGCTTTGCAGCCTGCTGCCGATTGCTGCGGCTTTGCTGCCGTAGCTTGCCCGATGCCTGTAGCTGCTGCTCCTGCTGCTTCTTCTTCCAATCTCCCGCTGCCCCTGGTCACCTGCTGTCACCGCCTCCCCGTGCCACACAACCACCCACACGGCTCTCGCTCCACCGCCGCCTTTTAAAAAGCGCGACCTCCACCCACGACTCTTCCCCCTCCGTGTGCACTCTGATGACAGGCGTTGCTGCCTGTATGCTGTCGTGTGCTGCTGTCTGTATACTGCTGCCTGTATCACTGCTGCTGTTTGTATGCTGCTGTCTGTATGCTGTTCTGTATCACTGCTGCTGTTTGTATGCTGCTATCTGTATGCTGCTGTTTGTATCACTGCTGCTGCTGTCGGTATCACTGCTGCTGTTTGTATGCTGCTGTCTGTATGCTGCTGTCTGTATCACTGCTGCTGCTGTCTGTATCACTGCTGCAAAATATCCCCTACCCCGCTGCTGCGTGCTGTATACTGTACCGTGTCGCACACACGCCGCGGTACAGTAGCGACACGACTGATGCCAGTCTCTGCCCCCACACACACACAGCCACGCGCTTTGTTCCGTTTGCACGGTCGCCACCAACACCACCACCAACACCACCACAAGCCCCCCCTTGCCCTTTCCGCTTCCACCACCAAGTAAAATTAATGGCAGCGATGCAATAAAAGAGCGAGCCGACTGCGCCGACGAGGAAAAAAAAAGGGGTGAGGATGAGCCAACAACGATATGGTTGTTAATTGGCTGTTGTTGTAAAGGACTGTAGCTGCTGCTGCTAACTACAGCTTTGCTGATGCTAACTACAGCTTTGCTGATGCTAACTACAGCTTTGCTGCTGCTAACTACAGCCTGCTGCTGCTACATGTGTCAGCGCATTCAACATGGCAGCGAGGGCCACGCCGGCTTCCTACCTCCTCCGCCCTCCTTCAAGCCACCACCCACCAACCAACCCAACTACTAATAACTATAACAGCGGGACTACCGATTACAATACTACGGAGGTTTAACCCCGCCCGCCACCAAACAGCTACGGAAGAAATGAACACGACAGCAAATCCCCACCACCATCAACGCCACACAAGCTCCAACGTTGGTGGTGGGTTTGCCAGAAGTTGCACCGGCGGTGAAGTCGAGCCGACAACGCGCGCACACAACGCACACAACACGCACAATGTTGCGCCGACCGAAATCAGCGGAATGACCACACAACCCCTCCCTCCCCTAAGACTGACTAACTAACTACAGCACTCTCGATTCTGTCCCGCGACTGCTGCTACCGCATGTTAAAAGAGAGGCGGGTAACTCCCCAAACCATCACCACCACCGTGGAGAGGTGAGCAAAAAAAAAACGCCGGCTTGTTTGGATGTTAAAAGCCAAACCCACGAGAGACCTCCTCCTCCACTTCCCCCTCCACTCCACACACCCCCTCCTCCTCACCAACCCCCAAACGCCACCTGGGCGGGGCCTCGCAGGAAGTAGGTGGGGGCCTCGCATGAAGTGGGCGGAGCCTCGAGGGGAATTGGGCGGGGCGTGTTGATGCGAGCGACGACGCGGGGCGTTTGCTGTTAACCAATTTGAGATGCAAGGTTTTGGCAAATTTATCATAATTAATCAGAATATTGTATTTATACTGGAGGAATCCGATTTGCTATGAAGCTGTTTTTTCCACAGATGTTCAGTCGGGGCGGGTCAGAACGTTAACAGCAACGAACAATACATAAATACGATATGGAGTGCAAAGTGCATACATGAAAGGTAAACAAATCACCCAAACGCATAAAAATTAAATTAAACCATCCCCGTCCTGCCAGACAAAGCCCATTGAGGTATTAACGTATGGATTCCTGCAGTCACGAAAGCTTCAAATCAAGATATTAATGTATTGTTCAAAAGTGACCTGGCCACAAATGATAGCTAAAAAACCATAAAACCCGTTCATCAGGAAAAATTCATATGGAAATATAAAACATTAACATAATTCAATGCATTCGTCAGTTATCAAGGTTTTATTTGTTACACAGTGCACTCACTCTCCCAACTCTTTCCCCACGATAAAAAGGAGTCTACAACGTTCGTCCAATAATTGTGGCCTTAAAGTAAAACATAATATACTGTAACAGGCGGCGTTTCAGGCAATGGCCCTTGATCATAGCTCATGACGTATTTAAAATATTTAAAAAATACGGCAGTTGCGCTTGTGTGCACCACTGCCAAAGCAACATCAACACATGTTATTATATGTGCTATGAAAAAGGGCAAATGTCTGAAACGTCGTCCGTATAAATTTTCCCCCAGTGTTGTTTTGTAAGACCTTCGTTATCTGTGCCCTCTGTTCACTAGCCAATCAGAACACGGAGAGGGGAGGGGGCGGTGCTTAACTAAAAGGCGGGGCTAATATCCAACCCCCCGCCGCCCTCCCCCCTTGCGTGACGCGCGCTCGGCCTCGCCCACCCGGCGCGAGGCGAAGGGCGCGCGTTGGAAACGCGCAAAGGGGGAGGGGGGAGCGCGCGGCGGAGCCCCCCTCGCGTCCATTGGCTGGCCGTCGATGACGTCAACCGGGCGGCGGCCAATCGGATTTAAATTTAGACGCGCCAACTCGAGAGTGCGGAATGGGGGGCCCAATTTCCCCCACGGTCTCGTGGCCGGGGGGGGCCGGAATCGGCGGCACGCGCCTTCGCGGGCGTCGCACTCGCAGCCGGCGATGCGCCGAAGCTCGAGGCGATTGCCGTTTCCTCGGTGCGAAGCGAAATACGTCGTGCATGTGACCGGCCGGGTCATATATTCTGCACGAAAGTCGGCCCAGCGGTGTTAATCGGCGCCCCATAAATAATCTCGCATGACGCAGCCCTAGCCCTGAGCGCGGTGCACGCAATAAGTGCCTTACTATAGCGCGCCTCGCACACCGTATAAGCACTGCTGCGGTGTCAATGGGGGCTCTACGGCTTTAAAGCGAATCTCCCGCGCTTTTCTCTCAGCGCCGCATAAATTAGCGCTCGGCCAATCGGGCGCCGTCTTTATGCGTTTGGACGGGAAACCTCTGGCCAATCGGAAGGCGCTTCTCATTTGCGCGTACTGACGCCGGCCAATAGAAGGCGCCGTCTCATCGCAGCCTCAGCTTCCCATTCCCCAGCATTACGGCGAGGTGCACAGTGGAGAGGCAGCGAGCGAGCGCACGTAAGTTACGGATATTTGCCGTCGGCGGCCAGCGTTTCGTCGCCAATTGAATTCCCGTCGAGTTTCCCTCGGGGCCGTTGTGGTGCGCGACATCGGCGCGTTTTTAGACGCGTGCCCGAGCCGTGAGCACAATTTTTGTGACTCAGTTTGTGCGAGGCGGATCTACATATAATGGCCGACAGTGCTTAAGCTTCTCGCCAGTGTTCGCGAATGGGCGCAACTTTGAGTGCCGTGCGTTTGCGTAATTTTCCGTTCTAAATCGCCACGTTTTCGGCGCCATTCGTCTCGGGAGAGTGCCTTTTCTCTCAAATGTAACGCCATATCGGCCGCGCGATGGTTTTTTGTTCTATTTTTTTAATGCGAAATCGTCTCAGCCGAGTCTGCCTTCCCCCCCGCGCCTCCTCCCCTCAGCCACCCCAACTTACCCCGCCTCCCCCCTCGAAACCCTTCCCATCGCTCCTCACCCTGGCGCGCGCGGCGCGCTGGCAAGTTTAAATACAAATTAACGGATAAAGACTAAAAAGTACGATAGGTGAATATATATAACCAAGATGGTAAAAAAATGGTAAATAAATATACAATTCGCTGCGGACGGCAAATGGTGCCATTTTGCGCGGAGGTCTAGTTTTTTGTTGTATCGCCCATCATCCGCCTTTACTGCACGCCTCTTTATCGCCGTTACTGTTCGCCTACATGCCGCGTTACTCATTGACGTTGGCGCGCGCTCGGCCTCGCGCAACCGCCTCCCCTCAGCCTCCCCCAACCCCTCACAGCCTCCCCCCAACCCCTCGCAGCCTCCCCCCAACCCCTCCGTCTCCCCCCCCCACTGCTATGGGCGCGCGAGCTTCGCGCGGGAAAAAAAAATCGCGCGCGCGCTACTGCCGCTGTTGGCTACCGCCTCGCGACATCACCAACCCCAACCCACGCCTTCCAGTTCGCCTTCCTCACTACATCCCCGCCGTTCAACCGCCTCGCGGTCAAATCGCCCCCGTCCCCCCCTCATCATCATCCCCGTGCATTGCTATGGGCGCGCGAGTCGCGCGGGAAAAAAAAAGATCGCGAGGCGAACGTTGGGCGCGAGACCGCGGGGGGTTTAGTGGGGGGGGGGGGGGGGGTTTAGTGGGGGGGGGGGATTGAGGTTTTTTTCGTAAGAGCTGCCGCGTTCATCTCTCGCCGCGTGTAAAACTAAAAAAAATGTGATTTTTTAAATAAAAAAATATTTGCTTTAAGACGTGCACAATTAGTAATTTGAGGAAATATATTACAAGTGAAATATATTGTGGTTTATTTTAATCCCACCCCCATTCCTCCTACCCCGCGGTCGCGCGGGTTGATATTTCCTCACGAAAGCCGATTGCGTAATTCGTTTCATCGGTCATATTTTATCGCGTGTGTTAAGAAACCCACGCACGAATGGCGCTTTAATCGTATTCGCGGGTCGCCATTTGCGCTGGAAGCGCTGCTGCGGTCGTGCGGTGTGGTGTCTCTACTACTACGACTACTACTACACACAACCACCGCGGCGAACGCACGGGAGAGCCGAGTCCCCTAGGCGGTGCGAGGCGGCGGCGGTGTTGTTGGTTACCGCCAACACACACACACCAAAAAAAAAACCTCGTTTAAACTTTAGCGAGCCGGGGTTGTTTTTTTTACAAAAAAAACGTCGCGAGAATGGTGGCGGTGGTAAATAAGAGAAAGAAAGAAGGGTTGTTCGATAAGAGGGTGGTGGTGGTAGCGGCGGCTCGCAAACACGGGCCAGAGATAATGGCGGGAAGGCGCGGCCGCGTAAAATGGCACCGAGGGGGGAGGAGGGAGGAGGTGGGGGGGGCCTCTTGCAGCCGAATTAACGTTACGACTACCAGCCACCAGCCACACGCACCTACACACATTTAGCCGCGATACCTTTTTGTTTTCGTACTTGGGGAGGGGAAAAAAATACACGCGCCGACAATGATGGGTAAAGGAGAGGTTTGGCGGGGGTGGTTAGAAGGGAGCTTCGCGAAATGGCGTCCTAGGTTTATTTTTTGTTTTGATTCGAGGGTTTTTGTTGAGGTAAAGATGTTCTTTTTTTTTAGTAAAGTTGGCATCGGGATATTTAAAAGCCGCCGTTATTCATTAAAAAAAATGTATATTGGTGTATTTAAAATAATGTTTATATGGAGGTTTTGTAAAACGTAAGTGAAAGTTATACCTCAAAATATTACGAAAATTATATCCCCTTAAAATGTTACAAAAATACATTTCCTTACAATTATAAAGCCCTCCAAAAAACTCTACACCCCCCCCCCCCCCACAGTTCTCGTTAAAAAAATCTACAAATATCCTAAAACAACCAAATTGACATACCTACCACATCTGAAATGTTGGTAACCCCCGCCAGTTTGACGCAATGCCCGCCCGATTAATTAGCATCGTGCCAGTTAAGATCTGAATGCAAACGAGTTCTTTATGTAGAAAAGCCAGCAACTGACCACGCATGTTTGCGGATAAACCATGTGGGTTTCAGGTGGTGCCGTTGCGCATATTTGCTTGGTGACATAACCACGTTTTAGGCAGCAAAACTCTAATAACGTATTATCCAACACATTTTCATGCATCAAGTCAACGCTGTTTGAGCAGCAAAGATTGTGCGCTATCTTGTACTCGGTCATTAAGCTTATGTAATATTGTTTCTGTAGTAATTGTAGTGTTAATGAAGTCACGTGATATAATTATTAGCGAACAATTGTAAAAGCTTTGTTACCTTTTAAGTTATACATTTCCAGAGTAAGGTACCAAATTGCTTTAATATGTTCCAAGTTCTTTAAAGCTACAAATGATGCGAGCTATTAAATATCTAACGTCTGTTTGTACCACTACCCTGCGATGGCAGTAGTGTCAAGGAAACAAGAAGAATCTTGAGCAGCAATTGTCGGTGACAGCGGCCAACAAGAACCAACCATGGGTAAGGGAGATCCGAAGAAGCCCAAGGGCAAGATGTCATCATACGCCTACTTCGTGCAGACGTGCCGCGAGGAGCACAAGAAGAAGAACCCAGAGGCGTCGGTCAACTTCGCCGAGTTCTCCAAGAAGTGCTCCGAGCGGTGGAAGGTGAGCGACCGTGGCGATCATCGAGTCTTGCACTGTTTTTTGGGGCTGGTCTAACTGACGTCAAATGGTGAAATTGTCGTGGTTTTATTCAAGGAATATATATTTTTTTTGTCATACAGACGATGTCTGAGAAGGAGAAGACTCGCTTTGAGGACATGGCGAAGGTGGACAAGGTGCGGTATGACCGGGAGATGAAGACGTACGTGCCTCCCAAGGGCGAGAGGGGCAGCAGGAAAAAGAAGGACCCCAATGCCCCCAAGAGACCCCCGTGAGAATCTCATCGCACGCCAGTTATAAATAACAGCCCTGTTAATTGGGCCTGATGCAGTAGGGTGTTATTATCACAGTGTTGAGAATAAAAAAACACATTTATTTTATTGCACTGTTGAAACTGCTTTGTTGCAATAATTTTATGTTTTCTGTGTGCTTTGTATCCATTATTTTGCCTGTCGTGTTATGCATTTTTTTCTGTTGTGTTGGCCCGTGCTTTTCCCCGCAGGCTCTCACACAGCGAGAGTCGCTCCCTCACACTGTTTGCGTGCTTCTCCGCGTGCGGCGAATGCTGCTCCTGCGCGTGCGTGCGTCTCTAGGTCGGCTTTCTTTATCTACTGCGCTGAGTATCGCTCCAAGGTGCGCGCCGAAAATCCCGGTCTCACCATTGGCTCCATTGCCAAGAAACTGGGTGAGATGTGGAACAACGCTCCTGCTGATGAAAAGTCGATCTACGAGCGCAAGACAGCCAAGCTGAAGGAGAAGTACGACAAGGTGAGTGCAACAGGAGAGGCTGCTTTCTCACCTTTCCTAGTGTTGGGTAATTTGATGGAAACCTGTAGCGTTCACTTGGACAAGGTTGCATGGTTTTACCTCTCTGTTTACAGGACATGGCTTCGTACAGGTCAAAGGGCAAGGTCGAGACCAGCAAGGGGGCCTCGAAACCGGCCAGCAAGCAGAGGGATGATGACGACGATGAAGATGATGATGAGGAAGATGACGAGGATGAGGACGAAGACGATGATGATGATGACGAATAGGAGTGCTAGCAGGAGTGTAAATGGAAGTATGGTGGGCTTACTTCACGGTTTGGCTGGTTTTGCTAGCGTTCGTTTCCTCTCACTTTGTTTGAAACTGGTTAGCTGCCCGGTTGGGAAAGGTGTTTTGAAATTTTAATATTGAAGATCTACGGATACCATTCATGAATAGAAACTCTGTGTACGGATTGTCCGCATTAATAAAATCGTTAACACCCATGGGTGGTTCATGAAACCAAAATTGGAGTGTGCAAAAACATTCCCATGCCAGACCTCATTGAATTTACGATGGTGACACAGGGAATTGTGAAGTAAGCTAGCTGTAAAGAAAACAAGATAATACTTCAAATAAATACACTCTTGTACTTACTAAACTTTAGTTCGGGGTTTTTGTGTAAGGGATGCCATGGTTACTGCAGCCACAGTTTGACGAGCACTGAATTTAGTGAGCATACCTGATGACATATTTTTTGCTGAGCTTGTGCGTATTATATGCTTAAGGCAATAATGGCTAGATAATTTGGAAACTGCAGGTTTTTGTGGCAACAGTAATAGATTAAAACCTGTCAATTTTGGCATCTTAGTAGCGTGTTGTTGCCGAGTGAAATTTATGCTAGCGATTCAAGGATGTGGCAAATGAGCAGATGCTTTTCAGCTATAAATGGATCAATGTACACTGTGTTGTAAGTTACTGCTTCATGTACAGGCTTTCTCTTCCCTTTAAGCATTTCTGTTTAAAGTGGAAAGTTAAAACATTTCATTTGGCGCTTCATTGTTGCTTGCCTTTCTAGTTCAGGCTTTTTTTTGTACAAAAAATAATTGCAGTTGTAAAAAAACTGCCAAATGATTATTCTAGTACATTAATACAGTACTCGTGAGCTGCATGTTTTATTGTGCTTTTTTGTTCTGTATTTGATTTACTAATAAACATTTTAGTGACTTTGCTGTTTTTATTTATTCTTTGAAAAAGTCTCGGTGGTGGAAGTAAGACAAACATGATGCTTTAGAAAACTCAAAGGCGCTTGCATTCAGTTGCTCAGTCTTGGTGTTCTGCCTTTTGGAATAAACTGACCATACTCTGAGAATTTCGTTTACATCAAGGTTTAATGAAAATGACCTTATGCATCTTAGAATTTTTAATGAAAATTGTAAACGCTTGGTGGCAATGCCAATTTCTATCCATAGGAGCCATAACATTTTAAAAAAGGTTCATTAAAACAATCCATATCAAATTGAGAATCTCGGCTGGATGATCTCAACATTTACACGTGGAAATTAAGTGTAGTTTCAGAAACATTGACCAGATTGAGTAACTGAATTTTGAAACTTAAAGCAATCAACCACATTTAGCTTTTTCCCATTTTAAGTTTATTCATTTGCAAAAAACTCGAATAGGCATTCCTTGCATATTAAAATGGCACCATTGCATCATCTGCACATAACCTTGTGATGACCACGAACTTGGCTGACAGCATTTTTTTGTATTTAAGGTCAAGGAAAATACTGAATTAGGGTTCAAATTGTATATTTAATGCACAAGTAACCAAAAAATGAATGGTTGCTATACTCTTTGGTTCTATTGGGTAAAGTCACGTTGGTAAAAAATAAAATACGTACGTGACTTTACCCAATAGAACCAAATAGTATGGATCCTTGCAGTCACGAAAGCTTAATCTAGAATGGTTGCTAGTTTGCCACACTTCGAAAATGTCCAGAGTAATACACGTATTTCACCTTAACGGAGAAACAAGGGAGCTGCTATAGTGTCATGGTTACCACAGGATTTGCAATTCAGGTTTACTGGTTCGATAGTCATTTGGGCACGTGCATCGACGCAAGTTTCTAAATTCCTTACCACCTGTTTTTGAAGCAGTATGGGTACTCCAGCCGAATAACAGGTTTCATGTGGTTGGGTAAATTATGAATATGCCCACCTCTTATAAAATATATTGTTGGCATGAAATAGTAAAACACTATCGAGCATTTGCTCTAGTAGAGGCCGTTCTACCAGTGGCATGAACAACCAGTTGCAGGGCTGCACCTTAACTGAAAAACTTGTAGAGGGCGGTGACCTAGGCTGTCATAGGTGTTGAACAGCTACTGCTGGCCAGTCGCATGTTAACTGGTGCATTAATTCCACCTGAAATGGTTTCCGGTCCTGACACGAACCGGTAATGGATGATAAAAATGGGGCACTGGTGACGAGCTGTTTAATACTTCACTTATACATATCGTGAGTTTGTACCCAGCCCTGTCGCCTTTGTAGTATGCATTTTCTCCGTGGATTTTTCTCTGGGTTTTCCCCTCCACATTTATAAATGTGCCTCGAGCATTTGGGCTGCTATACATTTCCACATAAGCCACCTCATTGAGCTATTGTGGCCAGGTGGCTTATGGAAAATAGCTATATAGCTCAGTGGGCCTTACCTGGTAAAATAAAAAGTTTGGTTTTAGAGTTTTAAAAGTGCTGTACCAGTTAGTATTTAACCCCAGTAACTACTGTTTCACTGTTTATAAGACTCGTCAGTAAAGCTAAGCCATTGTTGCCTGTCACTTATGCTTGGAAACGTAACGTCGACTAGCCCTCCCTACACTGGGGATAAATTCAACACTGCCTAAGGCAACAACTAAGTTCCTATTTTAGGAAGCAAGACATGACAGCTAAAAAACTGTTTTATTTTCTTGGGACTCGTTGGCATGAAGGGCATGTTGGGCGATATCTATTATGCTTGGAGGTTGACACTTTTATATGGATGTTGAACTTCTTTTGTACAGTGTCGAGAAAAACCGTGCGAATCGGAGGTGTGGGGAAGGACAAACTAAACACAAAAACTAGTTCTTACAAAATGAGTTCAATCTTGAGTTGTGTACATATTGTTTTGGTCCTGCATTTTTAATGCCTGTCAAACTACCTCTTCAGCCACGGCAAGTGCTAGGACCGGTTGGTCAACGAATACCTCGGACACAAATCAGAGAAGAATGTGGTGGCATATTGTACTGGGGAGTCGTAAATGAGCACGATCTGCCTGAAATATTTTCCACAATCTCAGCTCTTGAGACCAGGGCCATCCAGAGGTTTCTATATGCCTGGGGCAGTATGCCACATGCAGCCTCATTCATTAGGGACAAAATAATAGGTCCTTTGTGGGTTTCTATGTGAGGCCTGGGGACAATTTGCCCATTTTTCACACCCACCACCTTCCAAAAGTTTAACGTTTATTCTGTTTGACCAGGTGAAAATTCAAGAGACCAAGATAGTCTCATTTGCACAAGACTGCAAAATATGTGCAGGAAAGGTGGCGTCATCTGGACATGCAAAGCATGCTGAGATTTCTGTTTTGATGGTTAACCATTTGAGTATAGTTTCCAGTTTGCATTCATTTTTATGGCTGTTAAATGATCTGAGCCAGAGAAAGTGACGGAATCTAAAGGCTGCACACTACATGAGACAGATCAGTTGATTTTCCTACAAATGTTCACTTGCATGTCACGCGGGAATAAAAATAACATAGGACCAAATGCAATGAAATAAGTTATGACAATGACATCATTGACAATATATACACTTTATTTATCACTACTGAAAAAAAAACTGATCACAATTATAAAAATAAGCCCCTATTTCCAGTGTACAGATTTAGTTTTTTTTTACTATCACCTCTCGTTTAGCAGAAGCATATTGCATACTGTCAAGTGTAACTATTTGAAGCAAGGGGTTGTTGGCTAAAGGAGCCACTTTATTGATTTTAAACCTGATGCAGGAGACCAAATTGCATGTTTGTGGAATTGTAAATGAAATGGAATATTGTAACACCCCTTCCACTTGCTAATAAGTTCATTCAGCATTTTATAAAACTACATGCTGCCAATCTCATTCAGTTTTACACAATTCGAACCAATCTGATCTCAAGCAACAGTTCTACACTGCTAGTTCTGTAAAAGTGGCTCCGTGGTCCCAAGGCCAAAATTATAATCATCATGGAATCGCACTGCCGATCACTGTTACAGCTAGTTCGTATCACACATGTAAAAACACATTAACGTGTCTCAAAGATGGACCACAAACTACCATGGTGCTTACCGTATTCTCCAGATTATAATAGCCGCTCCAGAAAGGAAGACACACCTCAAACTTGTGCCCGGTATCAATTAGGTTACACAAATTCGGCCGCGCGCACACAAATGGCCACCTATTGGGTTACAAGACGCAGCCTCAACTTTTTCTTTAAAATACTGGGGCGGGAAAAGGGTGCGCAATAACACGGAGACTACGGTAACAAGATGACAACGCAACACCCATTCAAGAGAAATTCACCAATCCCAGGTACTTAGCAGACAGATTTACAGTTGAATTTCCTGCACATCTGCAATTCACATTCTCTTTTTGAACATGCATCTATTTTTGGTGTAATTTTCTTTCAAGAATTACTTGAAAACACAAGATAAAACACAGCCTTTTCCCAGGACTTGTACAAAAAAAAACCCCCACTTCACTTTGTATGGAAGATACATAGCTATAATCATGGCACATTATTTTTTATGGAACAATTATTCCGTAGAAGCGTCAATTCAAATTGCAGTGGTTTATCCGTTATTATGAGACTGACATGGCCATCTCATTTACCAACCTCGTGGGGGACAGGTTTGTCCCGCAGTTTACAAAAGGAGTTAAGAAAGACGAGTGGAAAGAAACAGCTCAATATTTCCAACTCGCCAAAATTTCAAACCTTTCATGTTCACATTGCTTTATAGGCTAGATTCCTGTGCATGTACAGGGACCTTATAAATCTAAAATTCCTTGCAAAAAAAATTATACGAAACAAACATCCTCCAGCCAAAGGGCACGGCTTGCACTAGAGCGATGCTTTTTTAGCTTTTGGTTGTTTACCGCGTAATTTGTGCATTTCACAGTGAACGATGAATCAGTAGGGCAGTACAGAACAGCGGCACGGTGTTTCAGTGCATCGTTGGCACTAGCAGTGGTTTATGATTTAATGTCGCACAAATTGCTGTTACGACTCAAGTTACTTTTTGCAGTCAAGTTAAAAAGTCCCCCCTTTTCCAAATGCAAGTCTGCCCCCTAAATATGTCAGACACATACATTTTCTCCCCAATTGAGTAGCTCCGGGGGGGGGGGGGGGGCAAACGTCCCTTAGGGCGATTTTGGAATGCATTTTTTCACGTTCAGGGGGGCAAATTTCACACACTGGATTCACTCCTTCAAGAAGATGACACACCACGTCGACTGCTCTCACTGGAGAGCTCACAAGACGTTTTGGTCAAATGGTGGTATTCGCCAAACTCAAAGATGACCCGCAAAATTACTAAACTGGGATTATACATTAGAATATTAAATTTGAAGTTGGCAAACAGAGTGGAGTGTCCTAATATATTTGTGTATCATCATGACTACCCTCATCATGGGAATCTTCACGGCAGCTTTGGGCACAAGATGTCACTTCAACCACAGGTGCCAGTGTTCCCATGACATTTGCGATCAAAAACATCATCAAGTTACGTTGTGTATACATATAAAACGCTTATACCCATTGCATACAAGTTATTTGTCCTACACACCTGATAACTGAATAATTTACCAATGTAAACTTGAACATGTCTATACAATAAAATGAAACCCACCAGCCCATCCAAAAAAAATATATAACAATTCAAAAATATCACCGTGGTCGCTAGATTTGCGTGTAAAGGAAGCTCGCTTTGTTAAGATTATTAATAGAAGTGGTCGCAAAGTGGTCGCCTGCAGAAATCGGTGTCGACACGGGGTAGACAGCAACCATATCTGCAGTCAGTCTGTATACACATGCAATTTCATACATATTGAAACAAAAAGGCATCAGAATATATATATTTTTTACTTTTCGGCAATTTGTTTTTCAAATATCAACCTACAGGAGTTATTTTCTATGGAATGTATAATCACGACGCTGAAAGCCTAGTTCCCAGTGGGTTGTTTTATGCGATTGTAATGACAGTAAAAGAAACAAAACGCATATGATTAAGAGAATAAAGGCCATAACATCGGTCAACAGCCACAATGCATTACAGTAACCCATCCCAAGTAAAGCTATAAATAAAATGTAAAAACAAAAGCTTTCACCGTTTTGCCCTGTAACGATGAACATACCGACTAACACACATCAGTTGAGCAAAGTAAAATAATAAAATAAAGTAAAAACGTCAGGTAATGGGTAAGAAGGCCGGGTTCACGTCCGCTGTTGTGTGTTTGTCTCTTGCGGAAGATATACTCCAGGTCGGTTAACATGCAATCGTATTCCATACGTTTGGTTCCTACCATAACCCTACTCCCAAACAAGCTACTATGAAAGGCAAGGGATGTCTTATTAAGTGGTAGGCGACGTTCCAAGTGAATATCATTCAGTAGATCTACAAATGGGGGCAAATGTGTTTGTGCAGTGTCACATGTTGCAACTTAAACGAGCCACAAGTAGATCTGCAAGCCCATCAACAAGACTTGAATCGTAAAGTCAAAACAAAGGCGCCTTTTAAAATAAGCTTCTGGTATGTGCAGTACGAATGAAATGGCTGTAGATGATAAGGGCAGTCAAATAATGAAAACGGTGCATTTGAAGCTTGCGAGCACACACTCCCACATCACATTTTTCAGTGTCCCCACTGCAACCAGCAGACCATAACATTACACTTTCAGGACTTGAATACAGGATGTCATGTTGAGCCCAATAGGATACCGAGTTGACAAATGTGAGTAACGTGACCCATGTTTAACTTGTACGGTAAAAAGACAAGTAAAGTATCGTTTTGAGAAATATTTACGCCATCTACTTTAGAATACATCGCAGCGTTACTTACGACAGTGCGATTTTTCTCAACTTGTTTGGAGATCCCCCCCCCCCCCTTTGTGTGTTCGCCAGCGTCTTGTGCACGACCACATTCGGTGGTGACTTACGCGGAAATAAGTTAAAGACGACTTAAAAGTTTCCCTCCGTGGGATATTAAAACAAAAAAACAAACGTGCCAAAGAATCCACCCCAAGACAACTGCGGTTGTCATCAACCCGCCAACCGGATCATTTCTCCCCCCGCCATTCGACACGTGGCTGGATCACAGTATCTCACACTTTACAACAAAGCGATTATAACATTGCATCAAGGAGCTTTTTTTTTTGAAAGAACAATCTCCCAAAAATGTCAATTAATTCGAGAGAAAATCTATTTACAACCAATCAATCCGTTACTGTTAAAGCGGTCTCACGCCACAAAACACCACTTGTGACTCCTGGAAGTTTGTGTGCTTTTGGGACCGTGACACGATGGAGAAGAGGCGTTGTTAATTACGTTGTGTGTTGAACTTAATTTCTCATCGTACGTTAGTGCCAACCGTGCTAATAAGACACACGCAAGTGGCTTTTCGCAATCATCCCCCAACAGCACAGCGGCAACTTGAACGATCGTCAACCCAATTAAATCCCCCAATGAACATTCCGTATCTTTGTCAAAAATCATCCAATTCTGACAGCCACACACACACACACGCGCACATTGTACTCGCAGTACGCGAAAGAACGCCGCCGCCTTCTTCATGCGTGACACTCATTAACACAAAAGGTGGACAATTATCTCTCGCTCTGCTGGTAAACGTGTGGAGTAAACCTATGCGCAACGATCAATCGATCCATCACCTGCCCCCCCCACCTCCACTTATGCGGACGGAATTTTTGCGAGCGCCCATCTCTCTGGATATGTATGCTTAGTGGACGTGCGTGTAGGCGCGAATAAACAATACATAATCAACAAGAAACAATACATAATCCGAATAGAACCAAAGAGTATGAATACATAATCCCTCGCCGCATCGCCTTCCATGGACCGTGGGGGTTACACGTGCTGTGAGCATTTGTATCACCGGTGCTGATGTTTACACACCGCGGCGGGTACTCATTTGTGGCTGAGTTGACCTAGGCGGGAAGCCCGCGATATTCGCCACCGTGTTTTGTTGTTGTTATTGTTGTTCGTTGCAGCGGGAATCGAACTCGGCGCAGTGCGCCAACAGCTGCGCCACCGCTCTTCCAACGCGGAAGGAGACGCGCGCACACTCAGCACGCACACACACAACACACGCAAGCAACACACACAAAACACACGCAAGCAACACACTCAGCACGCACAACACACACGCAAGCCACACGCACATAAAACACACGCAAGCAACAGACACATGCGCAAGCCACACACACTAAACACACACGTAAGCCACACATACAAAACACACACACACTCAGCACACACACGTAAGCCACACACACAAAACATACACACGTAAGTCACACTCAGCACGCACACACTCACACGTGCGCGCACTGGCTCAGTCCAGTCAAGTCGTACGTGCTTCACGACACTGCATTCAATGGCCGCAGCGTGTGAAGAGAGAGGCTGTTGCGCAACCGCTCTCCCCCCACCCACCACCACCACCCTCCTCCTCCCCACTACCCTCCTCCTCACCACCCTCCTCCTCCCCACCACCACCACCGGCCGCCGAATGCACCGCGCGATTCGCCGCGCCAACGACGACGCCGCCGCCGGTGGGAGCGAGCCGCTCCTCCACAACCACTCCGCCCCACGCAGTAGCAGCCATGTCCCCGGTAGGGGGAGACGTGGAGCGGTGTGCCAGCACAGCCAAAAAGTTGAAACCAACCAACAGCAACACCCTTTACCGTAGCCTTTCAACCCGTACGATTTTACCACGTATTCTTGTACAGGGACATTTAGTTTTTAGGTCCATTACGGCGTACGGCCGTTCAGATACGGGCAAACATTTTGTTTTGTATATTTGCTCGTTTCTCCCCCTGTGATGGGACTTCGTCGGATGAACGTTGAGATTTATAAGGGGCACGGGGTCACCAATAAGGTCTGAATTTGTCTGTAATAACGTAGGGCACCGATAAGGGGTTGACAGCCATGCTTATGCGAGTTGTTACTCAAGGCGCAGGTCAACGCAGTCCAGCCCGTGACAGAGTGCGGTGCGTGCACAATCGTGCGAGAGTTCAGGCGAAAAATCGTGAGAGGGTTAAGGCGTACAATCGTCCACGGACCAGGACCCACCGAGCGGATCCTAACGTTCAGAGGGAGAGACAGAGACGGGAGATGATGACACAGGACGTGGGAAGGGAGAGGTCGGGTGGACAAGCCGTGACTGGCGGTTGTTCGATGGTAAGGGTCGCTGGCATCGATTTGTATAGTCGTACAAATACGTTTGGAGACCCTTAGGTAAAACAAAATAATTAGGCGATTTAAAAAGTGGTATGGGACTGGATAAGGAGAAGGTAGGAAGTAGAGGGAGAGAGGAGTCGTGAAGATTAGAAATGGTGCGATGCCTTGAGCTTGAATTAATATATTTCGTGTGTCACAGCAGCTACTTTATGTAAACTTAAACCATGTATTTTGGTGCTTCTGCTGCATTTGCAGTGGTTCCCAAGCACAGTTGACAAAAAAAAAACCTCCAAACGTTCGCCAACATTTACGCGATCTAACCCGAAAAGACCCCCGCTTTATTATGGATAGTGGTCGTAAAAGCCGACTGCGTGTCACACCCAATAACAATTCCTTATATGGAAAAGATAAACACTAGGCAACGTTGTCGGCATGGATCCTTCTCCAAATCACACACACATCATCATATATGCACATACGTCATGTGTGTCCTGTGAAGGGCCTCTGGTCAAAACATTGCTTCTGATATATTTTTCATTTTACGTTTTATCGACGTATGTGTTGAATTTCTTAAGTTAAACCTGGGAACGTTTCCGAACAGCGACGCCTTTCCTAAAAGATCCTGCTGCGCAAGGAGACAACAATGTCTGCGTGGAACGACGAATTGACACAACGCAGTGGCATAGCGCGGTTGGCACGGGCCCTGCTGCAAGGAATGAATGCATGTTGAATTTCTTTCGCACCGTACGTAGCCAACCGTGCTTATCAGAAGGTGCAAATTAAATGGGCGTCCCCTGTCCAATGACCCACCCCCTCCACTTCTCTTCGTAACCTCCCCGGCCCACGTACCCCCCCACCCTACGGTGCAGTTGCACCACCTGCACACTCGATAGCCACGCACCGCTCCCGACAACGGAGGGCCGCACGGCCTCAACGGAACCTCAACAAGGCTGCGTTGCAAAAAAAATATCAGCATCACTGCAGCGTACACGAAAGATGGAGAGATTTCAAGGAAACGCCGGGCGCATACCCAACGGTATTCTTGGCGACCCGTACTGCAAAAGGAATGTATCATGCACAGCGATTATTTGACAAAATAAAAAACTATAAAGAAAAATACATCTCCTTTAAAAAAAATAAAGTGACTTCTTCAAGTCAGGGCCCCCAAAATCTGATGGTACAAAAATAACAATGTCAAAATAAGGTCAAGATATTCATGCCACTAAAATCCGTTTTTCTACTGTGCTTCTATACTCCCACTGCGGTCAAATACTTCCCACGACCTACCCGGTGTGGGAAGACCCCATCCAGCAGTGGGATCGACTAAAGGCTGGACATGTACATTGGGGTCCAGATGTCATGTGACCTCTAATTGGCCCCTAACATTTTTTTCTTCCCTTTGCTTATTCATTTCCCTTTTCACACCCAACGGTGTGCAAGCATATTAAGTTTTAGAGAATTAAATGGGGATCACAAGACACCTGGACCGCCCTGTACACATGGGTTACCAACGGCCGTGATTATGTGTACGCACAAAGACTCGGGGGGGGGGGGGGGGGCTTTGAAAGTATGAAGAGCACAAAGGTGGCCGATCGCTACAGAAGCTACTTTCCGCAACGCGACACAGACGCGGCATTACAAGCCCTGCCTGCGTTTTAATTGAGCAATCCAGGGCTACCGACAGATGCTCGTGGCTTCTGCTATCTTACACAGTGCCCTGCACGATAGGCTGGGCGACCCTAACACTAAACTCGAGTTAACAACTCAAGTGTAAAAAAAAAAAAATCTATCATATAAAAAAAATCTATCATGTAAAAAAAAATCTATCACATTTGAAAATTGTTTTGAATTTACACATTTCCAATTCACAAAAATAACAAAAACTTGGGTGACACTGCGTTGGTAGTTGTGCCCAGCATAAATTAAATAAAAAGCGACGCACTCATCAATAACATTGCGCTAGAAAAGGGGAAAACAAATACACAATAGGTCGACGTTTCGGGCAATGGCCTAACATCATCGTAGGGAAATTCATGGCAATTTGCCCGGAAAGTCGAGTATTTATATATTTTCTCTCCCCCCTCTCTCAGGCAACTATTGACGAAAGTGTTGAAAATTCACAAAATATTGCATTACGTGTCGAAACGTAAACTTTTGTTTTGCTGCGGTCCATTATTGTTGTTGGTATTGTAATAAATAAAGCAACCGAGATGCTGCAAGTTTATTTAAACGTATGTAGCCGGTCCACGAGTATTCTGTGTAACTTCAGAATTGAAATAATTTGTTCTCTCGTGCCCCAATGCAGCACCTACCAACTCGGGAGCATTGCAACAAATTTGGTTCCAAAATGAGAAGGCTGAGCCATTGATACAACGTAAATATTTATAAAAAATACATATATACGTCTTATATCTTTTCAAGACTTGTTTCAATATTATTTTCCATAAGGATAATACATATACTGTATATATGTACACGCGTGCACAAAATGTACACGAAACCAGTATCACACACACACACACATGTATGGGTATATAGACACATATATGTACATATGCTATATATACACACACACAAAGACCCCCCCCCCCCCCCGCATAGCCGTAACATACTGTTGTGACTAGTGCCTATCAAGGCAAGCATGGCACATGAGGAGGTGGGTAGGCAACACCACGCCCGGCTGTCTTTGTCTTCCCAGTGCCGATGTTCACACACTAGACCAAGTACTCATTTAAGGCCAAGTTGCAAGTTGACCTAGGGGAGGCTCACAGCACTGGTTCAAAATATTGAACACTTATTGGTCATGAGCAGGAATTGAACTCGGGTAGCCAGGTTCGAAGTGCAGTGCATAAACCACGACAGTACTGAACTCGTATACGCACGTACAGTATATATACTATATACACACGCTGATAGATATACAAACATGACAAAGACAAAGATTCATACATCGGCCCCTACACAGACCACACACACACACGTACATATATGTAAACGTGGCTGAAAGAGGCGTGTAACGATTCAGATCGAAATTAACGGCCATGAAACACGTATCCAAGTGTGCGCGTGAGAATCGATTATTTACAATGTATGGGTCGTTCACAAAATGGCACAAATGTATTACATTTAGGGTGAGTGGAGCAAACGGAACTCAACATAGGAGAGAGGGGAAAAACACACAAACAAACAATACAAACAAGGTGATAAAAAACGAGACATTAAACAAAAACCCCATCGAATTTCGATTGCAATCATGACCCCGAAATCGAGAGAATCGATCACATCACTGGGGGCGGTGAATCGTTACATGCCTAGGCACGTGTGCTTTAGAGACGTCGATGTGCAGGTCACGTGGTTCCGGGGTCACACAGGTCACAGGTTAGAGGCCGACGATGTTGTTCATCTCCCACTGCTGCGAGGTTTTGCCTTCCTCGCACGTCGCCACGAACACCTGGTGCAGCAGCTCCGAGCGATCGAGGCACCATCCCTTCGGCGCGTACACGAACACGTGCTTCTCCTGGGGAAGGGGAGGGGCACGTGCCCGTGAGATTTAAAAAAAAATTGCCTTCCTCTTCCAAATTCTATGAGAGCACATGATCTGTGAAAAGGACTGAGGAGTTAGGCGTTAACATTTTTTCTAACCATTGTTGTTTCTCAGCAGCGCACAAGCACAAATAACAAGGACTGCACTGCAAAGAAAAAAATACATAATAGGTGGCGTTTTGAGCAATGGTACTACTTCATAGCAGAGATCGCTTTGCTTGTGTTGTGATCAAAACGTCATAGTTTTTTGTTTATTTTTATTAACTTGAACCTATCTACATGACCAAATAATATTATATGGTAATGTCAATAATGTATCTCGGGAAGCCTCAGTGAGTCTGAAGGCTGTTTATTAGGAAAGTCCTGCATTGGGATGTTTGGACAATGTTCCATTTATGAATGTTGGGCTTGTGGTAAGAAAATCGGGAGTTCCCGGAGAAAACCCATAATATAGAGGGGGTGACACTCAGCACTCGTGTCTCCTGGCCACTTCACAGCCTCATGCCGACAATTCCTGGCAATCCCCTGGTAGTCTCCCATCCAAGTACCAGGTTCAACCTGCTTGCCTTCTGCCATCCAAATAAGATCGGTGCATTTAGGGCGACTTGGTCTTATCAACTCTCAATCTCATTTGAAACATCTCACACAAGCAAGGTATTACACACTTGTAATAGACGATACTGTGTAGGTCAAGGTTGGTCGATCATGTAGGTTTGGGATACTTCCAAACCTGCTCGACTCTTAGGCGGCCAGAAGATGGCAGTACAGAACATGGACTCAGCACAAGATCAGTGCGGACCTCAAATGTGAACGAGATTTCCTCCCCACACGCCACAACGCTCCGTAACAACGGAACGGGCCAAACATTCCAATCTTGCAGGACCCCCCCGCCCCCTCCTGAAAAAAAAGTGTCTTGAAACTCGTTGAAGACGTGGGAAAACAAATGACGACTCAATGTTCCTTAAAGCATCTAAAACGCAACCCGCATCTCAAGGAGAGAGGAGATAAGAGGGCTTCACTGTGCGATGTTCATTGGCGTGTGGCGCGGGCGGTGAGCGAATTGGGCTCAAGGCCAATGAGACCTGACCTCATAAGACAGATTACGTATAAAACGCACCACCATTGTTCTTTCATAGCGACAATTTTATCCCTTTCATCTCAACGCAAACCAACGTATCGGAGGAGTCCAAATCACCGTTCCATGACCGGGCGGTAGACAGGAGGTGATGTTGAGAAGCAAACATCTTGGGCATGATGGAATCGCTGCTCCATCGCTGCCTTTCAACATTATCACGCTATCCACCGCTCCGTGTCAAACATGAACGTTACGTCTTGCATTTTGAATTAAATGAGGTGGTTCCTTATATATATAAAAAAAAGAAACATCACTTTTCCTTTCCATCTTAACATCGGGCCTTCGGCAGAAACACTCCGTTGCTGGAGTGGACAGCGCACGGAGGGGAGTAGAGTGAGATGAGTGGGGAGAGGCAGGAGAGCGCATGAAGGGAGTAGAATGAGCTGAAAGGGGAGCAGTAAGCAGGGTTAAGTCCATGGAGGATCATGAAGATTGTAAGCGAGATCTTGAAATTGATTCAGGGAGCGGATTGGGAGCCAGTGGAGGGACTGGAGTACTGGGGTGTGATGTGGTGGTGTTATTTATAAGCACCAGAGATAAGCTGCATTCCAGCGCAGTGAATTTACACAGCTACCTGCCAAACCTGCCAGAACAGTTCATGCAATAAAAAAAACGCAACACGTGCGTCATTACCATGTTCTAAAGAGGAAAAACGATCCTGAATGTCACTGCCCAAAATGTTGCCTATTACATGTATGTTTTTTCACCCTTAGGGTAGCATTAAATAGCGCACGTGTTGAGATTGTGCTAGTTGTGTAGCGCACCACTGCAAAGACAAAGATCCACCGTGTAGCCTGTTTGAACAGGTTTTAAGGGAAAGTGCTGCTAGTGAGCACCTATGAAGGCTGGCACGGTAAACTAGGGGTGTGTGCGCCAAGCACCGCGCCCAACTACCTTTGTCTCCCCAGTGGCGATGTTTACACAACGCACCAGGTACTCATTTGAGGCCGAGTCGACCTAGGGGAGGCTCAGGACCGGTTCAGATAATCACCACTGGTGTGGATGGCCACGAGTAGGAATCGAACTTGGGTTGCCGAGAGTTGGTAGCGCGGCGTGCACACCGCTAAACTACCACTCCCCACACACGTACACACACATGTACACACAGACACGCGTTCGTTTAATTTTTTGAACGGCGTATTGCATCGCCAGGGCGATCGTACCTTGTCGTACGTCCACTCCTCGAACTGCTTCATGCCGCAGTGCATGATCGTGATCTTGTTGCCGTCGCGTTGCTGCGTCAGGCACTGGTCGTACTGCATCAGTTGCTTGGCTTCGTTAATTCGGAACAGCTGTGGCGAAAACACGCAAGTCGCAAGGTCGCTCAAATACATTTTCCCGATCCGTAGAGTAGCAGAGCGTCGTCGTGCCATCGCTGTCGCAGGCCCTAATCGTCAAATCGCCACCAGCGCCAAGTTCCGTGAAAATCTTAAAAGACACGTTTCACCGCGATGCACCAAACCATCTGAAATCCACCAACCTCCACCTTGTCGGATCTCAGAAGCCAAGCAACGTTCAGCCGGGACAGTGCTTGGATGGGCGACCACGATGCACAACAGATTCTTAAAGGGGCCACTGGTTGCCCTACGTTGTTTGCAGGGAGCACTGCAGCAAATTGTTCTACAATAACGATGCTCCAACGTCTATGCACGTATGCATGTTGAACTTCTTTCGCACCGTACGTGGCCAACCGTGCTAATATCGGAGGTGCTCGCCGCCTACGTCAACCAGCACTGACCAGCGAGGTGACGTACGATAAAATAGCCCCAATGAACCACACAGCATGAGAGGTTCGTCACCCAGTAGTGGGTTGACAATACGGATTGTGTTGTGCACGCACTGCATCGCAGAACCACGCAAATCTTTGATTCTTTGCACTATTTTGAGTTATGACCTTTGGTCAGTGTAGTACACGTGCATGTCTCCATGCGTACATGCACATATAGATTTGAATGAGCGTGTTTTGGGAGCATTAACGTAGCAGTTAGCGCATTGCACTACGAACCCAGCTACCCGAATTCCAATTCCTGCTCCCTGCCAACATTGGTGATTATCTGAACCGGTCCCGAGCATCCCTCTAGGTCGACTCAGCCTCAAGTGAGCACCTGATGCTGCGTGTAAACATCAGCGCTGGGTAGACAGGGCTTGTTGCCGGCCAGCCAACCCCTCGTGTGCCATGCCGGCCTGAAGGAGGTGCTCGCGAACAACACTTGCGACCAAACAGTCTGTTAAGGCCGTGTCGGGGGGGGGGGTCTTTGCCTTTAGCTTTGTGTGTGTACGCATCACCTGGTTTCCTCCCATGCGGTGGCAGGGTCCAAGTTCCACCACTCCTCCGTTGGTGTGCCCCATGCTGTCGATGCAATAGCTGGAACCCAATGCGCGTATCTACACCACGGACGCACAAGCCAATCATATACACAAAGAACAGTCGATAACAGATGCCGCTAAGGGGTAGCAATAGTGTTCGCCAGAATTTTTGAACCAGGCTACATGCAGTTTGAGCCCATTTGGAATAGCGATGGTTCATGGGTCGAGGTCACGAGACAGACTCGGATGTTATCAGTTAAAAGACAAAGGTGAATAATCATAGCAGACCAGACATGCATATACCACATTCACACATGCACATTCATTCTCCACTTAAACTTTCTGTGTTTTAGCCACCCAGTTCTCTGTACTGGGTGCACCCCACTTTGCCAACTTACTCCGTTTAAGGCGCCCGGCACGCTGCTGCTCGTTGTTACGAACGCCTTTCCTCTGCCCTCAGTTGTTGCTGTTGGAGGGCGACTGCCTTCAACTGCCCAGTAGCATCCTTCGCAAGCCTCCTCCTCCACAGGAGGCTGATCTTGACACCGCTGGTACCAGTCGTCGGCAAGTCCACTCAGCTCCACATCTTCCTGTACTACGTCAGTCCATCTCTCATCTAACCCATGCGCCCCATTAAGCCTCTACCCATATGCACAAAGCACAAACAAAGATCCCCAATATAGCCTCCAACAGACTGTTGGGGCAAGTATTGTTATCAAGCACCTATGAATGCCGGCACGGCGAACAAGGGGGTTGGTGCCCAACACCACGCCTAGCCGCCTTTGTCTCTCCAGTGATGACGTTTACACAGCACACCAGGTGCTCATTTAAAGGCTGAATGGTGCCATGGTGGTGTGATGTTAACTACCTCGCCTGGTACACAGGAGATCGTGGGTTCGATCCAGACCCTGGCACATGTACGTTTGGAGTTTTTATGTTCTCCCAGTGGTTGTGTAGATTTTTTTCGTGGGTCCTCCAGTTTTTCCCTCCACATTTAGAATCAACACGCGTTCAGAGTATTTGGCCGCTATAAATTTCCACGCAATAAGCCACTTTGTGGTCAAGTCGCTTCTAAAAAAAAAAGAGCTATATAGCTCAGTGGGACTTACCTGGTAAAATCAAAATAGTTCAAGTTGCCCTCAGAAAATCCCAGGACCGGTGAAGATAATCATCACTGATGTTGGCCGTGAGTGGGAATCGAACTCTGGTCGCCCGGTTCGTAGCGCAGTACTCGAACAACCACACTACCGCTCCCCCACGTGGATGCACGTACCCACACACGCACGCGCACAAAATCTGCATGGACCCACCTCCCCCCAATCGACGTTGCGCGGCGGGAGCGGGTAGAACTCGGGGATGTCGTAGGCGATGTTCTCCATGAACCAGCGGAAGCTCTTGCAGTTGTGGTCCTCGCGGAACTTTTTGAGCTCCGTGACGTCGCCGTACGCGATGCCCTGCGTCTCGGGCCGGCTCGCGTAAAAGTAGTCCCGGTACTCGTCCCACCACACCTCGACGACGCGCACGTAGTTCTACGCCCCCACCGACCGGAGGAGAGGTCGCACGGGCGAGAGACGCGTTACGGAACGTTGCGCGTCAAAGGAAGACTGCACCCAATTGTTTTTTTTTTAAAGCCAGCTGTTATCTTGTAAATGGAGTCACCCTCCTGAAACACGTGGTTTCAGCAGTGATGCCATTGCCAGGAAACGATCCCATATAATGAGGATGGCAATGATGATGTGTGGTGATGATGTTGGTGATATCACAGAATGACTTATAATGTTAATATGGAGAAATATCCAAATAATGCCTTGTTTGTCACGATAGCAATATTAAGAATTATAGATTTTAATTACAAAATCGCATTGTTACAAAATATATGAATATAGGCTTTGATATTACGTGTATAAATATGAAAGGTGTTGCTATGGATTATATACAATTGCATATTGGACAAACATTTGTTGATCATTATATACTACATTGCTACACTACTAAAAATGGTTGTATCTGTCAGGAGCATGAATAGCAAAGTCTGCCTGCATTACAAGGGATCATGTTTGCAATAACCACAACACAAGCAGTCAAAAATGCAAACAAAAAGAAACAACTCTGATAATGATATGCACTGTCCTTGAATTTGATTGGTCCACACCCGAGACGGCTTTTCTTATAGCCTAGTCTCCACTGGTATTGGACCAGATGACACCATAAGGCGTACAACTCAAACCACCAGTGGAGACTAGGCTATAAGAAAAGCCATCTCGGGTATGGACCAATCAAATTCAAGGACAGTGCATATCATTATCAGAGTTGTTTCTTTTTGTTTGCATTTTTGACTGCTTGTGTTGTGGTTATTGCAAACATGATCCCTTGTATAAAGGTGTCAGTTTTTGTGCCAGATAAAAGGGTAAAAACCTATTACTATATCTTGTTACTGGCAAAGGAGGTCTCGTAATGTCTGCCTGCATTGTGGGACATGAAGGAATAAGAATAGTTTGAGCTAGGACGATTAATCTACACACACACGGGCTATACGCTCGGCAGTGTGAAGATTTTAAATGGAACGAGCGTCATCCCTCTAATCCCCACCACATCGCCGTGGCGCTGGGCTGTTGGCGACGTGCATCGTTTCGAGAAGAGTCTCCTATGTGTTCACCGGCATCTCCAGCTGCCATCGTTTCTAATGCTTCCGTTAAACGCTGTCCAAGATCGATGAAGATTTAAGGAAAAATGTATATATATTTTTAGAAAATTATTAATAACCACACTGCTCAAAACTTCCTTCTAATCGTGAGTTAGTAAATGATGGCCGATACCTTTATGGTCACCCCTGAACATTCAAATTATCAAACTGATGTCACACTGTGAAGCATGCCAGTGTGCCAGTGCGCTTCCGCCACCTCCCTCCTTCACCTTCCCCCCTCGCCTCCTAAAGGTGGCACGGCCCCCCAGCCCCCCTGCTTCTACGCACCTTGAGAGTGAGAGAGGAGCCCAAGCCGGGCGGAGGGGGGTTCCCAGCCCAGCCATGCAAGCGGTAAATGTGTCCCGCACGTGAGCACGGCACAAAGAGCAGCTTTCCTCCACATTGCCAAATCTAAACCCAGCAGGCATGTGCGCGCGTTTTGTGCGTGTGTGCGCCGTGTGGGAGGGAAGGATAGGAATACAGAGAGAGGGAGAGAGAGAAGGTGCAGAATGGGCAATGCGGCAATGGCACTCGGATGGTTGACGCGTGGGCTCACAAACGCAGCCGAGTTCAAACGTCGGTGGAGAAGCGAGCTGTCTTAACGTTTCGCAAATGTGGGGCGGGCAGTGGCCGATGTAGGAGGTAGATCTCAATGATCTCAGTTTTATTCAATCGAATCATTGACTTTTCTTTAACGAGGTCCTGGGTGCTAGGTAAATTACTTTATTAGAAGCACACAATTGAATTTCTGATTCAAAACCGTCAGCGTGCGTTTAAAAATCGCGCGCGTATATATTGGTGCGTATAAATGAACAATTATACGCAAACACGCGTAGTGAGAGGTCACTAGATCTCATGTCCAGCCTCACAAAGCGAGGGGGGAGTGGAGGAGGAGGCACAAGGAGCCCCCGTGCTGATTGGATATCACAGCACCCACCCAACATACGGGCACATCTCGCTTCTCCACGTCGCTCTCCCAGGAAGAATCCGCCAAGAGGATGGCCACATGCTCGAACTTTTTTTTTTTTTAACCGCAGCCACGGCCACTGCCGATCGACTGCAAGTTTTACGTCGAATGGCAAAAATATTTTCGGTCGACTATGGGCCAACCTCTCACTCGGAATCAATCTCTCCGTTTTTGGGAGCCTACGGCGCCTGCCCGCTTACTGACACACAGAAGGCAGAAGGGGGCGCGTGGATAACTACGCAAGGGAGCGAGAGCGTGACCGCTTTGCGGCGGCGGCGAGCGACGGTAACCTGCACGACAGAGAAGGGCTTTCCGGAGACGGGCGACCCGGCCCAGTCGGGTAACCTGTAGATGTGGCCGGCTCGCGAGCACGGCACAAACAGGAGCTTGCCCCCGCACATCCACAACTTGCCGGCACATGAGGGGGGGGGCGGGGGCCACAGGCTCGCACGTTAGGGCCGCGGGACAAGACACGAACGGCGCAGGCAGACCGTGGACGGCGATCGGCCCTGTTGAGCCTGTGCAAGTTGTAGGCGGTTATTGGGATGTATGAGCGGGAGTTGTGGGACCGTTACCTCTCACGCCCAGCTGCCTATGTCTAATCTAACCAGGGACTCTTATTGAGTGGATATGGCATTCATGTTAGGGCGAGTAGATCTAATGGATCCCCCCCCACCCCCACGTGCACACGTGATGTAATGGGCACATTCTGAGTGATTTGGTCAGGTCTCGGAGACAAATTAGCATTGGGCTTTGATAGCGCTTGGATAGGGGACCACCATGCACAGCAGGGGCTGGGTTTTGGACAGTAGACGGCAGTACAGAAAACTAACTTATTGAACTGCGTCTCAGACGTAACACTGACTGAATTAACTGTACTAATATGCTCCCTGCCTTCTCCAACACTTACCTGACCACTGCTATGAAATATGGTCAAACAACCCACAAGACCGACATGGCATGGTGGGCGGCCTTCATCAGTAGTGGGTGAACAAGGCTCTCTCCTCTTTACCAAATGGGCATCTAGACAAATCTCAGATACCAATAGCCACTGTGGGGGTGTCGAAAATACGTCACTAGGATTTCAGCGCAGCGTGCAAAACCCCCATCACACCACTGCACACACAAAGATGCAGACAAGGACAAGTTAAAGTAACCTGCGCATACGTTAAAACAATACAACGTACCTTGTCTAAGCAGTGGCGTATTAAATCAAGACATAATCGCACGTGTACACACACAGGTAGGAAAGAAGCGTTAAAAACGGATTAGAGCCGAGATCACAATTTTTACTTAACATGCACCATCGGCAGGATGCAGCCGGGCTCTGTCCTAACAACAACACTCCACATTACACATTACCTGCACACCACCACAGATGCCCACCTCGTACAAACATTCGGCACGTGTGCATCTAACACAAAACCACCCGTATCCTTTACACCCTTTTGAGTTGAGACGGATGGTCAGTGTCGTGACTAGCCGTGGCACACGGGGGCAGTAGTGAGAAGAGGGAGACAGAGATTGAGAACACGACAGGTGAGGAGACGTGGGTGGCCTACCAACGTCAAACGCAGGACCTGAGTGATTGTCAGCTTCATGCCTTGTTGGGGCCTCGACGGTTTGTGTGGCCGCGATATCATCTTTCGTAAGATATACATTATCATGATGCGACGATTATCACAATGTCAATTTCCTGTAATGTTCTAATTGTATTATGCGGTTTGGTTGTATTCTTTTTGCTCTATTTACAACAATCAAAAAAGTTTATTTTAAAAGTTCAACTGCTGTTCACTCAAGTCGTATAATCACTGCAACTTCATCAATGGATAAACACACACACGCACAAGCATGGCGTGTTACACAAGTAATTATTAATTGGCTGGTGATGAAAATAACGATGAAGTCATAACTGCTATTCCTTCCATCAAACTGAAAAATGTATTAGAAGGCACTATTTTGAAGGGGTAATAGCTATAAGTGTAGAACTGTATTCATTGTTTGTTATTTCATAATTAGTGGGTTAAGAAATATAATATTTAGAAAAATAAAATGAGCAACGTTAACATTCATGGATTTCGAGAGATGGCGGTGGCATGGGGAGACCTTCATCCAGCTGTGGAAAGAACATCACTGATGACAATGAAAACAAGAGATAATCACCCAATAATGATATTTAGCAAATCGAATGACATGATTATCGTCGGCCTTGTATATCGTACAATGTGTTGCCATACGGAATATTGCGCCAACTTTAGCTCGGCAGCAACTGTAGCCTAAAAAGGAAACAATATATAATAGGCGACACGTTTGAGGCAATGCCTCTTCTTCAGTACAGACAAAACACACAATCCATTAATGTGCTATGAAAAATGGCCATTTCCCGTAATGTCACCCAAAATTTTCCTTTTAAGGCCACTGTGTTATTGACAAATGTATTGAGTTGTTATTTGTGTTTTGGGCATCACTGCCAACGGAGTATCACCGAATAATTAGCTTACTTGACCAGAGCCACATGAAGTAAAAATTATTGCTAAATGTGTTCATGCATTTATGCTTTCCTCCACTGCATCACTTGCAGGTTTGCTCGTGGTGGTGGGGGGAGGGGGTAGGCGGGCACGTACCTTGTAAGAGATCTCAAAGTTCTCACCGCCCCAGATTTGCAGGCCTGGGTCGTAGAGTCCCAGCTCGAAAAAGAAGTCTCGATCGATGGCGAACAGCCCGCCAGCCATCGCCGGAGACCTGGGCGCAACAACAACAGCACGGTTACCATGCCCAAACTCCTGTTAACCGCACACAGAAACTACGACGGCACTGATCCATGCTTGTTTTTGGGTTAGGCCATATAGTATGCGTATATGTCGAACTTCTTTGGGACCATACGTAGCTAACCGTGGTAATCGGAGGTGCAAATTAAATGGGCGTCCCCTGTCCAATATACCCCCCCCCCTCCCCCTTCTTTGTAGCCCAGCAACTGGACACCTCCCTGGCCCACTTACCCCCCGGTGCAGTTGCACTAGCTGCACACTCGACAGCGACCTTTTTGTATGTTGAACTTCTTTCGCACCGTGCGTAGCCAACCGTGATCATCGGAGGTGCGGGTGAAGGACAACAAACTAACATGAAAAGCAGTTCTAAAGAAATTCGTTTTCCCCTCTGTGTGTACCAAAATCGTTTGTAAAATAAACTATTTGGGAAAAAAAATCAATTATTTTCCAATTTAGATTTAAAAGTTCTTATATCTTCAGTGGCTTCCTAATATAGGTCTTATTCCTACGGGTTATATGCCCATGGATCGTGATGATGGGTTACGAAGAGACAATGACAAGAATTTTGCGCACAGAACCACCGCAATTGCAGGCACACACCCATAGGGCTCGGTGCGAGTCTTGCGCTTGTCCTTCTCGCGCTGGCTCAGCGGCACTCGCTTCCACAGCATGCTCCAGTCCCAGGCGCCGCGTGCGAAGCCGTCCTCGTCCCCGCCGCCCTGAGGCCGCAGCACGTAGTCGTTGCCGTCGATCGCGTCGATGAGCGGGACCGTGGAGACCGTCCTGAGTGCGGAAGGAGAGCAGGAGGAGGAAGAGCGGAGGGGACGGTGGAGGTTGGGGCCATGCTGTGATGGTTTCGCACACTGGACTTGTGATTAAGAGGTCGCCAGTTCGATTATTTATCTTCTGGTGCGGCAGTTGAAACAAATCGTGCAAGTTTATTAACCCCCCCCACCGCCCCTATTCCATCTTTGCGCCACCTCTGTCCACCCAGAAGTATAAATGGGTACAACACAGTTAGTCGATCGCATGACATACAAATTCATATTTGTGGCCCAAACAATGCCCGGACACCTTTGTCTCTTCACAGCAGATATTTGCACACAGTTTGAGGAACTCATTTAGGATAAATTGAGTTTCCAAACAAGCCACTGATGTTGTCCACAGCAAGGAAATGAAACATGGTCCCTGGTATTGTGACTTAGCGTGTTAAACACTGAACCGCCACTATTGTGCCTCTGCACATTTTCTGAGCGGGTATCAATTTATCTTTTTAGCAGTTTCACATTATCACACTCATGTCGCATGCATGGTATGTAATGCATTCACAACGCCACCCCTGCAGCCACTAGAGGCACTGCCATTCACCATAATGTAATGAGAGAACCAACTGCCGAATCGAATCGTGACCCCGAACGTATATATGTAGAACTTCTTTCGCACCGTACGTAGCCAACCGTGGTGAATCTGAGTTGCGAAAATACTAGCGCCAACAGGGACATAAATGCTGGACTCTCAGATTTAAAGTCTGATGTTCTCCTGACCGAGCTATCTGGGAAAAAGCAAATGATGGTTTCATCATAAGACCTCCTTTGCCAGTACCAAAATGTAATAATAGGGTTTTTCCCCTTTTTTCTGCCAACAAAACTGAAACCTTTTTACAAGGATTCATGTCTGGACCAATCAGTTTCAACGACAATGCATATATTACCATAGTATGTTTTTTGTTTGCATTTTGACTGCAGGTATTGTGGTTAATGCAGACATGAATCCTTGTAAAAAGGTTTCAGTTTTGTTGCCAGAAAAAAGGGGAAAAAACTCTATTATTACAGATGATGGTTATTCATTCAATCAGGGATGGGGGGGGGGGGGGGGGGTACATCCCTAATATTCGAGTCACAATGCTATATCTAGGCGCGGTTCACCAAAATATTTATCACTAATGTCACGTGTTATCTTAGGCTGCCAAAATTACACAAAGGATAAAAGCAGTGCGATTTTGGATGCAGGCCCACTCCTCCCTCCCCCCACGTAATTTTATTGGCAATCTAAACACACAAACAAGACGTGAGTCTTACGTTACAGTCCCAAAAAGCACTGCATCTCCCACCAGGGCTCAAATTGTTTTAGACAAACACTGCCAGCGAGGTGGCCGTATGGCTCACAGGTCAGCGGGTCGAGTTGGCACGGTTCAGGTCCTGGCTTCACATCCACGCAGTATCCTGTAATTAAACTGGGTTCTCAAGTGCAGTTCACTTATCCATTTGATTAAGTTCCAGATATGGGAATAAAATATTGGTTTGTATATGGACATTGAACAATTTGCTCTCTGGCTTCATTTTGATGACATGTTGTATGTATATTGAACTTATTTTACACCTTACGTAGCCAACCATGCTCATCAGAGGTGCAGGGGGAAGTAAAAACAAATTAAACTAAAGAAATTAGTTTTCAATCTCGATTATTTAAAAGTGCATAGCTCCAGTGGCTTCCTAATATCGGAAGGAAGAGCATTTCAGATGGTTGCAAACGGGCCGGTTTGTCCGCCATACGACAAATATTACTCTGAGAATAAGTTTTTCCCCTTTTATCTGGCAACAAACCAGGTGTTAAGTTATTAAAACACCAAACTGAAACCTTTTACAAGGAATCATGTCTGCATTAACCACAATACTTGTGGTCAAAATGCAAACGTCAGTTTCAAAGACAATGCATATATTATCAGTGTTTTTTGTTTGCATTTTGACCACAAGTATTGTGGTTAATGCAGACATGATTCCATGTAAAAGGTTTCAGTTTGGTGTTTTAACTTAACACCTGTTTTGTTGCCACATAAAAGGGGAAAAACTTATTCTTATATTTTGGTACTGGCAAAGGAGGTCCCATGAAATATTACTCTCATATGCTAAGCGAGTGGGAAGGCGCCGTCCCCTCTTGTCTATGCCAGAGGTTACCGAGCGTCTCAGACGTAGCTCTGTGACATCCACTTTCGTGGGCCGTACTCTAAACCCTGAGAGATTTCAATAATTACTTTGGCATCATTAAAATGATGCCAAAAACTCAATCAAGCTAACATTGGGGGGGGGGAGGGGGGAGAGGGAAGACAAAAAACAAAACTGCTGGCCCATGATGTGGTTCTTGTGTTGTGCTACGTGCTTGTCGGCACGATGTCCGACGTTTCGCTCCACATGCTGGTAGCTTATTCTTCAGGAACTGAATTGAGCAGCTCACTCTCTCCCCCGATTACACAGCGACGCTCGCTTCTGCTGGCGTTACCCGTTCTTGACCTCCATTGGGCACAGCTATCTGACGTAGGCCCGCCCCCATGTTCGACTGGGAGGAAACCAGAGTGCCCGGAGAAAGCTCACCCATGCGTTCACAAACAGATATAAGAATTTAAAGGTCTGCTAATCAGCTGTTGCGTCATGTGTGAAGGCGGCCAACTCCACTCACCTGTCCTGAGCAATGGGGGCGACCAGAGGCGCGTACCAATTGATGCAAACCTCGCAGTGCGCGTCCAGGTAAATCAGCACCTGAAATTGCAACGTGGGTACCACACAAACCAACATGGGGCGTCAGATCAGTGGTTAGCACATCGCATTGTTGCCTCCACGTTTTTTAAGGTGACCCTATACAACTATCCAAGGCCAGAGGCTACAAAACAGGCTGCTGTGAAGGTATGTTAACCAATAACACACAAGGCATTCTGGGTTTTCCCACACAATTGCTTGCCACCTGATGCTAAGAATGTCACGGGCAGGATAGGGTAAGGAACTTGACGGTTTTGCATAGAATGCGAGAGAAGGTTTTGTCGACACAAATCGGGAGAAGGAAGTTGGGACACGTGTGCAGGGCAGAGGAGGGCAAATTACCGAGAAGGGCAGTGGAGAGGCACCCAGAGTTCAGCAACCAAGGGGGAAGACCTAAAGCCAGACGGTGATGATTACGAGACTGAAGGACACATCAACTGCTTAACAAGGGGAAGAAGACCTGAAGTCAGATAGTGGGATACTGTAAAAAGCAGACCTTGGGAGACTGAGTGTTACCTCTAAAACAACTGTGGAATCTAAGCATCAGGAAGCAATGGCAAGGTTAAGGCAGCATCAACACCATTGTAGTCGATGACTGACCTCGTGAGCCTTACCTTGCAATCAAAACTTTACGTATTCACAGCATGTGCTATATAAAATTAGCACGGTTGAGCCTGGGTAATGCTTGCTTGGTGGCTATATGCTCAGAAGGTTATCAGCCTCTGCGAGGCTACGTGGGGGTTGGGGGGCGGGCAACAGGGGGTGCAGTACAATCCATTGCTTTATTATACTTGTGGCCCCAAATCGATGCGGTTCCTCCGCAAACACCAACTCACACTGCCCAGCATGGCAATAACATGGTCCAACACCACGAACGACACCACGCGGTGGGGGGGGCTTTCATCCAGCAGTGGCTTGACAAAGAGCCGCTCGTGTACGCGTTTGAATGCTACGTGGGTTTTTTTGCGGCCGTCTCATATGTAGCTCGCCGCGACGTATTTCCGGTTCGTTATGTCGGGCGCACCGAAAGAAACGGAGCCTGTGAGAAAATGTGTGCTGGCTGAACTTTCAAAGGGCGTCGGATGAGGCCGGATGGGGTCAAGTGGGATAAGATCAGGCCGGGGGGTCACCTGGCCCAGCGTGGCCTTCTTTGCACCCGTGCTGCGAGCTTGGATGAGGCCTTCGCGCCGCTCGTTGCGGTAGACCTTCACGAGGCCGTTCCACCTCTTTATGTACTCATCAAGGTGGTCCAGCAGGTGTGCTGCATGGTGGGGGGGGGAGAAACAGGTGCGCATTAAACGAAGAAAAAATAATGCGTACCCATGGATTCTGCAACGCTTTCCCAAAAGTGTGTAGAATATGTACGTATGTAGAACTTCTTTCATGCTGTACGGAGCCAACCGTGCTAATCAGAGGTGCATGTGTCACCGTAAGAATACTACATAATAAAGCCCTGCAGGAGTCCCACAATACAATACAAAAAATGAATTCCTACTTCCTGCTGTAGCTAAAACATGACAATTTTTACGAAGAAAATTTAACAAACTGAAAAAAGTGTGCAAAGAAGCATGGAGAAAATGCAAGCTCAAGACTTACACCGAGAGGCAGCAAGTAAAACACACGGATTACGGAACACACACACACATTAGATGAAGACACCCCTTGCCGAGACCACGATGAAGGTTTCGCTGATATCAGAGGAGCCAAAGCCTCTGTTGAATCCATAGGGGACAGGGACACCCCCCATTCTGAAACGAGAGCAGAGAGAACCCCGACTGAAAGCGTAAGAGATGTCGACAGAGAAAAACAAACCAAAGGAAAAATGGAGCCCTACAGAGCCCCCCCATTTGAGAGAGACCTCTAATGATATCAGCAGAGGAAAATCCCAACTCAGGGCACATGAGAAAGAGACCCCCCCCCCCTATTGTTATCAGAGGCGATAAACTATACTGCAATTGCAGGTGAAACGGAGAGATCCATACAAAGACCACAAGAGAGAGATCCTAAACAAGACTACAGGAGAGAAATACTATCAGTGACACTGACCCCACCCCCGAGACTCGAGGCACACGAGATACAGACGCCTACGGATATCAGAGGAGAACAAGGCTCCCCCCAGTGAAGGCACTGGAGCCATAAAACCCCAAATGACACGAGAGACAGATACACAAGCAAGCAACGCTATCGACGCCACAGGCTCGTGGGAGAGCGCTTGCCGGCACGGCTGCCGTTGCCGGCACGGCTGCCGTTGCCGGCACGGCTGCCGTTGCCGGCACGGCTGCCGTTGCCGGCACGGCTGCCGTTGCCGGCACGGCTGCCGTTGCCGGCACGGCTGCCGTTGCCGGCACGGCTGCCGTTGCCGGCACGGCTGCCGTTGCCGGCACGGCTGCCGTTGCCGGCACGGCTGCCGTTGCCGGCACGGCTGCCGTTGCCGGCACGGCTGCCGTTGCCGGCACGGCTGCCGTTGCCGGCACGGCTGCCGTTGCCGTGACGCACCTTTGGTGCTGTGGTCGTCGATGAGCACGATCTCAGCGAGGTAGCGTGCGGGCGTGCGCTTGATGACGCTGTGCACCGTGCGCATGAGTGTCGACCAGCCCTCGTTGTGGAACACGATGATCACGCTGGCCGTCGGCAGATTCTCGTCGTAGTGCCAGAACTTGCACCTGCGTTCGAGAATGAGAACATTTTAGAATCAGATTATTTACTTAGACTGGAGGAATCCGATGAGCTGTAAAGCTCTTTCGCAGATGTCCAGTAGGGGCACGGGGTAAGAACGTTACAACAACAAACAGTCCAACAACATGATAGGAGTGCAAAGTATAGGAAAGGTAAACAAAAGACTTAAGAATATAGACATACAACTTAGCTATTTTTATCTTCCTATGTAAAGCCCACTTAGGTATTAACTTCTTTTCAGAAGCGACCTGGCCAAAAATGAAAGCTCAACTAAAGAGGCTTATCATGTGGAGGACCATGAAGAAAACGGCAATAAAGGTCAAGCGCTTTGCCACAGCAGATAGGGGGGGAAAAAAACGCACCGGCCAAGAAACGTGTGCAATAAAATAAAATATAAGCATCAATGCCAAAACTAAGACTGCTGCGTACAATTTTTTTGTAGTTTGTGCTTTACGGCTCTCCGATACATTTTCTGGTTGTGCCACGTGGTGTTGCTCAGCATGGGCGATGTCGCTCCCTCTTCGCCCCACGTGCTGGGGAGCTCCCCATGTACTGGGAGCACGTGGTAGCGCAAAGAAAATATAATGTCGGATAAAGTATTAAGTAATGATTGAAAAACCACTTCGGAGAGCCAAGGCCAAAAACGATTGTTTCGGTAAGCCATGGAACATTTCTGCAGACTTACTGGGTTAGAATAAGATTGCCACTCGCCCGCAAGTCAACAAGTTTGTGGAATTCAATTACCGCAACAATAGAAATTGCCCGTGTTTGAGTAATTTTTTTTTTATACGTCTTCATCACTTCAACAAATTTTGTGCGTACGCAGTCACACGAATCAGAAGACCAATCGTGCTGCAGGCCCTGTCAAGCACGATCGGCCCCTTGTGAGTGAATAGAGAAGAGCAGCATCGCACCATCAAATTTCTTGGAAGTCAGAGAACAATGCGTAAATCTAGCCTTGAAAGATCTACATACATTTATCGATAACGCTTCTCAAAAAATAAAATAGGGAGACATTGAGAGCATTAATGGCCACTGCTGAAACGTTGCCCATTATATGTAGATTTCCCTTTTTTTAGGGCATTTTCGTTGAAGCTTGCATCGAGCTTTTGCGATTTGTGGGTGGGCACTGCTGCCAACGCAGTATCATGAAAAACGTTTGTTCGCTTTGAAAAAAAGGGACTGAATGAACGGCAATCGTGATCGTTAGCACTGGTTGTTATCGACGTGCCTCATCTACATTTTATATAAAAATAATAAAACATGTGCAATCGATCATGACGTCACACTCTCAGAGGATAACGCAGTGCAAGCTTTTAAAAACACGTAGAACAGACTGGGGCATTTGCTCAGGGTGTGAACGGAACGGATTTCGATATTCTCCTGCACGGTTCTCAAAAGCCTCGCGTGACACCGCCACCACTCAAGCTTGGGCGCGGCAGCAAAACCGTTTGTAGCAACAACAAAAAATCCATTATGATATCATGGGGGGGAAAAAAAAATCCCTGCTGCTCTGGAAACAAAACACTAAAAACATTTCCAAGAAGAAAAATCACTGAAAGTAAAAGAGAAACAGCTGGTTCACAATCTGGGATTGCAGTGCTTACAAAGCGTGCGCTGGCAACTGCACCAAATCAGCCGAGACATTCACAACGCAAAACATTTTATTTAGCATTGCGATTTGGGTGGCAGATTTGTGCCATTAAGCCGCCACGTTTTGAGCAATAAATAAAATCGACTCGGACTTGTTATGCAAATACACCATGGGCTGTATTTGCATATGGGAGCATTCAGCTGCGTAGGAAATCAAGTAATTATTGAATACATTTTTAAATAACAAATAATTTCCAGACTTTTAACTCAATAATTGTCGGGGCGACAGGGCATTATGGTTTGCGCAATGCACTCTGAACCTGGCGGCCACCCGAGTTTTATTTCCCGTCACAACTAACATCAGTCGCAAGTGAAATCTGAACTGGTTTTTGCCACCCCAACCTTCACCGAAACCGCAAGAACCAGCGAGCTTAAAGTAGGTGAACAACCCACATAACCGACACGGTATTCATTCAACAATTATCTAATAAAAGGGCAGTTTTCACAATGCATCTTAGCACAGTCAACTCCCGTTAAGTCACGCATTGGTTGTGCAACTATCAGTGACTCCATCCCAGCAACCCCAGCACCGAGCCCCTTCTGCTCAATTGGCAGGAGAAAAATTCTACAGCTGCACATTAGCACATGGATACCACACACATTTACCCACCAACAACACAAACAGGGCCAGACATGCACAAAAAACACACATGAAAGTAAATACACACATTCTATTAAACTTCTCAGACTTCTGGAGCAAATGCTGTTAAGCGGGCACCTATTAATGCTGGAACAAGATGTTACTCCACTGCTGGATTAAGGTGTTCTCACGCCATGAGGACCATGGGGGTGATGACCATTATTCACCACGAATTTAAATCACCAAAAAATTGAGCAGGATCATCACAAAAAAATAAAGTTAAGCTTTCATGGGAAAAAAAAAATCATGACATTTTTGCAGGAATACTGCCAGAAACGTAATGCGAGAGCACGTGCGTTTCCGTGTTTCCGATGCCAGTGTGTGCGTAACTTGTGCAGCTGTAGGGTGTGCAAGTGAGAATGAATGGAGTGTGATTTCTAGATATAAAAATAACAATATTGTTGGAGATGGCCAGGTGTTGCATCTAGAGCTGGCACCGCTGAGATCCTGGTTTAAAATGTGGGTTTCAGACTAAAATCCTGCATAGGGTCAGGTACCCATGGTTTACTCACGGGTGTGACCCACACAGAGGCCGGTTTCTGGTCAGGATAAAGATGTTTTTATGGCTGGCGACTCAGGTCACATTCAACGCAAGTCACCCATGATGAACCATACCCATTCGAACCACTGAAAAATGTATTTCAATTTAGCATACACGACATTACGGGAATAAGAGCACCCTTGGAAAAATATTTGTTGGTTCGGGTCAGATTTTGGGTCGAATGAAAGCTGGTTGGGTCCGGTTGGTGTTGAAGCGGATTGCGGGTTAGGAGCTGCTCGGTCACGAGTTCGGGTCAGATCACAGCTCATGTGATCTTTGAGAGAATGTTCTTGAACATGGGATGGCAATACAGCTCCTTCTGCCAGATCCGAACGGACATTTCTTCACTGCATGGCGCGATGCCAACGAGTCAAATTAAAAGTGTAATGGAAAAAAACCTCCCAAAAATAGTGGGTACATAATATAGCAGTGCAGTTCCACAATTTTGCATGAATATTGCAGTCAATTTAAAGCTCTGGATAATTTCTCATAATCATGAAAGTGGCGTTTTAATTGGGGACAGTATGTCAATCAATTTGGACTGCCATTCACATAGAAATAACGCGTCCACGTTTGTTGGCGAGTGAGAAATGCGCACTATGCCGCAGTGTCGGACGTAGTGACATTTTTCCTGTATACATGCAGAACTTGTTTTGTACCGTACATAGTCAACCATGCTCATCGGAGGTGCGGGAAATCTATTTCCATCATCGCCATCAAACGTCGATGGTGGTGCAAACAGATTCGCGTATGTGTCAAATCAGACTCAAATCTATAAGCCCAAATTTATACAACTTAAATTACCTTCAAAATTACATCACGTATGTATCGTGGGGGCAGGGGGAATAAGAACAAATCTAGACCGAGAGGTTGCCTAATGTGTGAAAATGTCCAGCCATGTGATGATAATCCTGCAGAATATTTATTAAGAAATACCATGGTTTCAACAGCAATAGATATCATTATACTTTGAATAATTTTCCCACTATATCAGCATATAGACATGTGGCTAAAATGTGCTTCCCAAATGTTTTGTTCAAATATACTTACGGAGAGTCACTGAAGGAGGTCGCACTATAATCGGGATACACCACACAAATGTTTTGCAAATTGTACAAATACACACACACTGCAAAAGAATAGATATATAAATCTCATGTCCTTGTTGGACATGACGCACTGCCCATGCCTGACTAATGCACTTTTTTCCATGTTGTTACACTGGCAGCCTTGTTAATACGTCGTCGGAGCCATTTAGTAGTGCATGTTGCTAGGCTTGTTCGGCTTTGTTACATAGCCAACCACCCACCGCTACGTCGACTACTGACGAGAGCGCGATCGCACCGCAGCTTGCATTCTAATAATGCTCGCCTTCACAAAGCAGCGACCGCCAAGGGATTTTAACAATTAGACAGCAAAATCAGCACGCCCGTGTGGAAATAGGCGATGACGGCACCGCGAACAAGCCACGCTCGTGGCCCGGCGAACATATCAAAATATATATAAAAAATACTGAATTACTCCGGTATACAAGCGAGTGAATCTGCAGGTTATGAACTGGGGTTGAAGGATAGTTACAGATTTGCTCCATAATTGTCGATGGAGTCGATTACCGGTTCCAAAAGCCATTAAATTGAGTCAAAATCCAGGTCAATTTCGCGATGAAATAAAAAAACTGATTGGCACGCGAGAAACGTTCAAACCGCTCGGCACGTTCGGATGCGATTTGTCAAGTGACAACCCTTTCCGTGGAGAATACATTACATATTCCACTGCTGGATGAAGACCTCGCCACATCATGTCAGTCATGCCGCTTGATTGACCATACTTCACCACGCTGGTTAGTGATGGTTGGTGAAGGATGGTAAACCGATTCAGTTTTTTTAAGTTGTTGTAAGTATCGACAAAACTAAAAAGAACATCACTTAACAACCCCGGTATGTACGTTTATCCTGAGAACGCCTCCGATTGCTCCACCAATTGCAATGATTGACGTGTCATGGGAAAAGCTTGTGATGCGTAGTTAATGGTGAAGAGGTATAAATCCTGAATATATATTTTTTACCTTTGAGCCAACAATTCAGCTCATAAGGCTCATCAGCCCCGGTGCCACTTATCCGCTCCACCATTTACAATTGCCGAGTGCATAAAGG